AGAGACAACTGAAGAGGTAATCTGGCAGTAGAAGTACTTCAAAAAGTCTGTCCTCCTGAGACTACGAACTGTTACAGTAGATTTCACTCCAAAGTAGGAGTCACTCAGTGTCTAGTGGATCTGCAGCCGGTGAGTCTTATTAACTAATCGGCGAGTTGTCAGTTATGACACTGACGGACATTGTTCTTTGTGATCAATCAAATCCAAGTCAAATGTGAAGCTGTGATGGATTGAGAAGGAGCATGCACTGTATATACAGTGGGGGAAAAAAGTATTTAGTCAGCCACCAATTGTGCATGTTCTCCCACTTAAAAAGATGAGAGAGGCCTGTAATTTTCATCATAGGTACACGTCAACTATGACGGACAAAATGAGAAAAAGAAATCCAGAAAATCACATTGTAGGATTTTTAATGAATTTATTTGCAAATTATGGTGGAAAATAAGTATTTGGTCAATAACAAAAGTTTCTCAATACTTTGTTATACACCCTTTGTTGGCAATGACACAGGTCAAACGTTTTTGTAAGTCTTCACAAGGTTTTCACACACTGTTGCTGGTATTTTGGCCCATTCCTCCATGCAGATCTCCTCTAGAGCAGTGATGTTTTGGGGCTGTCGCTGGGCAACACGGACTTTCAACTCCCTCCAAAGATTTTCTATGGGGTTGAGATCTGGAGACTGGCTAGGCCACTCCAGGACCTTGAAATGCTTCTTACGAAGCCACTCCTTCGTTGCCCGGGCGGTGTGTTTGGGATCATTGTCATGCTGAAAGACCCAGCCACGTTTCATCTTCAATGCCCTTGCTGATGGAAGGAGGTTTTCACTCAAAATCTCACGATACATGGCCCCATTCATTCTTTCCTTTACACGGATCAGTCGTCCTGGTCCCTTTGCAGAAAAACAGCCCCAAAGCATGATGTTTCCACCCCCATGCTTCACAGTAGGTATGGTGTTCTTTGGATGCAACTCAGCATTCTGTGTCCTCCAAACACGACGAGTTGAGTTTTTACCAAAAAGTTCTATTTTGGTTTCATCTGACCATATGACATTCTCCCAATCCTCTTCTGGATCATCCAAATGCACTCTAGCAAACTTCAGACAGGCCTGGACATGTACTGGCTTAAGCAGGGGGACACGTCTTGCACTGCAGGATTTGAGTCCCTGGCGGCGTAGTGTGTTACTGATGGTAGGCTTTGTTACTTTGGTCCCAGCTCTCTGCAGGTCATTCACTAGGTCCCCCGTGTGGTTCTGGGATTTTTGCTCACCGTTCTTGTGATCATTTTGACCCCACGGGGTGAGATCTTGCGTGGAGCCCCAGATCGAGGGAGATTATCAGTGGTCTTGTATGTCTTCCATTTCCTAATAATTGCTCCCACGGTTGATTTCTTCAAACCAAGCTGCTTACCTATTGCAGATTCAGTCTTCCCAGCCTGGTGCAGGTCTACAATTTTGTTTCTGGTGTCCTTTGACAGCTCTTTGGTCTTGGCCATAGTGGAGTTTGGAGTGTGACTGTTTGAGGTTGTGGACAGGTGTCTTTTATACTGATAACAAGTTCAAACAGGTCCATTAATACAGGTAACGAGTGGAGGACAGAGGAGCCTCTTAAAGAAGAAGTTACAGTTCTGTGAGAGCCAGAAATCTTGCTTGTTTGTAGGTGACCAAATACTTATTTTCCACCATAATTTGCAAATAAATTCATAAAAAATCCTACAATGTGATTTTCTGGATTTATTTTTCTCAATTTGTCTGTCATAGTTGACGTGTACCTATGATGAAAATTACAGGCCTCTCTCATCTTTTTAAGTGGGAGAACTTGCACAATTGGTGGCTGACTAAATACTTTTTTTCCCCACTGTACATCATTTTTAATGTATGGTTTATGGATGTTTCACCTATTGTGGGTAAGATCTGTTTATTTGACAGTGGGCGGTTTGTGATTTTTGTGTGTCCACAATAACTCACACACTGTCTCAATAGGATAGGATGTGGCCCACCAACCTCCTGCTCCTTAATAAATTATACATTATTACAATTCATTTATTCCAGAATAAATGATTGACCGTGATCCATTTTTGAAGGAATCAGCGTCTGTCCAGGTTTGACCTCCTGCACGTCTGAGGAGAGAGGTTTGACTGTAATTAAATATAGGAGGTGTCCTATGAGTCCTGAATACTCTCTCTACCTGGGTCTAGGTGACCTTGTTCTTCACTGCAGGAAACCGTTGGTTACACTTTATTTGACACGTCACTGTGACATTAACATGAAGGTGTAATCTGGTGTCAAATCCATTCCTATTGTCATGATAGAGGTAACGTTTTGCGTTATGATTGTACTGACCTAACACCCCTGGATAACAGCCTCTATGTCAGGGGTGTCATAAAATGGTAGACCAAAATTCATAGTGAAACGACACTTGACGTGTTAATGGGAGAGTGAAGTGTCAAATGAAGTGTTATCGAACATTCTCTATCACGGCTGGGCTGCCATGCTTGCAGCTAGCTGAGTTTAGAAATGATGACTGGACGTCTATTGTTATGTAAATTCAATCATGAATGTTGAGGATGAAACAGGCTTTGCAGCTTCATGAAAGTTGGATGACAGTGTGGTACATTTTTGTTGTTTTTCTTTTTCGCTGTGGAATGAGCACAGCTACATTGTGAAGTCTGAATTGTGGGCAAATGACAATGTGGTCCACGCCAGGAACACACACTTATCTCTCATACACTTCAAACATCAAACAGAGAGAGGAGAACATTCCCTCCATCCCTTCCTCTCTCCCACCCTACGCAATAATCCCCTGCTCTGCTCTATCCTGAAAGGACCCTCCTTGCGTCAGAATCCCGTTGTCCTTTGAACACTCCTCTTGTGTTGGAAAATGAAAAGCTATACTGACAACATCCAATGCAACATGATTCAGTAAAGGACGTGAAGTTCATAACTAAATATTGTGATCCTTCTTTACAAATAAATCAAAACGGATTCTAAATTCAGAATTTAGGATTACGCAATGCAAAATAAGGTAGAGAGGATTTACTGACTTGTCGGTGTTCTGAAAAAAAAAAGTTGAATAAAAAAAAAAAAATGTTTTACTTTCAGAACTATTGCCTGAATCCCTGATGCATTTTGAATGACCTTTTACTACTAGTATAGGAGGCTGCTGAGGGGAGAACAGCTAATAATAATGGAACAGAGCAAATTTGATACCATTCCACTGATTCCAATCCAGTCATTACCACAAGCCGGTTCTCCACAATTAAAGGTGCCACCAACATCCTGTGACTCCTAGAGTCCTAAAACCTCCACAGAACAATACTTTACAAAAAAATCTGAATCAGCTAAAATGCCAACGTGATGTGACATACAGTACTGTATAATTTTTGGTCTAATTGGTCTAGACAAACCCGAGGCAACACTGAAATCCCTACTGAGCACCTCTCCCTCTTCACGTCTATTCCTCTTTTACTAACTCTTTGCCTGTCTTACCCCTGTCTTTCAATGTCTCTCTCACTCTACTTCTCTCCCTCCACTTTCTCTTCCTAACACTCTCTCTCAGGCTGCTCAATCTCTGGAGCTGTACTTAGTGGGAACATAACTGGAACTTCTGATGTGTGTAGTTCATCACTTTGATGTGACAATGTGCACTTGAGACCTCAAGTCAATGTTCAAAATAAATAATTCCTAATCAACTGTGGACAGGGTTCTGCAATGGCTATCAGTAATCAACCCCTCGGACTGAGTCCCAAATGGCACCATATTCCTTATATAGTACACTACTTTTGATGGGCTTTGGTCAAAGGCAGTGCACTATATAGGGAACAGGGTGCCATTTGGGATGCAGACCAGTTGCCTCCATCTTGGTGACAGAGCTGCTGGGACATAATAACCGTTGAGTCATCCGGTCGCAGCTGTGAGGCAGATCAGTTCTTCACAACAACAACAAGCAGTGGGATTAATTCACCTGTACCAGCTCCAGCACAAACCCAGTGAGCACTTTTTGGTTGAAACAAACGTCTTTTCAATGTCTTTTGCTCATAGGGAACAAGCTGACCAACCAACACCCGTGCTGCCTGGCTATTCTACTGAGCATCATCTGTATTCATAATGTGTTGGATATTATCATCCACTTCCAGTAGAATGATACGCTTAGTTTGATATATTCTAAATTACCTCTGGTCCTCCGCGTTAGATACCTATTTATTGGAGAGTATAATGCTCATAAGCACAAACACATTTTCTATGGTAATGTATTTATTTACTTAGGTCATTGTCTGCATGAGTCTGCATCCATCCAACCATCCATCCATATATGGGCAACAAAGACAGTGAATGACATGCAATTGGAGCATTAATGAGTGTGTTATAATGTGAATGATGGACACGGGTGAAAGTTTGCCCTCTCATTTCGGTAAAGTTCTTTCAAAGGTATAATCAGAGTGATTCAGTGAGAGCCTCAGTCTCAAAGGTACCCTCACTCTCACTCCACAAAATACCACAGAGAGAGAGACACTCATTAGGAACAAATGGGTTTCGCTATATCAAAGGATGTTATTCACAAACATACCCCTAAATAGCCGACGGAATAATCAGGGTTATTATTGAGAAAATGACAATTAATCATTTCAGAATCACACCATTTTAATTAAGGTCCCAATTGTGTGTGTCTGCAAAGTACATGTTAGAGCATATTGTGAGAGAGAGAGGGGATGCTATTTGTTCAAGTTCAGGAGAATGAGATAATTTTACATCCATCCCTATCCAACGCTCTAAAGTTTTGTTTGTCTGAAGTACAACTTAATTGTATTGATCTCTACTTAACTTCCCCTTCAACAGCATTTAGTGTTGATATTTACCGCACTTTGTAAAGATCCAAAACATTTCTTACTGACTTCATTCATTTATGTATAATTCCTTCATCCAGTTAGTTTTGAATCACTTATTTTCAGTTTTAATTAGTTTTGGATGGGCGTTATCTGTGGGCACCCACGTCAGTCTGCTGTGAATGACTCGGAGAGCTTATCTCAGGTCCTCTGTGATGGTAAGAGCTCCCCAGTTAGTCTCTCCATCTGAAGAAGAAGCCGTTCTACAGCCCCAGGAAATGTGCTCCAGCTTCCCTGGTGTTTGGCAATATGCCACCAGCTGTTTCCAATGGTAACACCTTTCAAGAACTGGAGAGTGGAGCTAGAGTAGAGCCTGGTCTGGTTCAGGGAAGACTGTATTGTTATGTTGTGTTGGGCTATATGTAATCCTGCTGTGCCTTTATAATGTTCTTCCATCCCTCTCTCCTTTCCTTCTTCCATCCCTCCCTCCTTTCCTTCTTCCATCCCTCCCTCCTTTCCTTCTTCCATCCCTCTCTCCTTTCCTTCTTCCATCCCTCCCTCCTTTCCTTCTTCCATCCCTCCCTCCTTTCCTTCTTCCATCCCTCCCTCCATTTCCTCCAGGGTTCTTTCCGTGGCCTGTCCTCCTCTCCAGCCAGACCTGCCAAGGCAGCCCCTAAGGGTGGGGAGAACGCTGTTGTGCGCCTCTTCAGAACAATCGTGAGTCACCCTATTTGCATAGTTTGCCTACTACTGTTGATGTTTGACTTGTTGATATGAGGGCGGCAGGAAGCCTACCAGTTAAGAACAGGAAGCCTAGCGTTTAAGAGCAGGAAGCCTAGCGGTTAAGAGCAGGTAGCCTAGCGGTTAAGAGCAGGTAGCCTAGCGGTTAAGAGCAGGTAGCCTAGCAGTAGAAAGAGCTTTAGGCCAGTAACCGAAAGGTCACTGGTTTGAATCCCTGAGCCAACTAGGTGAAAAATCTTGAGCAAGGCACTTAGCCCTAATTGCTCCTGTAAATCACTCTGGATAAGAGTGTATGTTAAATGACTAAAATGTAATGAGAAATACCCTGATCTATTGTATTTCTAAAGGTCTGTGTCACTCTCTCCCCTCAGGTGTCCCCTGCCCCTCCTAAGTCTAGGGTGAGCATTTTATCTTACTCTTTGCCAATATTGTCCAATAGAGGAGTTGAAGATTGTTTTAGCCTTTGGATGTGATTGTGTATTTAGCTTTGTTAACATGTGACGTCACTGAATGTCGTGCACAGTATGTCACTGAATCTGTGCTCTCTCTGATGATGCGAGCGTCTGCCTTACTCTGCTCTTCCCTGGATGTGGACTCTCTTCTTGCTGCACTGCCTTTTCTCTGAGTAAGACTTGTGTTTAACTTTCCTCTCCTCGCCCCTGTGTCTCACTCCTGTCTATTCCCTATCTCTGTCTCTTACATGTCCTTGTCCAGTGGACGGCAATGACTGCGAAACTAGGCCTGGTACGTGGTTAAATGCTACAGCTAAAGAAAACGAAGAGAAAAATCAGAGGCCGTTCCTTAAACAATATATTCTGTAGCCATTTTAAGGCTTGAGAGCTTGTTGTAATCCATGCATACAGTACATGCATAACGCCCTCATTAGTTTTTCTCTTTTATTAAATCACGTTTTGAGTGGTTTTGTTTGGCAAGCTCTCCGCCTCTGGCTCAATTGAATATCCAGTTCTTTATTTGCTGAAGTCGTTTTTCCCTTTCGATATGATAACCAGCAGCTTAATCCTGCTTTTTCTTATTCGCCCTGCTGAATTTGAAGTCTCGTCCTCTTCTCTTGGCCCCTGTGTGTGTGTGTGTACGAGCGTGCATGCCCGCGTGTGTGTGTGTGTGTGTGTGTACATGCGTTTGTGTCTTTGTGTGTGTCTCTGTATGTCTCTGTGTGTATGTTTGTCAGTGGAGGCTGCTGAGTGGAGGACGGCTCATAGCAATGCCTGGAATGGATTCAATGGAATGCTATCAACCACATGGAAACCACACGTTTGATACCATTCCATTGACTCCATTCCAGTGTGTGTGTGTGTTGTGGGTGTTATGAGTCACACATAACAGCTAACACTATAAAAAAAGGGATGAGACCTTTAAAGCTCTTCTCTGAGGTAAGGGATCTTTAAATAACACTTTGAAGTGTTCCTCCCCACCATTTAATTAATCCTTGTGTATGTTTATTGGAGTTTTACTTGAACAGTTCAGTCTAATCCCCCTGTGAGAGTCAGAGTAGCTAAAGCTTAGCTGTTACTGAGATTGAATTTAGAAAGTGCTTAAGTGAAGCACTTCCACTTTGACTCAGATTGATTTGCTCCACTGCTTCAATGCCACCACAAATTAGCCACTTTTTGATCCAGGCTGGTTGTGTTGTAGCCATCTCTTCTATAACCTCGTCACCTGCTGGCTCTCAGTTGAACCTGGGGACAAGGCTATCGCTTCTATTGTTTTAATGCAACAGGATATTATCAGAAAACATTGTTTTGTACTAAAGAACCATGCAATACCCACGTAAGATATGTACATATGATGCCGCTTTTTAGCCATTAGTAAATCATTTCGATGAACAAACACAGAGATGAGTTGGCAAAAGCACACACTGACTGGGCCACCATGCTAACTGACAACAACAATAATAATATGTCTCCCAGTGTCTTACCTCATCCCTGCTCTCTTCCAGGGGTCTCAGAAGTCAACAGGATCCGCTAAGGCGAAGAAGGCCGGTGCAGGAGACAGTGGAACCCTGTCCAAGATCTTCAAAATGGTAAACAAAAACTCTCTAATCTGTCTTTTACAATAACAGAAAAAGGGAATATCTAATTATATAATTCACTTTGTATGGTATTGAGACGAATTCCAGAATGTGCACATGATGGGCTCTTTCTTTCTCTTTTATTCCTCCCTGTCTGTCTCTCTCTTCTTCTTTCACCTCAGTGATGATACCCAGCATTCAGTGAGTAGCTGATGAGTCATGAGCGGCAATATATATTTACTCTTACTTGCTATGCATTTATTCAACGTTGATAGGCTTAGGTGACACCTTCCATTGCCTATCATACCACCAGCACCTTGAGACAGTCTCTAGACAGTGATAATTACAGTGTCTGGCTGATGCTACAGGCTTCATGCATTAAAGAGTGCAGTTTGATGTCAAAGGTAATGCTATTTTTGTAGCACCTAACATAATCGGCTGCTTAATTGCAGGCAGTGACGTTGCACCTGTGGGCCTACACGGGGCTGTGAAATAAATTGCTTAGGAGCAAGCTTTAGGGATAGGAGTCCTGCGTACTCTTAATGGCTGTTCTAAGAGCTGTGCTAACTGCAATGGGACATGTATAGCATTACAATTGTGGCATGTGGTAGCTTTGCTCACTTTACCGATGGCTTATGCGACTGCAAACACACCGTCAGGCTAGCCAAGCTATTATAGAAGCAGTGCCATTCATTCTTTCTACAACTAGGACATTGCACTTTTAATTACATTGACCATCTGGTTCATGCATTGGTATACCCTGTATACGATACTGGGATGTATTACTGCACAGACAGACTTATACAAGACGTCTTTCTCCGACGCAGTAGGCCACACATCAAGGCAGGGCAGACACACTTATATACACTTGAGTGAATACTTCCTGGCTTTCAGAGGAGCAGCATAGTACCCCAATGTGTGCATCTCAAACAGAGGACTGAGGTGTTTGAACAGAGAGATTTGAGATATTTTTGCTACAATCAGCAGCATCTAAAATGTACAGACTCTCCCTGACTCAACAGTTTTGCTTATTGTTTATTCCAGGCCACGTTTATCCTTCTGCTCCCGCTGTGAGGTGACAGGCTCTGAACTGGAGCAGTACTGATACAGTACTTAAGCAGTACATTCACTTCACAACCTGTCAGCAACAGCTGACACGCTCCCCGACAGTAGAGAGGGACAATGTCCTCGGTAGAGCCATGGCACACTGAAACGTATTTCTTTCTGTCTCTGCCTCTGTCTTTCTGTCTCTGTATCTCTCTTTCTGTCTCTCTCTCCCCATCTCGGTCTCTGCCTGTCTTTGTCACTTTTTGGCTCTCTTCTCTGTCTCTATTGTATCTCTCTCTGCCTCTCTCTTTTGGTCTCTGCCTCTCTTTCTCTGTCTCCGCCTCTGTCTGTCTGTCACTCTCCCTCTCTTACGCTCTCCGCGTATCTTTCTCAACATGGCACGGTGAATGCTAATCTCTGGGACATGCTCCGGAGGTCACTGGCAGAATTTTAATTAGCCAGTCTGGCCCAAGCTTCAGATAGTTATTTTAATTTTGCAGAATAGGCACAAGAAGCTGATGTTCCTATAGGTGCAGTCAGTGCACTCACAGTGGGTATGTTGATCAGCAAGGCAACCAAGCACAGTCATCTTCATCATACCCTACAGGGGAGACTTTTTAAAAGTAGACTTTTAAAAATGTTTAGAGTATCTGTATATCTTAGACTACATTTTCCCTGCATGGTGTCTTTGCTAGCTGGACTATGTAGCATTATGAAACTAAAAGATGAAGAAGATGATTACATCTACAAATGTGTGGGTAAATAGTACACCAATCTTCTCTTGCTCATAGCTTGTTTCCCCACAATCTCTCTGCCTAATTGGCGTTAAGCTAAAGCCACCATATCTAGCGCTTCTGGTGTTTTCCATTCTCCAGTTCTGTTACTGCATTCTAATTAGTTTATTTCGAACCGATAATGATTTTCAGCTCAAATTGCTGTAAGAATGGCTCAGAACTTGGCCCGTTTCCTCCCATATCCTTTTGTTTTAAGAGATTTAAAGGCTTTGTATGTTATGGATTATATTCATTCCAATCGTTCTCCCCAAAGAATTGTCTAATTTGTATAATCTTTGTTCCGTTCCAATCTTCCCCTCTTTCTCCCACTTTTATATCCCCACGAGAAAATGCAGCTTGGTGAACACAGTACAACACATCATTGATCCGTTTTGGCCACAACATGCAAATTAGAACTGGGAGATGTTTCTTTTTAAGGCATAGCCAAGAATTCACAAAATAAACAATTATGTAAATAATGTAGGCCTAGAACTCACCCACCTATTCTAACAAAACAATAGTACACAATGCTGAAGGCCACATAGACTGTGTTACCCTCCTACGGCAATATACAGCTGGACATTTGTGTCCTATTGTAATTAGCAGGTCCCTTTAGTGAGCATCGTTAGCAAATGACAAAAACAGTCAATTTCCTGATGATGTGTTTCGTCTCTCTCTCTCTCTTGCAGGGCGCAAGCCGGACTGGGTCTCTACCCAAAAAATGAGGTCCCCTTTCAAGAGCACAAGGGCAGATGTCAAGAAAAGGGACACAAGTGGGGGAAAACAAAGAAGATAAAAGAACAAATATTTGTCTAGACTCACACACCTCTCCCTGCTTTTCTAACACTTTTTCTAACAATTTTATAACTCAAATGCCTCCCCACCGCAGCCGGCTGGTAGATATAGCGACACAATCTGTGCCCCCCCCCCCCCCCCGCCCACGCCCCCGCTCCTGCTCTTGCTCCTCCCTCCCGTGCAGCCATCTTGGATGTGAACTGTCGCTGAAGTCATCCGGACCCCCCTTACAGCCTAAAGGACCTGTCGTAGCGCTACACTACCTGTGTCTTCATTTCTATTTCTGTCTGTCTGTATAGAGTTGTCTAACAAGGCTGGCTAACTGGACCAGACCTGGCTGAAGTAGCTTAGGTCCAACAGACCTGGCCCTGACCGCTTGTGGTTGTGAAAGTGTGAGCAGGTCTGGTTCTGGTTCAGAAACGAGTGATTAAGTGTCTTGTCATTCTTGTCTTTGTCGTTTCCCCCAAACCACACCCACTCTCCCATTTCTGTACATCCTGATATGAATTCATAGCAAAGCATTGTCTTACTCAGCTTGCATGTGTTGTTGTGATGGCCAGTTGGTCATGTGTTTGTATGTCTACCCTCCTGTATCATCAGTGTAAGTGTCCTGTCTTAAGTGTTGCTGTCCTTCCATGTTTTTACATTAGGGTCTATGGCTGCCTGTGACATTCGGTGGTAAAATGACATCGAGCTACTGAAAGTTGTTAACCTACTAAAAAGTCTCTGTCTGTAGTATCCACTGAATTGTAGAAATCAATGGATAATGTTATCATTTCTAATATTGTTTTCCAGTACATGTAGATTAATTAAGATACTAATGTGTATGGTATTGGGAGTTTTCCCATCCAGATATAACAGAGATTCTTCTGAAGTGCACTGTTTTGACCCTTGAAAAGCAGACACTGACTGCTCTGAAACCAAGCTCACGCTGGACCTGCTACAAGCATGGCATTTCCAACGGGATGACAGATTCAGACCCTTTCCCCATTAGTGTAGTCTAGATTCTGTAGTCTTCTCTGTCTTAAGTGTCTCTTGCTTTATATATCTATTGAAGCACTGCACAAAATATGAATACAAAACAGCTAGCTGAAGCAATGCCATTTCTGACTGCCAAAAACAATGTGCTGTGTTTACTCTATGTGGATATTAAAAGACCAACACTGTCATAAAGGTGCTCGTTATTTAACTGTGTAAAAGCATAAATGTTATTAAAAAAAGATGAAGATGGATAGAGGACGTGGAGTTCGTTGACCAAGGCACGAACGAGGAGTTGCATAAACTGCTTATTACTGCCACTGTACTGTCCAATACCCCCACACCAAAGTGTCTTTCCTCCATTTGTTTAAAAACAAACGTGTGTAATCTGTAGCATACTCTGCCTGCCCCCGTCGCCCCTCACCCACGTCTTAATGTGTGTGTGCGCGTTTTTGTATGGGTCCTGTGAATGAATGTAAATGAAACTCTTGAGACCCTCATTGTTGTATCTGAATTAAAAAGATGTACGACCAGCTACTTAATAACTTGAAAAAATAAATAAAGGAATTAAAAATCATAAAACGGTTATGGGTCTCTGGTTGTGTTGTTTGATAGAAGTTTAAAAGTAGTGTACACACATGCAGTAACTTGCAGGTGTAGGGTACAAGAAGTGATGAAACATTCAACTCCGCTGCGGTATCCATCTTTGTTTAGGTCAGGTCATTATGTCGTATGAAAATGTATGCACTCACTAACTGTAAGTCGCTCTGGATAAGAGCGTCTGCTAAATGACTAAAATGTAAAATGTAAAAAATGAAACACTCATGACAGAGTTGCTTCTCACTCCTGGTTCGAAGAGTAATTGTGTTTGCTCAATAATTGCATAATCAAGGAGAGGAACTTAATGCCTCAATGTGGCAGAAGAGACATTTGTTTTTATAGAAGTTGAAAGTAGCCATGCTTTTCCATATGCTGTGAAAGTTTAATAACTCTGGGAGTAATGAAAGATAGTCAAAACCCATTTTTGTCCCTATATGTGGCAATGGATTTTTCAATTGCTAAACACTTGCCTTTTCTAGATACAAGGTTTTTCATGATGCAGAGACATACTGAGAACTTTACTTATCACATAAAATCAAACATAGATGAAATGCAATCAACTTCACACAAATTATTTCTAAAACAATTGGCACACATTAAATCTGTAAAAAATGACTGGTTTTATTAATTAAATAGTTTTCAACATTACAAAATACATTCCTGCCAAAAAAACAAAAACACTTTTAACAGCTTATAGTCTGTAAACTGGTTCAGCAATTGACAAAAAAGGAACTCTGGTTCACAACCCATTTGAAAAGGAATCCAAAAATATATGCAATCTATCATACACTATTTACATTGCAAAATAAAATATCAGATTACAAAATGGCTGTGCATAAGCTTACAACTAAATTACAATTTCATGCAACACATTGTGAATGTGGAGAGTCAACCTCTGAAGCCCTCATACAGCAGCCAATAACAGTGGTATCACAGGTCATCATCATTGCCAAAATTACAGGCATAACATTTCAGAAGAGAGGGATCCACACCAGACCTAGGTTAAAATACTATTCGAAATCATTATACTTTATCTGGGCTTGATCGAGCTTTCCTGGCACAATGAAACCTATAGAGTAGTCCGTCGCAAGATTGCATTCTGCAAACCCGCCCATCTGGCACTCCAGGCAGACTAAATCAAATGCTAAAAGTATTTGAACGATTTCAAATAGTAGCGTATTTGAACCCAGGTCTGATCCATACGACCCTTAGCACTTTATAGTCTCACCATTCAAGGCTACCTTCAACTTTTTTTGTTCTTCTTTTTTTTTTTTTTTAACAAAATCATCAATAACAAAACACATGTCACTTTTTAGCTTGCCTTTTACAAAAGGTATAGCAGAAATATGCAAAAATATGTGATTTTAAAAAGAAATGTTTTTTTTCTTCTGGTAAACTGCACATAAATCACTAATGTGTGTGTGCCTGTTAAAGCACAGCTCAGCTGTCAAACAGTTAATAGTGGCCTGATTGCAGTTTGTGGAGCTGCCCTGAGGGAGCACGGGAGTGATAGAGTACCCCGTCTAGAAACAACCCCTAAACCCTGCCCGTTAAACACTTGTGTAGATCGGAAATGATTGGATAGGAATAAGCAATAAGGCAAATACTTCATCTAGCCTTTCAGAGGGCAAGGTGGAGTTCCTACACTATCGCTTATACCTACCCCAAACTTCCTTCTGGTTGCTAGGCTCCAGTCCGTATTAGGTCATATAAAGCAGTTTGTGACTGACTACTGTTGATGTAAAAAAGGCTTTAAAAATGCATTTAATTGATTGATTTATCAGGGGTGCCTAGTGGGGTAGGAGCTAGGTGCTGTTTCTGGTTGGGGCTTGTGAGTGGTTATACTACTCTACAGGGAGACATGAACCAGTACCACAGGACTGACAGTGCAGCCATGCAGATCTATAGTGTTTGCTCCTCTTATTGGCAAACAGAGTAAACAACAGTCTAGGAACCAACCGCCAGTAGCCTACCTCAGCTAGCTACAGCCCCGACTGGTGAACTGTACTGTGAGGTCAGCGTCTGATTACTAAACGGCTTATTGACTAAAACATCTCATAATGGATTGATACTAATGAGAATCAGAGCGCAGGCTGAAACCAGATAACAGCAATTTAGTCAATGGAAGGACCAGTTCACTGCCTTTAAAGGGACAATCTGCAGTTCAAACAATAATAAAAGCGGGCACCCCGCCACTGATTTGGTAAATAGCTGAGGGATGGGGCTGGAGAAATGTAACCACTCTCAAATTCATAAGACAGAGCTATAGATGCAAACCATGATATCAAAATGATAGTTTTAACCATGTTGAGGCATACAATGTTTGTTTACAATTGCACTTTTTTACAAACAAAAAGGAACAAACTGAACTAAGCTCATGAGGCATTTTTAAGTTATACTCTTCAAGAATCACTGGGTATATATCATGAATTTAAAAATAAAAAAAATGGATGTAGCAATCACAGATTGCCCCTTTAATGCTTATCTGAGGACAAGAGAAACAGGCAGAAACAGCTGCTGCTAAGACCCAATGCGTGTAGATACGGCCACACACGCTTTCTGTTTTCAGTATTTAAATGGCAACATTACCTTGGACATGCTTTAGAAAAAGTGCAGAACTGTCCAACTCAATTAAAAAGCTTTGGGGGCATGAGAAAAGGAGGGGGTTGATCAGAGTGGAATGTTTTTCCACACCTACTTAGTGGTAAAATCAGTACTTTGTATCATCAGACTCCTAGTAAAGAGTTTATGCTGGGATGAACCGGGATGGTCAATTCAATTCTGAGTTGGGAGCTAAGGGAAGACGTTGGGAATGCCACACTGCCAGTCTCCAGAAGACTCCTGTACAACCTCTTCCATGTCGTTCAGCTCTGGTGTGACATCCACCTCCGTCTCTGCCCCCTGCTCCAACGTCACCACCTGGGTCCGATCGGGACCTGTGTCCAAGAGAAAGAGAGACATAGATAGACAGAGAGAGAGAGAGACATGTCCAGAGGAAAACTATAAACAATGCATGCAGGGCAGAATTAGGCCAATATCCACTTATAATAAAAAATCTAAAAAGAGCAATTCAGTTTTGGAAACATCTAAATACAGTGACCCCCTCTCATATCATTACCAAGCCCTGCAATGCCAAGAGCTGAGCAAAGGAAATAGTCCCCTCATCCAGCTGGTCCTGGGGCTGAGTTCACAAACCTGTTCTACTAAACACACTGAAGCCTCAGGACCAGAACATCCAATCAATCAGAATAAACCAAATTACAACACAGTCAAAACAAAACTACATTGCTTATTGGGAAACACAAGCACAAAGTAAAATGCAGAGCTACCTGGCCCTAAATCGACAGTACACCGTGGCTAACTATTTGACCATGGTTACTGATCAAAACCTTAGAAAAACCTTGACAAAGTACAGGCTCAGTGAGCACGGCCTTGCCATTGAGAAGGGTAGACACAGGAAAACATGGCTCCCTGTAGAGGAAAGGCTGTGCAACCACTGCACCGCAGCAGAACCTGAGATAGAGCTGCATTTCCTGACAAAATGTCAAAAATATAAAACAATTAGAATGTGTCATTTCCCCAAATTTGAAACAATTTTTCAAGGTTTCAAAGACCTCTCTGATGAGAATAGACTACCCGTCCTGTTGGGGGAGGACGCAGAGAGCTGTGGGTTGGCAGCGCACTACATTTCTGCCTGCCATAAGATGAGGGACAGTGTCTGACAGACCAACCAACCTGCACATGTCCTCTATATTGTTATTGTTCAATGGTTATTTTGACCCTTGATTATTGTTGTTACTGTTGTCCCATTGACAGTATTGATTATTATTATTTTAATTATGTTAATAGTGTGAATATCCAAAGTAAGCTTTGGCAATATGTACATTGTTACGTCATGCCAATAAAGCAAATTGAATTGAATCGAGAGAGAGAGAGAGAGAGAGAGAGAGAGAGAGAGAGAGAGAGAGAGAGAGAGAGAGAGAGAGAGAGAGAGAGAGAGAGAGAGAGAGAGAGAGAGAGAGAGAGAGACACACAGAGAGAGAGACAGAGAGAGAGAGAGAGAGAGAGAGATGGTTATTTGCACATACATTTCTTTATTCTTTTGGAACTTTTGTGAGTGTTATGTTTACTTTTGTTTATTATCTACTTGACTTGCTTTGTCACTGTTAACATATGTTTCCCATGCCAATAAAGCCCTTAAATTGAATTGAATTGAGAGAAAGAGAGAGAGAGACAGAGAGAGACAGAGGGACAGAGAGATTGACAGAGGGAGACAAAGACATAGAGAGAGAGGAGAGAGTGAAAGAGCGAGAGAGAGAGGGAGAAAGAGAGAGGACAGAGTGAGAGGGACAAAGTTACTCATGAACGTTCCTTAAGTTTCAGAGTTTAAGAATGAAAAAGTACAGTGCAACACACAATGCATTTATCACCTGTGAGGTAAGTTAGAGGAAGGGGTGAGTGACAGGTGAAATTAAACCAGAGCTCTTTTTCAATTATCTAAAAAAATCCTCTCCTCGCCTCCTCTCCTTCGATGCATTGATCTGGAAGAATTGACAAGGTGATGATGAGTCAGCCTGAGGAGGATGAGTTGCCTTCATCCATATTGTTTTTCCAATCAGTGCAGATGAAGAGGAGGTGGTGAGGACAGATGTTTTAAGCAGTCGAGACAGAGCCTTTGTGTCTGGGATCCATCAATAGACATGAGAGAGTTAGCCTTTAGTCAGTTCAGCAGAGGACATTTCCTTTGTACTAACCATCAAATGTTTAAATGGAGGTATACAGAACCAAACAGGCACTAATGCGAGAGTGTGTCACAGCAAGGTTCCATTATTAAGCCCATTCTATCTATTGAACGAACTCACTCAATTTTACTGTCCATCTCTCAGATTCTCACAATAAATTAGCTATTGTGAATCATCCAAACACGTCTGCAGGTGAACGTTAGAAATCGCCTTTAAGAAAATTAGCTAACCTTCCCCTATAAGTGGGCAAGGACTGATGCTCGCACTCACCCCCACACACACACTCTGACACTCCAAATACATGCACGCATACACACACAGTCGCCCGTGCTTACGAACACACACACACCTATCAGTTAGTTAATCACTGCCTTGACACATCCAGGAATCGTATTCAATGTAAAGATGTAAAGAGAGAGAGCATGTAGGGATGCTCAGAATTTAGAATGACAGCCTGCTTTTTACGGTATCGGAGACTGACAAGCAAGGTTCTGGCTGCGAATGCGCACAAGGTCACCTTTCATCTCAACTCAACCACACACGTGCACAAACACTTGAGATGTGCTCGGCTTTAGACAGTCTTGAGTGTGAGTGGAAAAAAAGTATTGCACGTGTTTGAGTGTGTGTGTTCGTGACTCACCGTAGCCGTGCGACCTCTTCATATGCAGCTTCATGTTGCTCTTCTGTGTGAAGTTGATGCTGCAGATCTCACACTTGTAGGGCTTCTCCCCTGTGTGTTTGACCGTGTGTACCTGCAGGGCACTCTTTTGGTTGAAGGCCTTGTCACACTGGGAACACTTAAAGGGACGCTCACCTGCACAAACACAGATAGACACATTCTCAAGACTTTAATGAGTACAAAGGTTACTTGCTTGTTTGCAAGTGGCGGTGCAATTCGCCGGATGAATACAAAACACACATTCGAATTCAATCTTGAGTGTGCGGTGAAGGCAATAAAAAGTTGTCTCGCACTAAAATAAGTTTGAAATATGGAATAGAAGTACTTCTAAAAAGTAAATGCGCTTACAGTAATTGATGCATTGCAGTATATTCCTGCAAGCAATAGCACTTTACATCCAATTTAATAACATTTTTATAAAAAATGTAAGGCATTGTCAGTTAACATTATCTGCTGAAAGGTGTGAAATGCCGGCAAAGTGTAAATCAGATTTACCAATATAACTCGTAGTCTACTATGCCAATTCAGAAGAATAGCGTTGCGAGGAGATGCCTCCCCACCAGATTCCCATTTAGAAAGGATAGTGTACGTAAGGCCTTTAGAATAATCTTGGAACATAATGACCTGCCATAATTGGTACCATTACAGTAAAAAATACATTCTGACATATTTGACTGAAATTGAGGAGACCTGTTATGTCTGTAAGTTAGTCCATGGACATTATGTAAGTACCTCTGCCTCAATCTAAACCATGAAAACTGCACTGTGAGAAAACAGCCACACAATTTGGTGAAGACAATGGCTCCCCACTTAAAATAGCTCTCAGAGTGAGGAGAAAATGCTGCCTCTCTTCTGATGTGGAGATGGAGAGTAAAACCAATTTCCAGTACGGAAAGGCCCCCCGTTAGAGCAACGGTTGTGATTGTGATGCTTTTCGCTTGCTGATGTAACGCTAGCAAGCTAGGCTACGTCATAGCATGTCGTGTGTACAAGCGCCCTTACAGCCTCTCCTGCTGGGGACAATAAAAGGTAAGACTACCGGTTCAGCTGCCCCAGTGGGCTCTTCAACACACAACATTACAGTAATCTCACCCCGGCCTGCCACTGACACAGCCATTGAGTGGGTGGCCATAAGAGTAGGCACCAACATGAGTCAAAACATTCAAGTCGCACTTCACCTTTGTACTTACCTCTACAGAACAAAATGTCCCAATTCTTAAGAAGCAAATGCACATCCTACTTTGTCATGTCGGGGTTGTGTTAAATTCACCTTAGGAGAGAACATGGTTGCTTTGCTCTGAAAAAGTTCATTTGGTCATTTTGACATTGAGGCATATACATGAAATCATTTTCCTGAGGTCTTTGAAGTGTCCCAAATGCCTGATGGAAGGTCACTCTAGTCGAGGACTCGGATGGCAACTTCATTCACATGGTGTACATTTTTACTTTCGCTCCTTCTTTGTGCTCAATGAGATCTGATACTCAAGGCTGGGGTGTACAATAGTTCTAAATAGAATACTAGTCAGAGATTTATTCGAGTGAACGCTGTGCATGCGTGTGTGGGATTACCTGTGTGTGTGCGGTTATGTCTCTCTAGTTGGCTGGGCTTGGCGAAAGCTTTGTCACAGGAGGAGCATTTGAATAACTTGGGCCTTTGGGAGCCCAGTGAGGGTCCTCGCTGGTGGACACGCTCGTGCTCCTGTAGGAGAAAGAGGTCAGAGGTCCGGGGACACTTAACAAATATTTCAGAAGAAAACTTGAAAAAGAGCAAATACGTAAAAATAAACTGCAATTTTCACGAGAACTGGCAGCCATACTCTTCAAACCAGAAAGAACAATCTGGAAAACCCCAGATTCTAATGATGAACCATCCAAAAAAAACAAAGTCTACTGAAAAAACATAAATAAAGCCTTAAGTCTAATGACTACCCATCAAGAAACTCCAGTCTAATAACGAATCCTCAAGAAACTCCAAAGACAAATGACGAAGTATCAAGAAATTCCAAAGTCTAATGAAGAAGTATCAAGAAAACTCCTGTCTAGTCATGAACAAAGAAACAAGAAGGCTAGTAGCCCCCTGATTGCTTTTAAGATCAAGAAAAAACAAATCAGTAACTGAAAAAGTTTCTAAAAGTTGCAGCACCATGCTAAGAACATCCTCTGCATGTTCCCAGAGTCATAGAAAAGTCTGGGCAAGCAAACCAACTACTCAGACAAACAAAACATTTCCACAACTACCTCACACTCTGTACGTGTGTGAGTGTGTGTCTGCGCGTGTGAATGTGCATGTGTGAATATGAGCTTAAACTTTTGGTCTGGCGGGCCAAACTAAATGTTGTCAAGGGTGACGTTTGGGCCTTGACCTTTAAATAAAAGCTACTCTACTCCTAAACATTATTGCTAAAAGTACTGGTATTTCCCTCTTAACTATTGCTGAAAGGGTTGCTCTTTGTCTCTCTCCATCGCTAAATTATATCATGAAGTTAATGAACCCAGCAACAGTTTGTAAAGTGGAGAAATAAAACAAAACATGAATTAAACATTCTCTAATCTCAGACACCCAGAACTAAAATATTTTGCGTAATTGCATCAGATGCTTGATAAGCTTAATGTACTAACGAAGTATCCACCCCTCTAAACGGAAACTCAGCCAGTTTCAGGGAAGTCTATGGGCCAAATGTCCCCTCCCCTTCCGAAAGATGCGAGCAGCTGCGAAATCGTGATTTGTCCAAAACTATCAGTGATGAAAAATCTGCATACCGGAACAAAGTTCCTTGTTTGTTGTCACATCCCAGTCTGTCGGCAGATGCTACTACCATTTATGTTAAGTGTATCTTTCCACGAGAGATAAAACCTTCTCCAATACTGCTGAGTCAAGGTCCACATTTAACAATAGTTTTCCCCTAATAAGGAGCACCGGGAAAGAGATAACAAAACTGGGTCACGTTCAGTGCACTACCTGCTCCGTTTCAAAACATTCTCTCCTGTTTCATACCTACTGAACAGAGCCCTGGCTTACCAAAGCCAAGGCTTTAGATTAGGTAATGTGTGGTGAGAGGGCTCTCTCGCGACAGGAGGAAAGACTCTGGGGTTACATGGGGCTGCCGATTGGTACGGAACAGGCTTTGATGTGGTTCCAGCCGTGCTCCCCCTATCCAACGGTGCGTTTAATTCCGTAAATGAGATACGGATAGCTTTTGGGAACAGGGCATACGAGGACTAGGAATGAGGGGGGCGTCACTGAGCCAGAGAAGATATACAAGTATCTTAACACACACGAACGCTCTCTGAATGACGCACAAGCAAACACACATCCAATATGCTCTCTCTCTCTTGTTCATACACATGGACACAGACACACCATCAGGGGATCACACATGTCATATCAGGTAAAGATGGTCATACGCTCACACACACACACACAGACAAGGACAGAGGAGGACGTATAGGAGTTGAAGAACAGCATGGCTCTGCATATAGACCTAGAAAGGTGCCTTGCCTCTGCATATAGACCTAGAAATTAGGTCAAGCTCCTCCAGGCCTGTGCCCCTCTTCTCTCCTCAGTGCTGTGAGCTTCCCACTGTTTACGTGCTGGAGTGGAGTTATTAAATGGAGAGCCTCTTCTCCTTGGGCAGCCGTATCCTCATATGTAGAGTACGACAGCGTTGTCAGAGGAGAAAAAGTTTGCACTCGAGAAAATTACCCTTGGCCTAAAAACTATCTGAGATTGGACTTCACCTGTTAACTTTTACCTCTCTCTCCTCCCGGGGCTATTATTACCCTGTCAGGAGGCAATAGGTGTTTGGGACACAGAGAGAGGGAAGAGTGACAGTTAATTTATCGTTCTTACGAGACCCCGTCAGAAACTGAAGCAGCAGAAGAAAGTCATTGTGCTCAGGTCCTTGAAGGCAACTGTGTTTAAACTCCCCTGAATGCTGAGAAACCCTCCGCTATTTGACTCCTGTAACCCACTCCTAACCCCGTCCCACCGCCTGGAATACACTCAGAATACACTCAAGAGTATTCAGGCACCAGAGGGGCTACTCTGCAGTGCTGGCCCCACAGGAAACAATTATCCAGAGTTTAGCCTCCACACACCTCTCCTCCCAAAGGAGACTCCAACTCTGCTCTGAGGGCAAGACAGGGCAACTACTATCAGGGAATAGTAGTAGTAAATGTGCTGTAGTGTGTGTGTGTGTGTGTGTGTGTGTGTGTGTGTGTGTGTGTGTGTGTGTGTCTGCCCAGACCTACTGTGCTTTTTTTGCCACACACACTGCAAACTTGACAGTGTTCTATGCTATAGTCCAGTCTCCAGTGTGTGTTTGGGTGAGTGTGTGTGTGTGTGTGTCTGTCCATGCTTACCTTTAAGTGAGTAGCTCTTTTGAAGGCCTTGCCACACTCTCTGCAGACGTGGCAGCGGTCCTTTCCGTGGGCCTGCCTGCAGTGGCGTCGCAGCGTGTTGGCGCTCTGACACACCTGATCGCAGTAGAAACACTGGTTCTGCTTCTGGTTCTCCCCCTGGTCCTCCTTCCCCATTGCCTGGCCCTCCTCTGATAGCTAGTTTCAACACAACACACACGTTACACACACTATCCTACCCACCGCCCGGTCCTTCTTAGACAGCTGGGCCCAGATTCACAAAACCTTCTTAAGAATACATTTCTTCTTAACTGCCATTTTATCCTTAACTATAGACTTATGAAGAAAGTTAAGCAAAGTTGCTATTCCTCAAAAAGGTTCTTGGAATTTTCTTGCGCTATTTCTTATGTTTCTCCTTAAGCAAAAAGTTAAGAAGAAATTAGATTCTTGAAAATATTGGAAATGTTCTTAATTTCAAAATAGCTAAACCCTTGTCTTAAACTCAGGGCGGTGAGAAAATAAGCTAATGAAAGCAATTGAACATGTTTAATTCACTCACAAACTTCATATGAAAGTTTCAGTATTAATTATTTGAAACCCAAGAACATGTTTTAGAACAGTAATCTCAGTACGAAATATGCTAACATGATTGCCATTGCTAGCTACAATAATTTTAAGAAGATATTTAAGGAGTTTGTAAGAAGATATTTGAGAAGTTTGTAAGAAAATCATGAAATCTTAAGATATTGTTGAGGAATTGCACTTACAAACTATCTTATGAACTTCTTATTGATTTTCTTAAGAAGGTTGTTACGTTTTTGGTAAGAAGTGTTTTGTGAATCTGGGCCCTGGTAACAACACAACACTCGTAAAGGTACACGCGCGAGCGCGCGCGCACACACACACACACACACACACACACACACACACACACACACACACACACACACACACACACACACACACACACACACACACACACACACACAGTGACTGACCCTGTAAACATTGTCGGGCTGTCCCTCAGTGGCCTGGGGGTGGTGACTGACCAGTATGACCTGCTGGGTGGAGCCGGCCTGTTGTCCTGAGAGATCCTGGTCACTGAGCATAGTTTGGTACTGCTGACTCTATGGAGAGAAGATACTCACTGTTACTGTGTGTATGTACACATTTTACTAAACTTGTGAGTACCAGAAGTCCTCACAAGAATAGTAAACCAACTAAAATTCAGAAAAGTGGTCCTCACTTGTAAAAAGTATATTTCAGGCTTAGGGGTTAGGTTTAGATTTAGGGTTAGAATTAGGGTTAAGGTTAGGGGAAATAGGATTTTGAATGGGAATCAATTGTTGGTCCCCAAAAAGTATAGTAAGATATAGCTGTGTGTGTGTGTGTGTGTGTGTGTGTGTGTGTGTGTGTGTGTGTGTGTGTGTGTGTGTGTGTGTGTGTGTGTGAGAGAGAGTGAGTGAGTGAGTGTAAGCACGCCCGTGTGTGTATTTTCAGAGTGGTTACCTGTGTGTGTGTGTGTGTGTGCATGATTGTGTGTGTGTTTCAGAGTGGTTACCTGTGCGTTGAAGTTGAGCGTAAATTGAGGTTGAGCGTCCAGCATACCCTGTGTGTCTGCCAGTGTGAGAGTCACGGTGCCGTCGCTGGCCATGCTCGATGACGACATCACGAGGCTCTGGGAGCCAGACGTCTGCGATAGGGAGGTGCTAGGTGGCAGGCTGGTGACTGACAGTAAGTAGGTGAGAATTTAACTTGACAGAAATACTTGCAAGATTTTAATAAGCATTTTTTTTGGCAATGCATTTTCAATGGGCAGAACGATGCACTGTGGGATATGAGAATCGCATGGAGAGCAAGCCATTGGAAATTGACTGGGAGTTGATTGGGCAGATGCCTGAGAACGCCACATGAACAGCAAATACGTGAAAAAAAAGCACATTTTACAGATATTTTCCAAGAGGTCATTAGATAATTTACTTTTTCTCTGCGACATCATTTTAAAAATCGTGATGTGAGAGTGTCAAGGGAAATTAGGCCTAGCAGCTTGGCCCACAATCACCACTACTAGGAAGTGAGTGACAAAGAGCTTGGCAACGGTGTTCCACAGTGTGAAAATGTGAATGGCCAAGAACCCCTAGTGCCCAATGTGACACAATTCTTCATTCATCCAACCAAAGCTTTACTATCGTCTCATTCTTTCATAATATCTCTCAATTAGATGACTCACTGTTGGTTAAATAAGAATACATTTGCAAAATGGCCAACTCCTCTCAATGCCTATTCATTGTTTGTCACAGAATGTTGTCCACTTGAGTTGAGAGGAGAGTGAGGACGATGGCTCCGAGAAGTTGATTAAACTCCACAAGTGATGAGCAGTGAGGTACTGTAATCAGCATGCTAATTGACCCATCTCTCCAGCTGAAGGAATCACTCAACACACTTTACATCACAGGCCCTTCACTGTGTAATCCAAGTGGGCTGCACAATGGGTGAGTAAAATGCAATCATACACACATGCGCACACACACAGCAGTGCTGCTGCCAATCCTTACCAGTCATGCCCGCGTTGCTCTGAGGTAGGAGGTGGTCATTGCCAATGGTAAGGGTGGTACCTGTGGTTTGGTGGGCGCCCTGGGGTGATGCCAGCCTGATCCCGCCAATCATCTCGCCGCCACCAGGGGTGCTGTGCTGCTGGAGGAGGTCTTGACCTTCAGAGAGAGAAAATACATTTTATCTCCAGCCCACAGTGACGTGATAAAATGATCTTCCCCGGGCCCTTCTTGCTCTTTCTATGTCTGCAGTCTTCATCTCTCTGTTTTGGTTTTGTTTACATTTATGCAAAGTTTGGTAACAGAATGACGGCACAAAAAGCACAAACCAGCATTCTGTTATAGAACTTCGCATCTGCACTGTTCGTCAAGTACCGGTAAATGTGTTTTTGTAAAATTTTCTGGGGAAATTTTTTAAAGTCATGCTTGTGCATAGACTTGTATGTTTAACTTTGAAATCATTGGTTTTTGTTTGGCATAAAACATGTTTTAGTCTCAGTATCATTCGGCTACTGTGAAATTGCCCCTCTGTGATTTGAATTCCGAGCAGAGTGGAGGGGAACTGATTCTGAGCTGTATATAGGTATCTCGGATTAAGTTTTGGGTATTGAAGGCTCCATGTATGAGGATGTTCTCGAGTGTGTATGCATCAGAATGAATCAAACTTGTGCCTGTGAGTGTGTGTGTGCTGGTGTGTGTATGTCAATTCACACACAAACACCTAACTTACATTTTTCTGGAATGTGAGTGTCGCAACGACATATTTAGGAGAATAGGAGAGGAGAATTCTTCGTGAACTATTCATACATATTTTGTGTATCTCACGATTAAGTATCCTAGAAGCGCTGTCGACGCATCTGGACAGTCTACCAATTCTAGACTCATGAAAAGACGTGTTCACGCCAACTGTAGAAAACACATTTCTTGATTTTCTGACCTTTTTATCCAGGCAATCACTTTGTGTACTTGGTTTGTTGAATTAAGGTGAACAGAAAAATAGATGATTGTGCTCCTGTGAGCCAGCTTATTTAGCTGCCACGTGTATGTTGGCATGAGCGAGTGAGTGCCTGTGGTCTGCTTGTGTGCATGTTTTCCTGTAGCTGTGTGTGTGTGTGTGTGTGTGTGTGTGTGTGTGTGTGTGTGTGTGTTTTTTTGCGGCTGAGTCCCACACTGATCTGTCAATCTCATTGAAAGCAAGCCTAAGAAGCGGTAGATCTGTTCTATGTGCACTTTTTCTATGCTTCCCTTCCTTACATTTAGTTTTTGAGTCTTTTGCTTTCGGTTTTATACACAAGCTTCAAACTGCTGAAAATACAATATTTTTGGTTATGGAAAATATATTTCACAGCGGTTTAGATGGTACAATGATTCTCTACACTATACTTGCTTGTTTTGTCACATAAACTGAAATTAAGTAAACTATTCGAATTTTAAGCAACAAGGAAATGGCAGACCAATTTATGCATAGTGCATCTTTAAAAGCATATTGAATTGGTGCAAGCATTAGTTGGATAGTTTCCTTCATTGTTAAATCCATGATGGGGAGCGTGCAAGTGTACACTTTGGGAGAAGTATGGAGAATAAGGACAGATCATTTGTGTGTGTCTACCTGATATGGTGAGTGTGATCTCCTGGGGGTGGTTGCCTGCAGCAGTGTTGGCACCAGCAGCAGCATTGGCCTGGGCCTGGGCCTGAGCTAGAGCCTGGGTGAGGCTGGAGTTGTTGATGGTCAGGGTGATCTCCTGAGCACCATGAGCCCCACTGGACACCAGGCCTGGAGCACTCATCACATGGCTCAGGTCCTGATGACAGCCTAAAGGGAGAAAGAGAAAGAACCGGGAGTTACAGAAGTCATCATTAACTAATTGACTCTCTTCTCTCCTATCTTTCCTCCATTCCTTCCTCTCTTTTTTCTCCTATCCTCTCCCCATTTCATCCCTCCTCTCCTTATCCCTCCCATCTCCCCCCATCCCTCCCATCTCCCCCCATCCGTCCCTCCTTTCCCCTGGCTTAGGCTGACACCCTATGCTGTCAAAGTAGGTCCAGCTGGTGTGAAAGCATGGCTGTAGAACAAACTCATTGTGACAGTTTCATCTCGGTGGGGCCACACATCACATACACTCATATCAACAACAGAAAGCTGTGTAGCCCAAAAAATAGGAGAGGGGCCACACATCACACACACTCATATCAACAACAGAAAGCTGTGGAGCCCAAAAGAGAGGAGAGGATATGAGTAGACGAGAAGAGAGAGGAGCTCATTTGTTAAAAAATACTTTAGTGAAACATCTACCCATTTTGTGTTTGGCTAAAAGGAAGCAAACGGATTCGGTGTCTGCGGGGAAAATCCAGATTTTCATGAATTATTCTGAGTGATAATGACCACGTTTACATGCACAATAATATCCTGTTATTATTCGGCATACTCAAGTAGTCTGTTTTTTAGTTGATGCATATAAACATCATATCCCGTTTACAATAACCCGAAAAAGCTTGTATCCCGGTTATGAGAAACCCGGATAAGATGCCTGGGATATGCTGATCGAAGACGGGATACTGTGGCATGTAAACATCTTATCCTGTTTAATGTTGTTTTTGCGGTCTGCGCAGGCTGAGTTTTGCATATTATGGGTGTTGTGTGATGATGTTTTCATCTGATTGTCAAACAGATCACTTCAAAAAGTAGACTACCTGCGCAGTTCGATCCACCATAATAATTCCATAATAATTTTGCCTACTATAATTGATTTACTATAATTTTAATAATGTTTCTTCTGCTTATGATTTCCGACATTTGGTAGGCCATTTGTCAACTAAAGTTTGATACACGCAGCTTCTCTTCTGTCATAACTTGTTGCCTCAGAAGACTAAATAAAGTAGTGCTCACCAGAATAATGTCTTACATCGATATAATTAATGCATTAGTAATCTAGTTAACACCTGTAAAGTTGTCTGTTTCATTTAGAGACCGGGAAGAAAACACATTAACTCCAAAACAGTCCTGTGCAAAATGACAAAATGTCATCAGTTTGACCGGTTTTAAGGAAATTAAAAGCTGAGAAAATTACGAAACACGTTTCTGAAAAGAGTTCTGTTCGTCTTGAGTGCATATTTTACGTGGTTGAAATACTGTCTGCTTGCATAACAGAGTAAAATATAACACATTTCACGCGCAGTCGCATTTTCTCAAGAGATGCTGAAATAAATAAATCATATTTCTCCACTCCTGTTCCCGAGACAAAATTAACATTTAAGTTAAAATTATATTACGCTACATGTGAGAGGTTACAGGCCAAAGTCAGTGTCCATATTTCAGTTACTATTCAATTTAATCCATATACTTAAATGAGGAATATTCTGTTTATTTACGGTAACAAGGATACTCATGAGCGGGATATCAAATGTGCATGTAAACAGCATGCACATTTGCGGGATTATACTACTATCTGGAATACTGTGCGCATGTAAACGTGGTCAATGTTAGTATAGGAATGCATATGAGAGGTATTGGGGGGAGAAGACGGGAGCACCATGCACCTGTGTTGTCAAAGCAAATGTATGCATCCGTTAAAGAAACAGGTAAGTTGAGGAGAAACGTGAACGGTTAAAAAACATTTAATGCAAAAGGCATCATCACAGTTTTTGCTTGGTACAGAAAGTGCTCCATCTTGAAAACGTGACTGCGGACATGCACAATGTTTTGGGATTGTAGTAACAGTGGACTAATAAACATAATACAAGTGAACTTTCCGAGTGAACTATGCCTTTAATTCTACTGAGTGATCATGTTAGTATAGGAACAGAAATGCGAAGTTCCGGGGAGAAGATGGGACCACCATGCACCTGTGTTGTCGTGCTCGCCAAGGCTGCCCATGGTGACGTGGCCGGGGCCGATGGTGGAGGGCTGCAGGGCCAGGCTGGTGAGCGGGTGCAGGACCACATTGGAGCAGGGCGCCGAGGGGTCTCCCGTGGCCATGAGGTGGGCACCAGGGTGGCTGGTCAGGCCTCCGTCTCCTGTCAGGGCATGGGAGAGGAGACATCCCTGCTGGAGAGTCTGTTGGAGGATGGCTGGGTCAATCTGGAGGGGATGGGAGAATCCCAATGAGTCAACACAGGAGAGGGGTGGGGGTAGAGAGAGAGAGAGAGGAAGAGAGAGGTGAAAAGAGAGAGGGAGAGCGATAGGGGAGCAGAGGAGAGATGATGAAAAAGAGGGAACAAAGGGAGAAGGAGAGCAAAGGAAAGAGAGGGCCACACACACAGTGCCGCACGCACACACACACACACCACACACACCCTGGAGCCACTCATTACCTGCAGTGTGATGTTGTTGATGTTGCTGGTGTCGATGCCAGAGATCTGGACGTTGGGACATACTAGGTTGGCAGAGGTGAGCTGGAGGTGGATGCCCTCCAGGGTAGCCAGACCCTCCGATAGAGACACTGTCAGGTCACCACCCGCTACAATATAATCACAAACCACACGATTAGATTAGACGACCTTTATTGTCCCAAGCTTGGATAATTTGATTAGCATTTTAAGTTCCACAACATCATTAAAGCACAATATGTAATCAAGTTTATACACAACACAAAACGGGCTGTTATGAAAAGCAGACTCCCACTCTGTGATATTTACAGCCATTTTCTATCGTTTAAATTAATCACAAACACCCATCTAATCTGGAAGAATGTCACTTACAAATGCATGATGAGCCCAGTTCAACTGTCTAGACTCTAAACCCACCATAAACCAAAATATAAGGTGTGGGACTTTGAGAAATTACTTCACTTAATTAATTTAATGCAGATTCTCGTAAATAAAAAAACGAATTGAAATAATTTAGATTTTTCTGTGTTTGCTCAATGTGCCTGCCTTCTGTCTGCTTGGAGAGACAATAGGAGAAGGGCTCAGAGTGACATATCATCCACTGGGGGATCTTTTAGGGAACTAGGGGGCTACATGCGGAGAGAGAGCGAGGCTGCCAGTAGCAACCTGAGTTGTGTGCCAGCAATGAGCACGGTGCGTGGAAGCCATTTCGAAGTGCTACTTGATTCTCAAACAGCGCTGTGAGGGAAATTCCCTTCATGGCTGCTTTTTTGGATGGCTTCCTCCTCGCCGCCAGTTTGAACAAATGACAGATTAGAGATGAAGTTAGCCAGAGTTCAGTCAAAACATTTAAACTCTAAAGTGTTTCAGAAGGAAAACTCCACAGATGTTGTTTCAGACTCCTTATTCCGTCCCAGTCTGTAGACCTAACTAACAGATACATCATACTGTAGTTGTAGCCTAGAATGTCTTAATGAATTGGATTGAAAAAATATAAGTAGGGCTGTTGCGGTGACCGTATTACCGTCACGAGTCGTGACGGCAGTCAAATTCCACGTGACCGTTTAGTCACGGTAATTTAGGCTTCTCGAAGCTCTGATGCTGCTGATGGTCATTAGTAGCCTACCAAACTTGCTAACTGCCTGGTACTCAGCATTCTATTGTCCCTCTAATCACTCTGACATCAATGCAAATGTAATCGAAAAATCTAATCAAACACTTCATGAGAGCCCATGAGCTCATGTTGCGCAACATTTCTATAGGCTATGCAATTGCGTGAGAAAACAGAGTGATGGCCTCTTTAAAAAGAGGAGGATCAGCTTTCTATAGGCTAGGCCTACTATATTTCCCGCTGCCACTGTTTCAATGTGTGCATGATAATGGTTCATTCTAAAGCAAAACAAATTCCACACATTATTTAGTATATGTAAAGACAAGATTAAAATCAAGAATAGTCTGATGGGTGACAATATTAGCCTATCACTTGTGAATGATGCCAGGCATAAGAAACAAAGCCTTTTTTTTGCAACTTTTTCAAATCATAGTCGCACACCTCATGTAGTCTAGCCAATAGGCCTATATGTTTTAATACGGTTTGTATCAACTAAATAACTTCTTAAAATTAAGTTATTAATCCGCTTTACAAGGGGTGTAGAGCCTAACTGGCATATATAAGTAGCGCATGACTTTCAAGTTTGGGGAAGATCATTTTCACCATAAAAATTGCACCTTTATAATTTACATTTTTACATTTTAATCATTTAGCAGACGCTCTTATCCAGAGCGACTTACAGTTAGTGAGTGCATACATTTATTTGTATTTATTTTTCATACTGGCCCCCCGTGGGAATCGAACCCACAACCCTGGCGTTGCAAGTGCCATGCTCTACCAACTGAGCTACACGGGGCCCATAATAAAGCATTACATGCATAATTGCATTTGCGGTCACTTTTGATGATGGTGTTTTCCGCTAATGGAACATTCGCGCTTATAGCCTAATACCATGTGTGCTTTGCTGCGCTTATAATGTGAAGAAATAGCCTAATAGTTTATGAACATTTTAAGCTAAACGTTCTGATCTGTTGCGTCAGCCACATTGCATAAAAAAGCTTTTTTGATGCTAGTGGTTGTATTAATTTGGGATCTATCCATCCCACAACTGTCCCAGACTATGTTTGGAATATTTATTTCTCGCACAGAATGGAATAGGTCGACTTTTGTACTATGGGGGATAGTAGATTGACATTAGGTTAGTGCTTTTTCTGTTCGTTAGGCCTACTCATCTTGTTGACTGCCGAAACGTAAAATGTGGACAGTTCTTCCAATATCTTCAATATGCACCTCGGAATTGGATAAGGACGCACGCAGTTGCATCCCCGATGTGTCTGTCTTCACTTGTAGCCTGTGAGAAAGGCCCGATCACATCACGGAGAGCCATGTGAGTGAGAGGCGCTTCGGATTGCGCAGCACACTCAGGGAGAAGGGCACAACGCAGCACTCCGGGCAGCAAAAGGCATGGATTTTTTTAGGGTGCATTACGGCCACAAAGGGGGTGTCGCCGTGAAATTCAAGGCATTATCAAGTGCTTGTCAAATTGTAAATGAGAGACTATTTGAGTGTGTACAGCCTGTGCAAAAAACAAAGCAGAGCTCATGCCTTTCAAGCGACTTTTTTCAAATCATCATTAGAGTCGCATCATGCAGCCTTACAATGTATTAAATATCAAAACATATAGCCCAACGTTTGTAGAACAACTAAAGTTACATTAATAACTCTAAATTAAGCATATAGGAGGACCTATTTCTTTGTTAACCGCTCAACACAGCATAGCCGCATGTCCGCACTCCCTCAAATCGTTTGGAGAAAATATTTCTATTTTATTCAGCTTTGTTCAATTGTATTCTTCATACTATAAAATAATATAAATATTATAAGCAAATTTTGTCTTCTAAATGAACTAGTGTAGCCCACATCCATTTGGCATAGCCACATCAGGACCTAACATAAGGACAACTCGCAGTATGCTATTATTTTCTTCTGAAATTGACTACATTTTCTTCATATCATGCTTCTTTAGACCTGTCTAAAATAAATAATGGATTTATTGTGAAGATGTAGGCTATATTACATGGATTTATTAGAATTTTTAAAATGGCTTGAAGGCTATGTGTGGAAGCCAGGAGATGCTAAATATGTTTATGTTAATTAACGGTCAATTACCGTGAGACCGACAGTTATTTGCTTGACAATCACCGGCTGATGAAATTTCGTGACCGCCACAGCCCTACCCTTAAGTCTACATAAGATGGAAACTTGTCTTTGACATGAGGCTCACACGAGGCAATATTTGCAGAACATTGGTCTTGCTTGTGAACCAGGTGTGAAAGACGTTGCCTGGCTACCCAGACTCCTTGCTCCGGCCAAATGCTACGTCACGCCCATGGATGTTAGTTTCTTCTTCACAATGAGTCTGGATCTGAGTGCCTCCCCGACCCTTCACCGAATTCAAACACATTCGGGGCCGTCTTATTGGTCCAGAAACCGATGGGTTCGAACACACGTGGGTAAAAAGGCGGTTTGGAAATTCGTCATTGGCTTTGATACTCTGATTGGTTAGAGACGATCCAATCGCTGATGACTTTGTTTTGTACAACAACCCTCGTGCCCCTCTTCACCACAAATGACCTTCAATTTACATTTTAGTCATTTAGCAGACATTTATCCAGAGCGACTTACAGTTAGTGAGTGCATACATTATTTTAATTTTTTTATACTGGCCCCCCGTGGGACTCAGGCTTCAAACCTCTCCTCTCAGTCCCAGACTATGGTTTGAATGTAGACTAGGCTAGGGTTGACTGTTCAGGTGAAATATGGTTGCTGTGCTGAGCAGCACTTGGGTGCATGCTTCATGTCAATAGTGGAAGGGGTGAGCTAGGCTTGCATAGGGTAATAAGTATTGGCAATAAGAATGAAATAATTCTGTGTTTGTGGCAATGGACAGTGAGTGTGTCTGTGCCAGGGTTGAGGTGAATTCCACCTAAGTCAGGAATTGAATTATATTTATATATGGAGAGAAACCCATGTGCAATTCAATATATGAATTGAATTGGAATTGACCCCCAACCCTGATGTGAGTGAGTGAGTGAGTGAGTGAGTGAGTGTGGCTGAGTGGGCCCTTACCTGACATGGAGGCAGGCAGGATAGTCTGGCCCACCAGGCTTTGCTGCAGAAGGTTCTGGTCAAACTGGCCTGTGAGGACCTGGTTGGCTGGAAGGTAGATGTTAGGGTCTGTGGTTGTAGCCTGGAGCAGGCCCACAGGGTGCAGGGTCTCTGTGTTAGCCGGGTGCTGCTGCTGGCCCTGGTTCTGGTTACTTCTGGACGATGCCGCTCGCTTGGCCTTCCGACCCTCCGAGCTGGGCCGGTAGTGACATTGGATGTGGGTCTTGCGATGGCCCGAGGTACGGAAGCGAAGCTCGCAGAAGGGGCATTTGAAGGGCTTGGATCCAGTGTGGAGACGCATGTGGACTTTCAGACTCCCTTTGGTGGAAAATGATGTGTTGCACATGTGACAGTTGAACAGCTTCTGACCTGCAGGAAGAGAACAACAGAATGATAGCATTGTTAACAGTAGGTTTCTTCTTGCTTTCCCTATAGTATGTAGCCCTAAAGGGGCTTTACTGTGTAGCACTGATTCTCATTATTTGACATAGTGGTAGGTTTGGCAATAATGTGGCTGAGGTCTGGGATCGGGTGAGGGCCGCCAGGGGTTTGTTTGTAGTGGGGGTTGGGAGGGGTTGGTGTTACGTCCAAAATGTGTATTGTGACTCTAGATTGATGTGAATCAATTAAAAAACTATTATTCTCAAAAAACGTTTGCCAATGATGTCCTGAAACTCAGTGTTTGAATGTCATTGTTCCATTGATGGATGTATCGCACCTCCGTTCTGACTGGCTGACCGATGCCTTTTCCTCGATTTCTCCCCTAGAGTACCAATAAAACGAGTCACTTTTCTGATTTCTGCCGTTCCAAAAGTTAATTCAGACGTCCCTACAGAGAATACTAATCCACAGCTCTTCAACAATAACTTGGAGTATTAGGCCTACTTAGTTCATGTCTGGGCCTTCTCATTAATCAGGGAGAATGAGTGTGTCTGCCCCGGAGTCAGAGTGTCAACCGCTGTAATTACCAAAAGAGAACAAGGTGTGAGGAGATATCATCTCCTAATATCCCTCTAATGACAAAACTTTTCTGCTGCCATCTTGCGCCGGCAATCAAACCTACAACTCCGTCCCATAAATCATCCGGCACAATTAGTCCCCACGTGTCACGATCGTCGTAATGAGTCGCAGCGTGAAATGCGCACATCTTTTAATGAGTACTTATACGACAATAACAAAACAACAAAACGATACGTGAAGTCCTAAGGTTAACAAAACACAAACCTCTCCGGAACAAGATCCCACAAATGACAAGTGCACAACAGGCTGCCTAAGTATGGTTCCCAATCAGAGACAACAAGACACAGCTGCCTCCGATTGGGAACCACCCCGGCCAACACAGAAACACACGATCTAGAAAAGAACACATACAGTGATGGAAAAAAGTATTTGATCCCCTGCTGATTTTGTACGTTTGCCCACTGACAAAGAAATGATCAGTCTATAATTTTAATGGTAGGTTTATTTGATCAGTGAGAGAGAGAATAACAACAAAGAAATCCAGAAAAACGCATGTCAAAAATGTTATACATTGATTTGCATTTTAATGAGGGAAATAAGTATTTGACCCCCTCGCAATCAGAAAGATTTCTGGCTCCCAGGTGTCTTTTATACAGGTAACGAGCTGAGATTAGGAGCACACTCTTAAAGGGAGTGCTCCTAATCTCAGCTTGTTACCTGTATAAAAGACACCTGTCCACAGAAGCAATCAATCAATCAGATTCCAAACTCTCCACCATGGCCAAGACCAAAGAGCTCTCCAAGGATGTCAGGAAAAAGATTGTAGACCTACACAAGGCTGGAATGGGCTACAAGACCATCGCCAAGCAGCTTGGTGAGAAGGTGACAACAGTTGGTGCGATTATTCGCAAATGGAAGAAACACAAAAGAACTGTCCATCTCCCTCGGCCTGGGCTCCATGCAAGATCTCACCTCGTGGAGTTGCAATGATCATGAGAACGGTGAGGAATTAGCCCAGAACTACACGGGAGGATCTTGTCAATGATCTCAAGTCAGCTGGGACCATAGTCACCAAGAAAACAATTGGTAACACACTACGCCGTGAAGGACTGAAATCCTGCAGCACCCGCAAGGTCCCCCTGCTCAAGAAAGCACATATACAGGGCCGTCTGAAGTTTGCCAATGAACATCTGAATGATTCAGAGGAGAACTGGGTGAAAGTGTTGTGGTCAGATGAGACCAAAATCGAGCTCTTTGGCATCAACTCTACTCGCCGTGTTTGGAGGAGGAGGAATGCTGCCTATGACCCCAAGAACACCATCCCCACGTCAAACATGGAGGTGGAAACATTATGCTTTGGGGGTGTTTTTCTGCTAAGGGGACAGGACAACTTCACCGCATCAAAGGGACGATGGACGGGGCCATGTACCGTCAAATCTTGGGTGAGAACCTCCTTCCCTCAGCCAGGGCATTGAAAATGGGTCGTGGATGGGTATTCCAGCATGACAATGACCCAAAACACACGGCCAAGGCAACAAAGGAGTGGCTCAAGAAGAAGCACATTAAGGTCCTGGAGTGGCCTAGCCAGTCTCCAGACCTTAATCCCATAGAAAATCTGTGGAGGGAGCTGAAGGTTCGAGTTGCCAAACGTCAGCCTCGAAACCTTAATGACTTGGAGAAGATCTGCAAAGAGGAGTGGGACAAAATCCCTCCTGAGATGTGTGCAAACCTGGTGGCCAACTACAAGAAACGTCTGACCTCTGTGATTGCCAACAAGTCATGTTTTGCAGAGGGGTCAAATACTTATTTCCCTCATTAAAATGCAAATCAATTTATAACATTTTTGACATGCGTTTTTCTGGATTTTTTTTGTTGTTATTCTGTCTCTCACTGTTCAAAAGTACAAAATCAACAGGGGATCAAATACTTTTTTCCCTCACTGTAGAAAACAAAACATAGACACTACACATATAAACTAACACCCTGGCTCAACATATAAGAGTCCCCAGAGCCAGGGCGTGACAGTACCCCCCCCAAAGGCGCGGACTGCGACCGCGCCAACTAAACCCAACAGGGGAGGGGCCGGGTGGGCATTCCGCCTCGGAGGCGGATCCGGCTCCGGGCGTGACCACCACCCTCTAACTACCCCCCCGTAGCGCCCCTGGTCTGGTCCCGCTGGCTGGAGCTGGCCTGGACATCGGTGGAGCGGATTGCTTAGGCTCCGGTGTGGAGCACCGGTGAAACAGGCACGGGCTGTGCCGGACTGACGACGCGCACCACAGGCTTGGTGCGGGGAGCAGGGACGGGCCGGACAGGGCTGGCGACGCGCACCACTGGCTTGGTGCGGGGAACAGGAACGGGCCGGACCGGGCTGACGACGCGCACCACTGGCTTGGTGCGGGGAGCAGGAACGGGCCGAACCGGGCTGACGACGCGCACCACTGGCTTGGTGCGGGGAGCAGGAACAGGCCGGACCGGGCTGACGACGCGCACCACAGGCTTGGTGCGGGGAGCAGGAACAGGCCGAGCCGGGCTGGCGACGCGCACTACAGGCTTGGTGCAAGGGACAGGAACAGGCCGGGCCGGGCTGGCGACGCGCACCACAGGCTTGGTGCGAGGAGAAGGAACAGGCCGGGCCGGGCTGGCGACGCGCACCACAGGCTTGGTGCGAGGGGCAGGAACAGGCCGGTCAGGGCTGGCGATGCGCACCACATGCTTGGTGCGGGGAGCAGGAACAGGCCGGGCCGGGCTGGCGACGCGCACCACAGGCTTGGTGCGGGGAACAGGAACAGGCCGGACCGGGCTGTGGAGACGGACTGGAGGTCTGGAGCGAAGAGCTGACACAACCCGCCCTGGCTGAATGCCTATTTTTACACACTCTGTGTGAGGCATCAGCACAGGACGTACAGGGCTGTGTACTTGTACTGGCACTACAGCACGTGGCACTGGCGCAGGATATCCGGGACCGAGGAGGGGTACTGGAGGCCACGAGCGTTGAGCCGGCACACTCCGTCCTGGCTGCATGCCCACCTTAGCACGACACGTGCGTGGTGCTAGCACAGGACGTACAGGACTGTGCCGGACCACTCGCGGTACAGTACGCAGCTCCGCATACCTCGGAACCTGCCCAGTCTCACGCTGCCTAGCCTGAGTACGGGGAGTTGGCTCTGCTCTCCCTCTAGGCTCCGCCAACCTCCCTTCCAGCCCCCTAAACCCGGTGGCCTCCTCTCCTAATCCACAAACTCGCCCTGTAGCTGCCTCCAGCAGCCCCGTCGTCTATGCCGTGTGCCCCCCCAAAATTTTTTATTGGGGTTGCCTCTTGCGTGTCCGACGTCGGCACGGTTGGCGCTGCTGCTCCTCTCTATGGCACGCCTTCACCGTCTCCTCCCACGGACGGCGATCCATTCCAGCCTGGACACGCTGCTTGGTCCTGTTATGGTGGGATCTTCTGTCACGATCGTCGTAATGAGTGGACCAAGGCGCAGCGTGAAATGCGTACATCTTTTAATGAGTACTTATACAACAATAACAAAACAACAGAACGATACGTGAAGTCCTAAGGTTAACAAAACACAAACCTCTCCGGAACAAGATCCCACAAATGACAAGTGCACAACAGGCTGCCTAAGTATGGTTCCCAATCAGAGACAACAAGACACAGCTGCCTCCGATTGGGAACCACCCCGGCCAACACAGAAACACACGATCTAGAAAAGAACACATAGAAAACAAAACATAGACACTACACATATAAACTAACACCCTGGCTCAACATATAAGAGTCCCCAGAGCCATGGCGTGACACCACGGCGCCGTTAGATGATAAGACATGCAAATGAGGCGGATTGAAATATTCTTCATAATAAATTAGGAATACGCATCCAAGAATTTATAAACTCTCTTGTTTTTGAGTACGGATCCTCTTACACGGCATTTACTGATTGATTTACATAATATAACTCTTAAATTGTGGATCAAAGTGCACTCCACACCCACAGAGTTGGATCATATTGAGAACATATTGTAGCTAATGTAGTAACAACCCAAACGTCACTTAAACTAATTAATTAGGGAAAGATCAGCCTACGCTACTCCAACGGTGGCATTTTAACTAATGTTCCCTCCTACTGTATTTCCTCGGATCCATCCCACTCCATCTGATCAGATGGAGTTGGGAGTACACACTGTGCACTACACACTGACCTGTGTGGGTCTTTATGTGGCAGTCCAAGGTGGACTTCACTGTGAAGTTCTTCCCACACTCGTCACACTTGTAAGGACGCTCTCCTGTGTGGATCCGGATATGTCTAAAGAGAGAGAGAGGAGGGAGGGAGGGAGAGAGAGCGCGAGAGAGAGAGAGAGAGAGAGAGACAAAGTTACTCATGAACATTCCTGTTAGAATGGAGAGAGTGTTAAGGGAATGCTTTAGGTTAAGTTTCAGAGTTTAATAATGAATTAAAAGAAGTTAAATTAAAAGAAGGTTCACATTCTTTTCATAAAAAATACAGTGCAACACAATGCATTTATCACCTGCGGCCATTCTGATGTTTTCCTATTTTCATTTAGCATGCTTTGTGCTTACCAAGGACTTCTTCTCTTCTGAACTTGAATCTGCAAGGTTTTCAGGCACAAGGCCATTGACTCAGCAAAATTATTAGTTTACTCCCTCATATAACTTTGTTCTTTGTTTTTAATATGTATTAGGGAACTTTGTTAGGTCTCCCTGAGTCTCCCTGAGCGAGGACACGTTTATTTTTAAATATTTTATTTTTTGCTGACAAAGCAAAATGATGCTGGGCCAATAGTTCGCCGCCCTATTGGACTACCAATCAGATACAGCCTGGAATCAAACCAGGGTCTGTAGTGACGCCTCTAGCACTGAGATGCAGCCACTCGGGAGCCATTTAAAAACACGTTAGCTTTCTTGTTTTTGATAAAAGAGCACCATGAAATGAAGTGAATATATCTTTGTAGCAGCCATCCCTGGGGTGTTGCTGTCGTTTCCCCTTGTTTTTGGCAGGCTTAGTGACTCCATAATTAGGCTACTTTAGAAGAACTTCTGAAATTAAAAACTAAGCCTTCCCATAAATACTTCAATATGGCCTGGAGTTATGGCTGGTCGCCAGGGGGAAGTTTGAGGAAGCCATAATGATCATTACTTAATATATTACCCCAATCAAATATTCCTCGCCATTAATTGCAACCAAACTTTTATGGTCCAATAAAACCAGAGTTAATTTCAGCGGAACCTATTCTCTTGGCAGCGGAACGTTTTATGCTCGGGTGGCAATGAACGATGGACCGAAAGTAACTGAAAGTTACTGCCCGAAACACTGTACTAAAGAAATTAGCTGTTGATATGGCACCTCTCTCCATTTCATAGCAGTCTTTTTTCTTCTTCTTCCAAGATGACCGTAAAATGATGGGACAATTCCAGCTGTCAAACTAGATCATACCTCTCCTCACTCAGCTCAAGTATAGCGGAGGCATCATTCTTTAAAGGGGAAATCTGTGATTGCTACATATGATATATACTCATGGATTTATATATACCCATTGATTTTTGAAGAATATAACGTACGACTCATGAGCTTAGTTCAACTGTCGTACCCCATCAGAACCCAAAATATAACATTGCTTTACTCCATTGTTTGTAAACAATGCAGTTGTAAACAAACACTGTATAGCCTCAAAACATGATTACAAATATGCATTTGTAATCATGGATGGTCAGTCCTTGCATCCATACCTCTTTCTATGAATTTGAGAGTGGTTACATTTCTCCAGCACAATCACTCAGCTGTTTACCCAAACAGCGATGGGGGACCGCTGTGTTATTGTTTGAACTGCAGATTGACGCTTTAAGAAACAGTTTGCCTGTCACACACTGTTCACACACCGGTGGAACACTAGTGTCAAACGAGAAGAAAATGAAGAGGGAAACAACTCATTTCTCCAGCGCCACAATCATATTTACAGGGGAGATACAAATCTAAATCGGCTGTTTAACAGCTTGTTTGGCAGTGATCTCACAAATTAACTCACCAGTAAACATGTGTGTGTATTGGCAGGTGATAAGCACCCCACTAATACTAACCCTGTCAGCCAGCCAGCCAGCCTGTGAGTGCTGTTGGCTGTGTTAATAACTTCAGATAGGGTCTATTGTGGAGCCCCTCTCAGAGCAGTGCAGAAAATAGGCCTGCAGTGGAAACTGTTGTAGTGACTGGGAGGAGGACTCTTCTTCTGGGAGAGAGGTTGGGTCAGGGCTGCAGTGTGGAGCCTGTTCAGGACCATGTAATTGGGTTCTTTGTAGTGGAGGGCTCTTCTGGGATAATAGGAAGGGCATAGTGGGTTATTTAGGGGCTGACAATGAGCTGGGCATTGCTCTTTGAGAGGTCCGGGAGTAGAGGGCGGCTGGAATGACAAGGTAACTCTTCAACCGATGGGAAAGACAATCATATATGTGTGTGTGTGTGTGTGAGTGAGTGAGTGAGTGAGTGAGTGAGTGAGTGAGTGAGTGAGTGAGAGAGTGAGTGAGGAGTGAGTGAGTGAGATGAGTGAGTGAGTGAGTGAGTGAGTGAGTGAGTGAGTGAGATGGAGATGAGAGATGAGAGAGAGAGAGAGAGAGAGAGAGAGAGAGAGATGGAGATGGAGATGGAGATGGAAGTAGAGGCACATGGGGTGGACTGCACCTGAACCTGACTACAGAGAGGAGCCCCTCTCAAAGAGCTCAGAGGTGTGGAGAGGTGGGGGAAACTTTAACCCCAAGAGCAAGATATTCAGAGACACAGAGAGAGTCTGAGTTGCTCAGAGTCAGAGCATGAGGGGGAATAGGACCAGGGCCTAAAATTAACACCCGCCATGTCTATTTCACCAGTCACGTTGGCGGTTGATCAGGGCTCCACGGTGCAAGCGTTTCACTCGCATTTGCGATTAAAAATAGAGTTAGAAGTAAAGTACGAGCACATTTATAGCAAAATAAATGCTGCAGTAGCTGTTTTCAAAGTGTTTCTGTCGTTTTGTTTCATAGCTGGTAGCTAATATCCCACCTAGCGCTAAACGCAGCAACACTGCCTGGCTTGGGAGCTGTGTACACTGTGATTGAACTGCTGAAGAAGTCTCATTTTTAGAAGCGCTGCGCACAGGCATAAAAGTTGGTCTAATTTACTCGAAAGTCTACTAAAGTGAGACTTGTGTTTCTTGGCTATTTACATTGCTTTGTTCACAAACTAGGTTGTTTTTCAATGCTAGAGTTTGCGTCAACTGCTAGCAAAGACACATAGGCTTCTAGTCAGATTCTGTACCTCACAGGCACACTGTTATGACTAGGGGTGTATTCGTAAATTGGAGTGCCAGAGGACTCCTCACTCTGACCATTTGACTCGCCCTAGCAGAGGTGGATAGGCTGTTTTCATGTTATCTAGAATGTTGGTGACTAACTGTGATGCTGGCAACAATTTAATTACGCTTTTTTGCCGACGTTTACTGGCACCTTTCGTAAATTCATCAGTTATTCTGCGCTCTGGCACACTCAGACGAGAGTGCTCTGAAATCGGAGTAGATAGCCAGAGTAAATTTATGAACGCGCCCTAGACTCTGAGCAGCTAGACTGCCCTGGTTGCCATGGTAACCTCCATCAAAGGAAAAAAAAACACACAAAATCACTCATTCCTATAATTTACAGTGTTAAATAACAATATTATGTGAGAACAATATTTTTTGTGAAGAAATGTTTTATTTTAGCGTTTTAATAAGGTTGGTACCAACATGTGAAAATCGTTGTGGAAATTTGTTGCAGCTCAAGTCCTCTACAAAACCCACAATGCAATGCTCTCTGTAAGGGCTGGCTAGCTAGCAAACGTAGCTACACACAATAAAACCAAAGTCAACATCAGCATGTGAAGTAGCTAGTTAGCTGTAAAATCGCCTAAACAAACTGCACTATCAATTTAGAAGTCTACAATCTCACCATGTTCAACCTGCAGATCGATGTGCCTAACAGAGTGTTGTCTGACATTCGCAATGGCACCCTGGACTGAAGAGGCAGACAAATAGGAGAAATGTGCTAGACCCTCTGTTAAATTACACATTTCTTGAGGTAGGAATGTCGCAAAAACATGATCAATGGCTCATTCGAAGACAACCTCCCGCGTTATGACATCGGCCAGTCTTGAAATTTGACATGTAGGATAGATGTTTTTGTGATCTAAAAGCAATATTCCTATTAACCTTTAGTGTAGTGAGATGCTTCATACCAGCCGAATTTCTGCCTGCTTGAACGGTAATAACACAGACACATGAAACGACCCAGGGAATCGATAGAACATCGCTCAGAGATGCATAAAAACAATATAACATTCAAAATGGGTGAATCTTTCCTTTAAAGGGGCAGCTGAACATTCTTGTCTCATCTGTGATATTTTGATTTTTAAAAATGAAATAGCATCGGGCAATATACCACATCACTTCTTACTAGTAATACATTTCTTGTTTTAGAAGCATGCTCATCCGTTTTTTGGGGGAGGTTTTGGTGTAATTAGTGGCTGGTCGATTTCTAAATCTACCTGCCACAGTGGCTGGTGGACCGAAAAGTTAGTATCAGGCCCTGAATAGGACAGAGAGAGTGAGAGACAGAAAGTAGATGCAGAGAACGTCAGAAAAAACATAAAGAGTATGGGACAGAGAAAGAGAGACAGAAACTCGATGAAGAGAGAGTGAGAAAGAGCATATAAGAGAGTACGGGACAGAGGGAGACAGTTCTCTGACACTCAGATCACCTGACGAGGTCGCTGGGCTTCTTGAAGCTCTTGGGGCAGAAGTTACAGCAGTTGGCAAACTTGGGCTCAGTCTCCAGCTCCACCGCCTTGTCCTTGATCTCGCTGATGCGGTCGCGCTCCGCCGCCGACTGGGCCAGCACCTTCTCAGACACTGACGCCTCGTCACCAGGGTCATTCTTGGCCAGCTCCTCCGCCTGCTCCTCCGTGAAGGTTATGATGTTGGCCCGGTTCCTCTTCATCACGGTCTGCTCGCCCTCCTCTTCCTCCTCGCCGTCCTCATCCTCCAGGCCTGCGAGGGGAGAGACACATTATAAGAGGAAAGGATACACATGCTCCTTGAGTGTCACTCAACATCACGTCCATGACCCCATTTCAGATGTATTTTAAATCATTGCTGCTTGTCAATATAAGCTTGTCAGGCAGAATATAATTAAATAGAATATTACCAAAAGTAATATCCAAACTATATGGAAGCAGGCTAAATCAAATATTTCAAATATTTGGAAATCGTATGTGACCCAGGTCTGCTTTACCTTTTATGTAATCATGGCTAATTGCCTTTTTCCAGGGGTGTCAAACTCATTTTGCCTGGGTCAAACCTATCTTCGCAGAGGTCTGGCGGGCCAAACTGAAAATTGTGTATATTACCTTGCTGTCAAAATCCACATAAAACTTCAAGAAAGCCGAATCTCATTTTACCCTCACTTTTCTGACAAAATGTGCAAAAGTACATTTTTAAAAAGTGTATATCTCTACAGAGTATACACTACATGACCAAAAGTATGTGGACACCTGCTTGTCAAACATCTCATTCCAAAATCATGGGCATTAATATAGAGTTGGTCCCCCCTTTGCTGCTATAACAACCTCCACTCTTCTGGGAAGGCTTTTCACTAGATATTGGAACATTGCTGAGGGGACTTGCTTCCAGTCAGCCACAAGAGCATGTTGGGCGATTAGGCCTGGCTCGCAGTCGGCATTCCAATTCATCCCAAATGTGTTCGATGGGGTTGAGGTCAGGGCATTGTGCAGGCCAGCCAAGTTCTTCCACACCGATCTCAACAAACCATTTCTGTATGGACCTCGCTTTGTGCACAAGGGCATTGTCATGCTGAAACAGGAAAGGGCCTTCCCCAAACTGTTGCCACAAAGTTGGAAGCAGAGAATCGTCTACAATGCCATTGTCTGCTGTAGCGTTAAGATTTCCCTTCACTGGAACTAAGGGGCCTAGCCCGAACCATGAAAACAGCCCCTAGACCATTATTCTTCCTCCACCAAACTTTGCAGTTGGCACTATGCATTGGGGCAGGTAGCGTTCTCCTGGCATCCACCAAACCCAGATTCGTCCATCGGACTGCCAGATGGTGAAGCGTGATTCATCACTCCAGAGAACGCATTTCCACTGCTCCAGAGACCAATGGCGGTCGAGCTTTACACCACTCCAGCCAACGCTTGGCATTGCGCATGGTGATCTTAGGCTTGTGTGCGGCTGCTCGGCCATGGAAACCAATTTCATGAAGCTCCCGACGAACAGTTATTGTGCTGACGTTGCTTCCAGAGGCAGTTTGGAACTCGGTAATGAGTGTCGCAACCAAGGACAGACGATTTTAAAAGCCTACGCACTTCAGCACTAGGCGCTCCCGTTCTGTGAGCTTGTGTGGCCTACCTCTTCGTGGCTGAGCCGTTGTTGCTCCTAGAAGTTTCCACTTCACAATAACAGCACTTACAGTTGACCGGGGCAGCTCTAGCAGGGCAGAAATTTGACAAACTGACTTTTTGGAAAGGTGGCATCCTATGACGGTGCCACATTGAAAGTCACTGAGCTCTTCTGTAAGGCCATTCTACTGCCAATGTTTGTCTATGGAGATTGCATGGCTGTGTGCTTGATTTTATACACCTGTCAGCAAAGGATGTGGCTGAAATAGCCAAATCCACTAATTTGAAGGGGTGTCCACATACTTTTGTATATACTGTATCTCTGTACCTATATAATTAAATAGAAAACTGACCAATATGGCTGCCATTATCAGCAAAATCTAGAGCTAAACAGATCTATGACACTAGCCACTAGTGTATATCTCTATGGCCATGTCCCAAATACCTCTCCTTTCTCCCTAAGTGTGCACTTGTTCACTTCCCTTCACTGATTTGGAAGGAAATACGAAATAGCATAGAAACTCCTACTAGCCCATACCTCCACCAATCCAATGCTTTTAGATTCGTGGGAAGTAGTGAACGAATGCACAATTTTTAGGAGAAAGGAGATATTATTGGGACGCACCCTATGTCTGTACCTCTGTCCACTTCGGCGTGTTCTTTCTTCATGTGCCTCCTATACAGCACGCTGGTGCGGAAGCTGTCCTCACACATGTGACACTTGTAGGGCTTCAGGTGAACGACCATGTGGCGGTTCAGACTGCCGTTGGTGGTGAAGGAGCTGTCACACACGTTACACCTATAGGCCTTCACTCCTAGGAGAGGGAGCAAGAGAGATGGAAAGAAAAATAATAATATGTTTCATCAGTGTGTTGACCAATAAGGTTTGGGTTTCCCAAAGAATTTGTGGCTATAGTATTTCTCTCCACAACCCAGTTGCTCAGCCGCGAGAGAGAAATAGACATTTGACGGTCGTACGTGAACGAACAGAATTCGTCAAATGAAGCACTTTGCTGTCCTACGAGAGGCGTGAGTCTGGGTCGGCGAGATAAATAGCGTGCTATTTTAACTATGCAGGCAGTGTTGAGGTACACTGTTCTTACCTGTGTGTGTGTTGAGGTGGGACTTGAGGACCCCTGCTGAGACGAAGCATCGGCCACAAATGTTGCAGCAGTAGGGTTTTTCTCCGGTGTGGGAGCGCACGTGTTGCTTCAGATGGCTGGACTTCTTAAAAGGTTTATTACACATGCTGCACCTGGGGGGAATCAAACACACAGGTCGTGTTCCTTAGGAATCAAACAGAAGAAAACAGACTAAAACAGGGAGGGACTAACTGACTACCAACAGGAAACACTCATTTGCTAAACATTTTCCATTGCGTGCCCTAATGAACACGACCATGATATAATAGAGACTGTCTGTTTCTGTCAATGACATGTGTATCAATAAAGCTCCTATCAAAAGTCACAAATCATCAGTGAACAATACTGACAACAGGAATCATTTGAAAGTTCCACCAGCGATTCACAAAGCAAGTTGCAGTTTATAAAAGTACATCAGACTGTTTGTGAAGAGTGGAATAATTGAAAAGAAAGGTCACTAACTCAGCCCTATGGCCTCTGTTTGTGCTTTCTGTTTGTAAGGTGTGAGTAATTGTGAGTTATGTGATAAAGCTCCACCACTACAGTGAGGGAACAAAGTATTTGATCCCCTGCTGATTTTTTTCCGTTTGCCCACTGACAAGGACATGATCGGTCTATAATTTTAATGGTAGGTTTATTTGAACAGCGAGAGACAGAATAACAACAAAGAAATCCAGAAAAAAACGCATGTCAAAAATTGTATACATTGATTTGCATCTTAATGAGGGAAATAAGTATTTGACCCCCTCTCAATCGGAAAGATTTCTGGCTCCCAGGTGTCTTTTATACAGGTAACGAGCTGAGATTAGGAGCACACTCTTAAAGGGAGTGCTCCTAATCTCATCTTGTTACCTGTATAAAAGACACCTGTCCACAGAAGCAATCAATCAGATTCCAAACTCTCCACCATGGCCAAGACCAAAGAGCTCTCCAATGATGTCAGGGACAAGATTGTAGACCTACACAAGGCTGGAATGGGCTACAAGACCATCGCTAAGCAGCTTGGTGAGAAGGTGACAACAGTTGGTGCGATTATTCGCAAATGGAAGAAACACAAAATAACTGTCAATCTCCCTCTGCCTGGGGCTCCATGCAAGATCTCACCTCGTGGAGTTGCAATGATCATGAGAACGGTGAGGAATCAGCCCAGACCTACGCGTGAGGATTTTGTCAATGATCTCAAGGCAGCAAAAGTCACATAGTCACCAAAAAAACAATTGGTAACACACTACGCCGTGAAGGACTGAAATCCTGCAGCGCCCGCAAGGTCCCCCTGCTCAAGAAAGCACATATACATGCCCGTCTGAAGTTTGCCAATGAACATCTGAATGATTCAGAGGAGAACTGGGTGAAAGTGTTGTGGTCAGATGAGACCAAAATGGAGCTCTTTGGCATCAACTCAACTTGCCGTGTTTGGAGGAGGAGGAATGCTGCCTATGACCCCAAGAACACCATCCCCACCGTCAAACATGGAGGTGGAAACATTATGCTTTGGGGGTGTTTTTCTGCTAAGGGGACAGGACAACTTCACCGCATCAAAGGGACGATGGACGGGGCCACCCAATCTTGGGTGAGAACCGCCTTCCCTCAGCCAGGGCATTGAAAATGGGTTGTGGATGGGTATTCCAGCATGACAATGACCCAAAACACACGGCCAAGGCAACAAAGGAGTGGCTCAAGAAGAAGCACATTAAGGTCCTGGAGTGGCCTAGCCAGTCTCCAGACCTTAATCCCAGAGAAAATCTGTGGAGGGAGCTGAAGGTTTGAGTTGCCAAACGTCAGCCTCGAAACCTTTAATGACATGGAGAAGATCTGCAAAGAGGAGTGGGACAAAATCCCTCCTGAGATGTGTGCAAACCTGGTGGCCAACTACAAGAAACGTCTGACCTCTGTGATTGCCAACAAAGGGTTTTGCCACCAAGTACTATGTCATGTTTTGCAGAGGGGTCAAATACTTATTTCCCTCATTAAAATGCAAATAAATGTATAACATTTTTGACATGCGTTTTTCTGGATTTCTTTGTTGTTATTCTGTCTCTCACTGTTCAAATAACCCTACCATTAAAATTATAGACTGATAATTTCTTTGTCAGTGGGCAAACGTACAAAATCAGCAGGGGATCAAATACTATTTTCCCTCACTGTGTCTGCACGGCCTTTGGAATGAGACAAAGAGAGATTATCTCCCCACAGATATGAGGTGTATCTGTGTACTTAGCTAAACAGAATGTGGAGTCTAATGTTGATACATATACAGGACTCCATACAGAGCATTAGACCAAAACTGATGTCACACTATACCACACACTAATCCATTCTCAATGTGTAAGGCTGCACAACACTTTTCTTGATTACATCTGTGTTATATCTGAAAGTTCAGTAGTTTACAATCTCAAATACACATCCCCTTTCCATATCTATCTAATTGATGTCCTCCTTTCTCTTGGTTTGTCTATTCCGCTAGCTGTTTCATCCTAGATAGGCACTAATAATACATTGTGTGCTGACGTGGTAGGGATTTTGTAATATACATTTTTTTTTTTTGCATCCGTTCTGAGTGCCATGGGGAACAACAGAGGGAGAGCTGAATAAAAGCATGACACATTACTCAGTCCCCTTGTCGTCCCACTCTCTGTTTCCATCAGTGACTAGTGTCCTCTGCTACATCTGACGCACAAGTTAGTTAGAAAACGAAGAGCTTGTAGCAACACAAGCTACCACAGTCACCTTTACAGACAGGAAGCAAGCAGAGTTAACTCATTGGCTGCTTCGCAAATGGCAACCTATGGGCCCTGGTCGAAAGTAGTGCACAAGATAGGGAATACGGTGCCATTTGGGACACAGTTATTTAGTTGAGCAAATTCTAAATAAACAAACTGAAAGCTAGCGGTAGTGGGGCTTCGAGGAACTTAACAAAAGGCTTTAGAAAGAAGGAGACGAAGACTGACTGTATTAGCGGGATTGTTGCGCGGTGGTGTGAATAACAAGTGATTACTTGGTGGGTAGGATAAAAAATAGCTTGATTCTAAAGACCTGAATATGATGTGTGTCGCACTCAAAATTGTCACTGTATCAGGAGACAATGACAGCGACGGTGGAGAGATTCTGATAGCGTTATCGTAGCTTTGCATTCCTCTGTGTCGACTGCTAATGCTGGCTACAGCCCTACAGCACAACTGTTGATAATGGTGCATAACAGTGTTATCTGCTGACGAGCAGGGAACCTCAATGACAGAAAGTAAATGCATCTATTACTTGCAGAAAGTCATAGGCTCGCTCTCACACACATTTACATTTTAGTCATTTAGCAGACGCTCTTATCCAAAACGACTTACAGTAGTGAGTGCATACATATTTCATACCATTCATTTTCTTTTTGTACTGTTCACCGTGGGAATTGAACCCACAACCATTGCAAGCGCCATGCTCTACCAACTGAGCCACACCAGACACACATAAACACATGCACACACACACACACACACACAGACACATGACACACACACACGTGTCCACACAGACACACACACCTGTAAGCCCTCTTGCTGTTGTCCTCGCTGTCGTCTGGGTCTTGGTAGTCTTGTGTCTGGTCGGACAGCTGGAGGTCTCCTTGGCTAGTTTCCTGGAGCAAGCCACTCGTCTAAACAGAAATACATGCAACCGTTAATTAACTACATTGTGATTAATCACTGACTACAAAAGAACTACTTGACAATATGCTATTCAATCTATGTGAACTGACTACTTAAGGTTGAATTTATTCACAAGCAACATTTAATTCAGCCGTTTTTGGCTTGATAGAACACCCGCTAAATTAGAGTGGCAAATAGGCTCCGAGACAGCTTCTACCCCCAAGCCATATGACTACTAAATAGCCAGACTGCTAAATAGGCAATTAATGATACCCAAACTATCTGCACTGACTCTATCTTACACTGACCCTACGCACACTCACTAGAATTTATATACACACACACACACCACACACACACACACTACACTGTCACTCCCACACAAATCCCTCACACATTCAAACACTGCATACTCACACACACACACACACATACCTACACAACACAAACATATGCACACACACTTTTCCACTCATCATTTGCTGCTGCTACTCTGTTCTTTATTCTTCTTATTATCTATATGGAAGCCTATTTACTTTACCCTGCCTTCATGTACATATCTACCTCAAGTACCTCATACCGCTGCACATTGATCTGGTACTGGTACTCCCTGTATATAGCTCCATTCTTGTGTATTTTATTTGATTCCTATATATTTTTTTTACTCGTAAGCAAGCATTCTACTGTAAAGTCTACACCAGTTGTATTCGATGCATGTGATAAATACAATTTGATAATTCCCTGGTTTTTTCGGAAATCGCTATGGAAGGGTTTCCTGAGAACTTTGGGGAAATTTTGCAACCTCTACTCTACATAGAGCCAAGGCCACGCTATGACGGTGAGATGGAAGTCCCCTGTGGAAGGTGTGGAGGTAGAGGCTGACGGTGCAGGACTCACCGCCTCTTGGCTGGGCACATGGAGCAGGTTCTGGGGGTGGTAGCTGGAGGACAGAGCCTGAGACTCTAGGGTGCTGGAGTCCTGTAGCTGCTGCACTGTGGAGAACTGGGCCTGGGCATAGCCCTCTGCGGTGATGGTGAAACCTGCAGGAGGACACACAGGGGTACAGTCAGCGCTAGAGCATACAAAGGGTTAACCCTGTATGAGAACTTAAGGGACCCTAGCAACTCTAAAAGGAGGATGTATACACATGTGGAGGCTTGAAATCGAAGGACGGGCACATTGTCATGGCTGTAAAGGATACCGTTCCATTCATTTTAATTCCAGGAACCCGTCCTCTGATTTCTCCCCCCGCAAGCCTCCACTGGTACACACATTGCACCTTAGAATAGACTAATTGATGACACAGATAGAAGTGGATTTGAAAAGCCTATTATGGATAAACTTCACACTTCTCAACAGGAGATGCATTCAGCACCACAGCACGCAACGAGTTAACCCTGTATATCTGGCTAGAGGCTAGAGCCTTGGCCAAATGCAAAATTAGAAGAGTCAGAGGATTAATGAATGACTTACTGCAAACATGACATGGCTAAAAGTGTGGTTGGAAAAGTTAAACAAAAGCTAATTAAGGATTGCTACGGCTCACCCTCCTATAACGCGCCATTAACAGACTGAGCCCATGCCGCCAGTCTGTGTCTGTGTGTGTGTGTGTTTGTGCGTGTGTGTGTGTGCACACATGTGTGTGTGTTTGGACAAAGACTGTGCAGGAAACTTGCAGAGCCTACGCCACCAGTCGGATTGTCTTAGGGTGTAAATTAGGGGACTCTCTGAACCACACAGTCATTCATTAAAGCTCCAATCACTGACATGAATGAATGGTCCCGATTCATTAAATACTGGCAGACGGCAGAGAAACATTCTAGGAACTTTCAAATAATTCCTTAATTTCCTTCTTGAAAAGAACAAGAGAGGAGAGGAAATGCGTAGAAGTCCATCTCGTGGAATACCACACGTGCTAATGAGAAACAGACACGCATGCAGACACAGACACACACACACACACACCGATATCCTCCCTGCTGTCAGTCAAACTTTTTACTTTAGCAAAACTATACAGAGAGTATAGGAGGCCTAGGATGAGGCAGGAAACCTGTCAAAAGAGATGGTGTTCTACAGATTAATGCACCTCTGTAGGAGGAGGAGAGCATATTGCTGTGGGCGAGAGATGCTGGATGCATCCGGCACTGAGACAAAAAGGTCAGGCTACCCACTGTGAAAATTAAACATCTGATGTGCCAAGCAGATGCTTTCTGCCAGTCCCCGCTGAAAATGGGCTCTTCTCAGCCAGAGGTCAGAGGCAACCATGGAGTTGTATATTACACTGGATTCAGAGAGCCGCGGGCTGCCAACGTGTGTGTGTGTGTGTGTATAATTTACCCCAGGTTAACTCACGGACATTGTTCAATGTACTGAGGGAAAGGTTTGTATGCCACCACCATGCAGTGTGTGTTTTTGTGTGTACGTGCATGAGTTACCTTGAGTAAGTGCTTGCTGGTCAAAGCCAGGCTGCGGGAGTGTCTGCGTCTCAAACTGGCTAATGTTCTGAGGCAGAGCATGCTGTGTAGTCACAAAGTTGTCTGGAGTCAGAGGGGGAGAGATAAGAAGACAGAGGAACAAAGCAGGTTAGTCTGGGTAGACCGTATAATTAAAGACCAAAGTATTACGAATCACTTAAAAGGTCCAATGCAGCCGTGATTGTTTTCAATTAAAATGGTCAAAAAGAAACAAAACCAAAAATACTGTAGCTTCTTAGCAAAGAAACATGTCTCAAGCAAAAATAAATCAAGCTTGTACACTAAAAGGGCTTTTTCCATCATTTTCACACTATTATTCCAACGTCATAGTGTGGAAATATATATACAGTGGGGAAAAAAAGTATTTAGTCAGCCACCAATTGTGCAAGTTCTCCCACTTAAAAAGATGAGAGAGGCCTGTAATTTTCATCATAGGTACACGTCAACAATGACAGACAAATTGAGAAAAAATAATCCAGAAAATCACATTGTAGGATTTTTAATGAATTTATTTGCAAATTATGGTGGAAAATAAGTATTTGGTCACCTACAAACAAGCAAGATTTCTGGCTCTCACAGACCTGTAACTTCTTCTTTAAGAGGCTCCTCTGTCCTCCACTCATTACCTGTATTAATGGCATCTGTTTGAACTTGTTATCAGTATAAAAGACACCTGTCCACAACCTCAAACAGTCACACTCCAAACTCCACTATGGCCAAGACCAAAGAGCTGTCAAAGGACACCAGAAACAAAATTGTAGACCTGCACCAGGCTGGGAAGACTGAATCTGCAATAGGTAAGCAGCTTGGTTTAAAGAAATCAACTGTGGGAGCAATTATTAGTAAATGGAAGACATACAAGACCACTGATAATCTCCCTCGATCTGGGGCTCCACGCAAGATCTCACCCCGTGGGGTCAAAATGATCACAAGAATGGTGAGCAAAAATCCCAGAACCACACGGGGGGACCTAGTGAATGACCTGCAGAGAGCTGGGACCAAAGTAACAAAGCCTACCATCAGTAACACACTACGCCGCCAGGGACTCAAATCCTGCAGTGAAAGATGTGTCCCCCTGCTTAAGCCAGTACATGTCCAGGCCCGTCTGAAGTTTGCCAGACTGCATTTGGATGATCCAGAAGAGGATTGGGAGAATGTCATATGGTCAGATGAAACCAAAATATAACATTTTGGTAAAAACTCAACTCATCGTGTTTGGAGGACAAAGAATGCTGAGTTGCATCCAAAGAACACCATACCTACTTTGAAGCATGGGGGTGGAAACATCATGCTTTGGGGCTGTTTTTCTGCAAAGGGACCAGGACGACTGATCCGTGTAAAGGAAAGAATGAATGGGGCCATGTATTGTGAGATTTCGAGTGAAAACCTCCTTCCATCAGCAAGGGCATTGAAGATGAAACGTGGCTGGGTCTTTCAGCATGACAATGATCCCAAACACACCGCCCGGGCAACGAAGGAGTGGCTTCGTAAGAAGCATTTCAAGGTCCTGGAGTGGCCTAGCCAGTCTCCAGATCTCAACCCCATAGCAAATCTTTGGAGGGAGTTGAAAGTCTGTGTTGCCCAGCGACAGCCCCAAAACATCACTGCCCTAGAGGAGATCTGCATGGAGGAATGGGCCAAAATACCAGCAACACTGTGTGAAAACTTGTGAAGACTTACAGAAAACTTGACCTGTGTCATTACCACAAAGGGAGTATAACCAAAAGTATGAGAACTTTGTTAATTGCCCAAATACTTATTTTCCACCATAATATGCAATAAATTCATTAAAAACTTACAATTGTGTGATTTTCTGATTTTTTTTTCTTTTGTCTTCATAGTTGACGTGTACCTATGACGAAAAGACAGGCCTCTCTCATCTTTTTAGGGGAGAACTTGCACAAATTGGGGGCTGACTAATAATTTTTTCCCCACTGTATATAGCACAGGAAAATCTCGTTTTTGACGGCACTGGGCCTTTAAAGCAAAACAGCACGCAGACGGCAAGAAGAGAGCAAGTCAAGGTTCAGTAGTCATATCGGGGTTCATCTTTAATTTGCTGTCTGTCTTTGGAACCCAGGCTGAATGTTAAGCACAAAGCACAGGAGTACTAGAAATGCTTCACATAGAGCAAGTCCAGGGGGATTTTTGTACTGAGAGGAATTATAGACTATTGATCTTTGATTGTTTTATTCGGCCAGTTCTACCCTGCAAGGTGTTTCAATTCAAACCTTACAGATGGCATTCAGGATTACCCTCCAAACAGAGGTTTCTAACATCCATGGTCTTTCCTGGCAAAATGAAACTCAAATGTATATTGTGAAAGTTGAGTTTGAGTCTAGAGAGAGAGAGAAAGGTCACTGATCAAGTCTACATTTTCCATTTTCCTTTGCGCTCTAGTTTTTCTAGTGTCACTAAGACTGCCACTGACAATAGTGATCTTTCTAGAAGACAGATAGGCGACTTGTCCTCTGGAGTAACAACCTGATTCCAGTTTGCTGACCTTTGGCTCTGTTTGTGGTCCTCTGTAGCTCAGCTGGTAGAGCACGGCGCTTGTAAAACCAGGGTAGTGGGTTCGATCCCCGGGACCACCCATACACAAAAATGTATGCACGCATGACTGTGAGTCGCTTTGGATAAAAGCATCTGCTAAATGGCATATTATATATTATATTATTTAAAGCTCCCCAGTCCCAGTCACTGACACACTGTGATACTCAGTGGCTCCCTAGTCCCTATATAGTGCACTACTTTTGACAAGAGCTCTATGTGGCACCGCAGAGACCAAGCACACTATCCTACCCCATCCGAGATGTAGAAAAATATTTTAAAAAATTAGACTTCAGAAAAATTCATAATTTTGGCTTGTGGCGGCCGTTCCTGTAGACTCAAGACGCCCTCTCTATGTCAACGGTTCTTTGGCGTTTAACTGAGGCAAACTTGATATGACAAGGCACTTTCTAGTTCGAAGGTTCACATGAACAGGTAACTGCCAAAATAAAGGGAACACCAACATAAAGTGTCTTAATAGGGCGTTGGAACACCACCAGCCAGAACAGCTTCAATGCCCCTTGGCATAGATTCTACAAAGGTCTGGAACTCTATTGGAGGGATGCGACACCATTCTTCCACGATAAATTCCATAATTTGTTATGATTTGTTAATGGTGGTAGAAAACACGGTCTCAGGCGCCACTCCAGAATCTCCGATAAGTGTTCAATTGGGTTGGGATCTGGTGACTGAGACACCCTTTAAACCCCCCAATGCTTCTTTCAGACCCCTCTTTGAAAGTCACTGAGATCTTTTCTTCTAGCGATGGTAACCAAAATAATGGGCAACTGGGCACTTTTATACATGACCCTAAGGGTGTTAATTGCTTAATTAACTCAGGAACAACATCTGTGTGGAAGCAACTGCTTTCAATATACTTTGTATCCCTCATTTACTCAAGTAAGTGTTTTATTACAGACAGAAATACTCCTCCGTTTCATCAGCTGTCCAGGTGGCTGGTCTCAGATGATCCCTGTAGGTGAAGAAGCCAGATGTGGAGGTCCTGGGCTGGAGTGGTTACACGTAGTCTGCGGTTGTGAGGCCGGTTGGACGTACTGCCAAATTCTCTAAAACAACATTGGAGGCGGCTTATGGTAGAGAAATTAACATTCAATTCTCTGCCAACAGCTCTGTTGGACATTCCTGCAGTCAGCATGCCAATTGCATGCTCCCTCAAAACTTGAGACATCTGTGGCATTGTGTTGTGTGACAAAACTGCACATTTTAGAGTGGCCTTTCATTGTCCTCAGTACAAAGTGCTGAGCATGTAATGATCATGCTGTTTAATCAGCTTCTTGATATGCCACACCTTTCAGGTGGATGGATTATCTTGGCAAAGGAGAAATGTTCACCAACAGGGATGTAAACAAATTTGTGCACAACATTTGAGAGAAATATGTTTTTTGTGCGTATGGAAAAAATCTGGGATCTTTTATTTCAGCTCATGGAACCAACACTTTACATGTTGGGTTTATATGAGTGAGTGAGTGAGTGAGTGAGTGAGTGAGCGAGCGAGCGAGCGAGCGAGAGAGAGGGGGAGTGGGAGTGAGCGAGAGAGAGAGAGAGAGAGAGAGAGAGAGAGAGAGAGAGAGAGAGACAGACAGAGAGATTATCATAGAATTTGACTCCGCAGTTATCAGTGAATCAAATCAAGATGCTCTATCTCTGTGAATGGGTCGGGGGTTAGCTCATGCAATTAAGCCTTTTTTACAACTGTTATTGGCTTATGCGATAGCTCTAAAAATGACTTTACCGAACAAATACTAATCTAAATCACGTACAATGGTAAAGCTAGGGTAAGTTTCTTTTCTTCCCTCTTTCAGTTCCTTTTCTTTTACTCACCAAGAACTTGTGAGGTTGAACGGGTCATGTTGCTATTTTAATGAGGTTTGAAGCTTGACCTCTGGCCAGGTTTCATTCGTTGTGCTATGCTCTTCTCTCTTTGTTCTGAGGTTAAATATAGTATATGTTGGAACTGTTTTAAGTATTAAAGCTACAAGGTCAAGGAGGTGGTTCCGTCAGTCACACACCATGAATCCTAATGAGATGAATCGAAAAACTAATTGTATAGAAAAACCCTTTGAAATACCAATTCCAAGAAAAGCATCAGTAACAAAAGAGAGAAGGTTTTTGAAAATCCAGCATTGGAATGGAAATAGCGTTTGAGTAATGGACAGATAAAAAGTATTGAAAGAGTGAAATAAATGGACTCGCTATTTGGAATACAGATGTAGGAGTTATACAGACGGACAAGATGAGTGCTCTTTTAGAACCCCAGATTTTTGCCCTTTGCTATCTTAAAAGAGTGCCGTTTAGAAAAATGTGCTATTCAAAATATTAATAAGATTCCATATTCAACAGTTCCTTGCTTTTTTTGCTAACACAGTTGTAGCCAACCATTGTCCCTGAAAATGAAACACCTTGCAGCGTAGATTGGCCAAATGAAAAATACAATCTAAGATCAAGAGTGGGTGGAGAGCAAGAAGAAAGTGGGAAGTCTGTATCTCTGTCTGTTGATGTTGGGAAGGGTTCACATCATCCTTTATAGTACTAGGTGGATTCCCCAATGAAAGTTAGAGGGACGAGGCAGCAGGCCTATGAAGTTAAGGCACGGTTGGCATCAACATTAAAAGACTACTTTCGAGATCGACTACAAAGTATATTGTCGTCAGACTGCACAGAATCACTGATCTGCAAATCACCTTGCGTCCCTAATAACTACTTATTACGTGTTCAAGACCAGTGAGTCTGTGCCTTGTCCAAACTGATGCCCTCAAACACGCTGACATTCTTACCCTCTTCCTGTCCCAGGGACTGGTCACTCAGCTGGGTCTCTAGCGACACCTGCTGGCCGCCGCCCACCACCTGCGCATGGCCCAGCCCCAGCATGCCCTGCTGCGCCGAGCCCACCGTGGGAGGAGCCTCCTGCTGTAGGGTGCCGTCTTCCAGCTCCACCTGCAGGTCGTGGGTCACGGTGGTGCCGTCCATGGGGTCGTCCAGCGGCGAGGGCTCCGGGTTCTGCTGTTGGTGGAGCTGCTGGGCCAACTCATACCTGGGGAGGTGGATTCAGGTTGTTTACTACTTTGAGCTACAAAACTAACAGAAATCAGCAATTTTTTATGGAAAGATTTGACATCTAGAGATTTAGAGTTGAGAAAGTTTAAATTTCACACAAATTTCAGCAACGTGACAATAACCAATTGGAAGAGCGACACTCTCGCTAGCCAGTATTCCTGATCACATGACCTGAATTAAGGCCTGTAGTTCTTCCTCTTTCCTCCTGGTCAGATCACATGACCAGAAACAACTATGTGCCCGACAACACATGAGCATTACTAACCTGTGGGTCTTCATGTGCTTCCTGCAGTTGGGCGAGGACTTGAAGGTCTTCTGGCAGTAAGGACACATGTAGGGCCGCATGTCGCTGTGGGTTGTCATATGACGGCGCAGGCTGCCGCTGGTGGTGAACGTGGTGTCACAAATCAGGCACTTGTAGGCCTTCAGGCCCGAGTGGGTCCGGATGTGGGCCTTCAGCACCCCTGAGGAAGCAAAGCCCTTACTGCACTGGACACACTTGTATGGCCTCTCTCCCGTGTGAGACCTGATGGAAGATGACCCAACAATGTTAATATCATGAGACATATCATCACATGAAAAGAACAAAGGCCTGCACACTGAATATGCTCCCAATTACCACCTTTATTGACAACGTTTCGATCCACAAGGATCTTCCTCAGGTCATATAACAAACACATTGCATATCAACCCTGGGTGTAGTAGAATGTTATGAATGTAATGTAATGTTATGACCTGTGATGTTATGACTGGGTGTGTTATGGTCTGAGTCATTGGCTTAAATTAGGAAGAATAAATAGTTACATAAATGTCAAGGGACTCTAATTTGCAAGTCCTAAAAAAACAGTAAGCATTATGCATTGTGTATGCAGTAAATTCCCTCTGACTGAGGAATAGGTTTATCAGTATAATGTGACAAAGTTTTGACTTGGGCTCTGTCATGGTCTGCAGTAAACAGACACTAGGGAATACAGAACATCAACCTCAGATAGGCTGAGTGGAGCAGCGAAGGCAACGTCGTTATTAAGGTAAAAAGTAGATTTTTTCTGCTGTTTTCTCGTCTATCTAGACTGTGACCTTTATTAAATAGGCTGTTTCTTTTCTCTTCCCCACAGTAGTAAAATGAAGAAACATTTTAGTAAAGGAGAAGATTCGATGTGTCAGCCCAAAGGGCAAAACGACATCCTGAGAGAATCGATGAATACCGCTCGGGCAATTACTCCTTGGAGCCCCAAACTTCAATCTCCCATTTTTCTCATCCTAAGAAAAAGGCAGAAACTGAATACAATACTCAGTCTAGCTACTTTTTCCTGTGGTAAATGGTGGGGAGACATTTTCCAGATCCATTTGCTAGTTAATGGACATACCCACCACTGTGACATTACACGTTATTCCTGACAACAACCTGGAGATTAAACCAGACAAAAATAAAATGGCCCGTCACACAATTTCACATTTTTGTCATTTAGCAGACGCTCTTATCCAGAGCGACTTACAGGAGCAATTACTGTTATGGTTATTGGCCCAATGCTCTTAACCGCTAGGCTACTTGCCACCCCACACTACATCTGAATATTTTCTCTCCCCTTCTCTGTCCCTAAATCCCTAAATGTTTTCCTCTCTACCTGGCCTGTCTTATCATAAACCAGGCCCGCAGGGCATACACAGCAGAGGCATTAGCCAGACCTGGGTTCAAATAGTATTCGTTTTATATACTTTAAATACACTACATGTATGTGGACATCTGCTCATCGAACATCTCATTCCAAAATTATGGGCATTAATATGGAGTTGGTCCCCCTTTGCTGCTATAACAGCCTCCACTCTTCTGAGAAGGCTTTCTACTAGATGTTGGAACATTGCTTCCAGTCAGCCACAAGAGCATTAGTGAGATCGGACACTGATGTCGGGTGATTAGGCCTGGCTCGCAGTCGGCGTTCCAATTCATCCCAAAGGTGTTCGAAGGGGTTGAGGTTAGGGCTCCGTGCAGGCCAGTGAAGTTCTTCCACACCAATCTCGACAAACCATTTCTGTATGGACCTCGCTTTGTGCACAGGGGCATTGTCATGCTGAAACAGGAAAGGGCCTTCCCCAAACTGTTGCCACAAAGTTGGAAGCACAGAATAGTCTAGAATGTCATGTATGCTGTAGCGTTAAGATTTCCTTTCACTGGAACTAAGGGGCCTAGCCCAGACCATTATTACTCCTCCACCAAACTTTACAGTTGGCACTATGCATTGGGGCAGGTAGTGTTCTCCTGGCATCCGCCAAACCCAGATTAGTCCGTCGGACTGCCAGATGGTGAAGAGTGATTCATCACTCCAGAGAACGCGTTTCCACTGCTCCTGAGTCCAATGGCGGCGAGATATACACCACTCCAGCCGACGTTCGGCATTGCGCATGGTGATCTTAGGCTTGTGTGCTGCTGCTCGGCCATGGAAACCAATTTCATGAAGCTCCCGACAAACAATTATTGTGCTGACGTTGCTTCCAGAGGCAGTTTGGAACTCGGTAGTGAGTGTAGCAACAAAAATCGCTGAATCCACAAATTTGAAGGGGTGCCCACATACTTTGTATATATAGTGACCTTCAGCTGCGCTTGATCGAGTTTCCTGGCATAATTGAACCAATGGAATAGTCCCAAAAGTGCAAGCCCCTCCCACCTGGCACTCTAGGCAGGCTCAATAAAACCCTCATAGTATTTGAAAGATAACAAATACTACTTGAACCCAGGTGTCTGCCAGTGGCTCAAACCCTCCGCCATGTGCTCAGCCCTCCTCCCCTGCCTCCTTGTCCTTCCCCAGGCTCTGCTCAGCCCAGCTCATCCCTCTCCCTGGTTCTCTAGCATCAAATGAGGATGCTAATGCCACTAAGCCACAGGGGTGGACTCTAACTCCACTGATAACAGCAGCTCAGCAGCTGTCTGACACGCTACAGCAGGCTTATCCCAATGACAAGGTACAAGAGGATCTAAACAGAGGCTAAATATATAACTTCTGTATATGTATGGACTCAATCAGAAATACACTGCTCAAAAAAATTAAGGGAACACTTAAACAACACAATGTAACTCCAAGTCAATCATACTTCTGTGAAATCAAACTGTCCACTTAGGAAGCAACACTGATTGACAATACATTTCAGATGCTGTTGTGCAAATGGAATAGACAACAGGTGGAAATTATAGGCAATTAGCAAGACACCCCCAATAAAGGACTGGTTTTGCAGGTGGTGACCACAGACCACTTCTCAGTTCCTATGCTTCTTGGCTGATGTTTTGGTCACTTTTGAATGCTGGCGGTGCTTTCACTCTAGTGGTAGCATGAGACGGAGTCTACAACCCACACAAGTGGCTCAGGTAGTGCAGCTCATCCAGGATGGCACATCAATGCGAGCTGTGGCAAGAAGGTTTGCTGTGTCTGTCAGCGTAGTGTCCAGAGCATGGAGGCGCTACCAGGAGACAGGCCAGTACATCAGGAGACGTGGAGGAGGCCGTAGGAGGGCAACAACCCAGCAGCAGGACTGCTACCTCCGCCTTTGTGCAAGGAGGAGCACTGCCAGAGCCCTGCAAAATGACCTCCAGCAGGCCACAAATGTGCATGTGTCTGCTCAAACGGTCAGAAACAGACTCCATGAGGGTGGTATGAGGGCCCGACGTCCACAGGTGGCGGTTGTGCTTACAGCCCAACACGTGACAGACGTAACAGAGTCTGGAGACGCTGTGGAGAACGTTCTGCTGCCTGCAACATCCTCCAGCATGACCGGTTTGGCGGTGGGTCAGTCATTGTGTGGGGTGGCATTTCTTTGGGGGGCCACACAGCTCTCCATGTGCTCGCCAGAGGTAGCCTGACTGCCATTAGGTACCGAGATGAGATCCTCAGACCCCTTGTGAGACCATATGCTGGTGCGGTTGGCCATGGGTTCCTCCTAATGCAAGACAATGCTAGACCTCATGTGGCTGGAGTGTGTCAGCAGTTCCTGCAAGGTCATACAGGCACGTGGAGGCCACACACACTACTGAGCCTCATTTTGACTTGTTTTAAGGACATTACATCAAAGTTGGATCAGCCTGTAGTGTGGTTTTCCACTTTAATTTTGAGGGTGACTCCAAATCCAGACCTCCATGGGTTGATAAATTTGATTTCCATTGATAATTTTTGTGTGATTTTGTTGTCAGCACATTCAACTATGTAAAGAAAAAAGTATTTAATAAGATTATTTCATTCATTCAGATCTAGGATGTGTTATTTTAGTGTTCCCTTAATTTTTTTGAGCAGTGTACATTCACTGGTATATGTCGGCAATGCCAGCTGCTTCAGAGAGGACGATATTTCTAAAGGAATACATGTGAATACAAACAAAATGTGTGTGTGGGCTTGTATCACTATCCTTGTGGGTATCGGAAATCCCCAAAAGTCCCCACTAGGATATTAAAACCAGGAAAATTCTCCCTCGGGGGACATTTCCCACGAGGACAAAGGCTATTTTAGGTTTAAGAGTTAGGTTTAGGGGTTTAGGTTTAGGGTTATGGTTATGACAGGATTTTGAATGGAAATCAATTTTAGGCCCCCACAAGGATAGTAAAACATATGCTGTAATGTGTGTATGCGTGTAGAGAATAGCTGTACCTAACGTGCTGCTTGAGGTGGCTGGATTTCTTATAGGCCTTGTTACAGTAGGGACACTTGTATGGCCGATCGTTGTCCACCATCTCCAGGTACGTCTGGAAAGCCAGGCGAGGGTTCTGGGACTGGATGAGACCTGGGGAGGAGGGGACAATATCAACAAAGTGTGTGTGTGTGTGTGCATGTGTGCTTGTGAGGGAGCGAGTGAGCATGCATGCGTTACCGAGGTCCGTGATGAGTATGGGCTCTTGCAGGGGGATGTCAGGCAGAGGTAGGTTGCTCTTGGACACCTTGGTTTTGTGGGCTTTGCGTGGGAACTTGTGCTTCTTCTGCTGCAGGCTCTTGAAGTGGGAGGCGATGTGTGTTTTTCTGTGGCCCGACGTACGGAAGATCTTTTCACAGTGAGGGCATGGGAACGGACGCAAACCTGGCAACAAGAACATTCACCTCAATTAGCATGTGGAATTAAATTCAGATAATAATGAGAATTGCATCAGTTTGGAAATGGAAACGTATTCATGTCAATTAAATCGAGAGACAAGCTCGAGAAAATACAAAACATAAACAGTATGGTATTGAGTAGGCCGAAATCGATTTAACGTACCAATGTCTCCTGAGATGACATAAAAATCAAAGAAACCTGTGGATCGCCAACCCCTAAAGTTGTCAGCATGCTTCAGTTCGCTAGCCGAACCGAACTAGTGTGCTCACATACTCCCTCAAAAGACCTTCCCTTAAAAAACAAGAAAAAAGTGGCAATAGTACTGTTTGTCCATTTGAGACGCCATAGCCAGTATACACTTCCTCAAAATAGTCAGAATTAATCTAAGATAACTAAAGAAATCTGTCATACATTTTTACGTTTTTACCGAAGAGATCTTAGTCGCGCAATTTTACATCTAACAAAGATGTTTGGTGCAGTATTTTTCAATGAAAAGATTTGCATGAAAACGACTCGTCTCTTTGAATGACAATAAAGACTTTATTGAAGAATCCCTACTGTTGACCAATCACAGACAAAGGGGCGTAGACTTCGGCTCCGAACTTCGGCTTCCCTCCAGAATTTTTTTTGTGCCCGAACAGCCGAAAGAACCGTCACCGAAGTCCAAAACAAACAAAATGTTGTCATAATATATGCACAAACTCCACCGAACTGTTTCGGCTGGGAAGCATGCGGACGCCTTAACAGACTAAACTACAGTAACCTAAATGTTGTATTGTTGTTGTTTTTTCTTAAATCAACATCCTTTTTTAATCATGCATTACGTAATTCAGAATCCAATTGTATGACATGTGAATAAATTAAATAAACTTGACTTTGAACTAAATCACAAACACTCATAACAGCTTAGCTACACATGTCTTATGCAAACAAGTGTGTTTGAATGTTAATTTAAAAGGTTAAAATGAATTATTGTCCATACGGAGCACATCTAATAAAAAAAGGGAAAGGCTTTGCATTAGAGGTTGGACCCGTTCCGAAATGAACCTGGAGCTTTCCCACCCGGACCCGATATACATACATTTATTTTTTTAATATAGAAACCCATTCCGAACAGACCCATTCTGTATAGACCTGGTCGGATCCAGACACGGTCCGATCCGAGTGATTGAAGCAGCAGAAAAGTCATTTTTTAAGTTACTTTATTGACCAGAGCTGATAAAGAGCGAGAGAGGTGCCGCTCTAGCAGGCCATACTGTGAGCGAGTGACACAGGGAGCAGGAAGGGAGAGACAGCAACCAACCAACAAGCCAACTCACACTATAGTAGAAGTTTATTTATCATCAAATATGATTACGTAGTACCTGTCTTGACTGCATCAAACCGGGAGAAGCTAGTTAAACTAGCTAATGTTAGCTAGCTTGGCAGATTGAGGCTGCAAGTGCATGCGCTTTCTCATCCTACAGTTACAAATAACAACAACTCCATTAAGAATATTAAGCAGCACCCTACCGGTTGGCTCTTGGTCATTGTAGCCTATCCTTCTCCTTGATCTTTTAATTCTGTCATTTTAATTCCATCTTCCATTGATTAGATCTCACCTAACTTTAGCCACTCACGGAGATCTATGACTGTAGACTATTGCGGCTTTAATGACTTATGATTGGCCAACAACAACAAGCTACAGGTGCCACGATCCACTCTCGTGAAGAGCAAGAGTCTCTCTCTATTGCAGCAGTTGCGTTCGGATCTGTACGGGTCCTTTCGGACAAGTCCGTTAAAATTACACATACCCGAGACTTGTGACAATCATATCAGATCCGACCCATGACAATATTTAGAATTCTGGATCCAGACCCGCTCGGGTCCCGGATCGGGTCTCGGGTATTCGGGTACAGGTGGATCTGTGAAGACCTCTACTTTTCATCAATCAACACTAACATGTAAATGCATTCAGACGGATACGCGGCTACGTTAAGGTCAACATTCTAAAAGATGAAGCAATACCGGTAATCAAATCGTCATGCAAATGAGAGATGAGGCCAGGGTTTAGAGGCATCTGCGTTAAATTGTGTGTGTGTTAATTAAATAATTACGGAAGGCCAAGCGTTACATTACACCACATAATTCACCCAGACATCTTAATCTTGGCCGTGACACGAAATCCCAACTACTGCAATTAGTGAAAGGGGAAAAGAAAGTCGCCTTGGTAAAGAACCGCGTATCAAAAGCTTTACACTACACATCCGCTCACTAGGCTAATTAACGCTAATCATAGCTTTGGTGCACCACTGTGCATTAAATCTAGAACAGGGGTACTCAACGACTATTTGATAAGGTCCGGTCTTCCTAGGTGGCAAAGGTCCGGCGTAGTAATAAACCCCCAAACTGTTCACACCCCTCTTGTTCGCGTAGAGAAAATATTTCAGTTTTAAATCTTATTTGCTGCAATTCTACACATTTTGCCATGGGGCGGAGAGAAAATTGTGCAGTTTAAAGCTCATTTAAAAGCTAATTCTACACATTTTGCCATGTCTTATGTGTGTTCATATAATACTGGAGTGACTCAACAAAATAAACAATTGGGCCCCCCAGGGGGTCGAGGCCCCTGGGAACATAATCTGGCTTTGGTAACTACAGGATTTTGATAGCTGGTTACCCTAACTGACCTACTTAGCTAACATGGGCTAGTAGTTGATCAACTGGACATTTCTGACAGGTTATACAGTGCTTTCACTGTATTCATACCCCTTGACTTATTCCACATTTTCTTGTGATACACCTGAATTCAAAATAGATTAAATAAAAATGTCTTCCCCTCACCCATCTACACATAATATTCTATCATTTTTGTACATTTATTGAAAATGAAATACAGAAATATCTCATTTACATAAGTATTCACACCCCTGAGTCAATACACATTAGAGTCACCTTTGGCAGCAATTACAGCTGTGAGTCTCTAAGAGTTTTGCACACCTAAATTGTACAATATTTGCACATTATTCTTACAAAAATTCTTCATGCGCCGTCAAGTTGGTTGCTGATCGTTGCTAGATTTTCAAATCTTGCCATAGATTTTCAAGCCGATTTAAGTCAAAACTGTAACTAGGCCACTCAGGAACATTCAATGTTGTCTTGGTAAGCAACTCCAGTGTATATTTGGCTTTGTGTTTTAGGTGTCTGTTTGAAAGCTGACTGAACCAGGTTTTCCTCTAGGATTTTGCCTGTGCTTAGATCTATTCCGTTTCTTTTTATTCTAAAAAACGTCCTAGTCCTTGCCGATGACAAGCATACCCATAACATGATGCAGCCACCACCATGCTTGAAAATATGAAGAGTGGTACTAAGTGATGTGTTGTGTTGTGTTGGATTTGTCCCAAACATAACGCTTTGTATTCAGGACAAAGTTAATTTATTTTTTGCAGTTTTACTTCAGTGCCTTATCGGGTTTTGGAATATTTTTATTCTGTACAGGCTTCCTTCTTTTCACTCTGTCATATAGGTTAGCATTGTGGAGTAACTACAATGTTGTTGATCCATCCTCAGTTTTCTCCTATCACAGCCATTAAACTCTGTAACTGTTTTAAAGACACTATTGGCCTCATGGTGAAATCCCTGAGCGGTTTCCTTCCTCTCCGGCAACTGGGTTAGGAACGATCCCTGTTTCTTTGTAGTGACTGGGTGTATTGATAAACCATCCAACGTGTAATTAATAACTTCACCATGCTCAAAGGGTTATATAATCAATGTCTGTTTTTTAATTTTTATCCATCGACCAATACATGCCCTTCTTTGCAAGCCATTGGAAAACTTCCATGGTCTTTGTGGTTGAATATATGTTTGATATTCACTGCTCAACTAAGAGTAGGGCTGTTGCGGTGACCGTATTACCACCACACCGGCGGTCACGAGTCATGAAGGCAGTCAAATTCCACATGACCGTTTAGTCACGGTAATTAGGCTTCTCCAAGCTCTGATGCTGCTGATGGTCATTAGTAGCCTACCAAACTTGCTAACTACATGGTACTCAGCATTCTATTGTCCTTCTAATCACTCTGACATGAATGCAAATGTAATCGAAAATCTAATCAAACACTCCACGAGAGCCCATGGGCTCATTTTGCATGGATTTTTTTAGGGTGCATTATGGCCACACAAAGGGGATGCCGTCGGGAAATTCAAGGCATTATCAAGTGCCTCTCAAATTGTGAATGAGAGACTGATGAAGTATGTACAGCCTGCGCAAAAAACAAAGCAGAGCTCATTCCTTTCAAGCAACATTTTTAAAATCATTAGTCGCATCATTATTTTTTTCTATAACTTAATCACGTTAAACCTTCAAAACCAGATTATGAAACCAACGTTAATCATAATAAGTCTTGATCACAAATTCAGAATTGAGTACAAAAGCAGCCTTCCTGCAATCCTGACAACACAGTCACATGGATGACCATTATGGAGATTATTCAGACCCCTTGACTTTTTCCACATTTTGTTACGTTACAGCCTTATTCTAAAATGTAATAAATTGTTGTTGTTTTTCATCAATCTACACACAATACCCCATAATGACAAAGCAAAAACAGGTTTTTAGAAATGTTTGCAAATGTATTCAAAATAAAAAACAGAAATATCACATTTACATACGTATTCAGACGCTTTACTCAGTACTTTGTTGAAGTACCTTTGGCAGCGATTACAGCCTCGAGTCTTCTTTGGTATGATGCTACAAGCTTGGCACACCTGTATTTGGGGAATTTCTCCCATTCTTCTCTGCAGATCCTCTCAAGCTCTGTCAGGTTGGATGTGGAGCGTTGCTGCACAGTCATTTTCAGGTTTCACCAGAGATGTTCGATCGGGTTCCAATCCGGGTTCTGGCTGGGCCACTAAAGGACATTCAGAGACTTGTCCCGAAGCCACTCCTGTGTTGTCTTGGCTGTGTGCTTAGGGTCGTTGTCCTGTTGGAAGGTGAACCTTCGCCCCAGTCTGAGGTCTTGAGCGCTCTGGAGCAGGTTTTCATCAAGGATCTCTATGTACTTTGCACCGTTCATCTTTCCCTCAATCCTGACTAGTCTCCCAGTCCCTGCTGCTAAAAAACATTCCCACAGCATGATGCTGCCACCACCATGCTTCACCATAGGGATGGTGCCAGGTTTCCTCCAGACGTGACGCTTGGCATTTAGGCCAAAGAGTTCCATTTTGGTTTCATCAGAACAGAGAATCTTGTTTCTCATGGTCTGAGAGTCTTTAGGTGCCTTTTGGCAAACTCCAAGCGGGCTGTCATGTGCCTTTTACTGAGGAGTGGCTTCTGTCTGGTCACTCTACCATAAAGGTCTGATTGGTGGAGTGCTGCAGAGACAGTTGTCCTTCTGGAAGGTTATCCCATCTCCACAGAGGAACTCTGGAGGTCTGTCAGAGTGACCATCAGGTTCTTGGTCACCTCCCTGACCAAGGCCCTTCTCCCCCGATTGCTCAGTTTGGCCCGGCGGCCAGCTCTAGGAAGAGTCTTGGTGGTTCCAAACTTCTTCCATTTAAGAATGATGGAGGCCGCTGTGTTCGTGGGACCTTCAATGATGCAGAAACGTTTTGGTACTCTTCCCCAGATCTGTGCTTCGAAACAATCCTGTCTCTGAGCTCTACAGACAATTCCTTCAACCTCATGGCTTGGTTTTTGCTCTGACATGCACTGTCAACTGTGGGACCTTATATAGACAGGTGTGTGCCTTTCCAAATCATGTCCAATCAACTGAATTTACCACAGGTGGACTCCAATCAAGTTGTAGAAACATCTCAAGGATGATCAATGGAAACAGGATGCACCTGAGCTCAATTTCGAGTCTCATAGCAAAGGGTCTGAATACTTATGTAAATAAGGTATTTCTGTTTTTTTATACACTACCGGTAAAAAGTTTTAGAACACCTACTCATTCAAGGGTTTTTCTTTATTTTTTACTATTTTCTACATTGTAGAATAATAGTGAAGACATCAAAACTATGAAATAACACATATGCAAAAATTTCTAAAAACCTGTTTTCGCGTCGTCATTATGGGGTATTGTGTGTAGATCGATTAGATTTTTGTTTTGTTATTATCCATTTTAAAATAAGGCTGGAAAAAAATGTGGAAAAAATCAAGGGGTCTGAATACTTTCCGAATGTACTGTAAGTGCCCACAGGAACTAAATGTGTACCTACGAATACAATCAAAATGGTTGAATTCAAATTCAATTTCTGATGGCGCTAATATCACTCTTAATAACAACGCCATACTATCACTCTCACCTGTGTGTAGGCGCATGTGGACCTTCCTGCTGCCCGACGTGGAGAAGCACTTCATGCAGTACTCGCACTCGAAGGCCTTGATGCCCGTGTGCGTTTTCATGTGGGCGGTGAGGGTGCTCTTGACGGCAAAGGCACGGAAGCACTGCTTGCACTTGAAGGGCTTCTCGTGTGTGTGGATACGGATGTGGCGTACCAGGTCGCTGGGCTTCTTGAACTCCTTGTTGCAGTAAGGGCAGCTGTGCCACCGCACGCCGTTCTCCTCCCTGATGGAGCCTACGGGGAGGGGGGGACATGGGTTGCGTTCATTAGGCACCAAATGGGAAGAAAACAGACAAACAGGGAGAGACTACCTGGACCTGTCCAATAAGAAACATTCATTTTCATGTTACGTTTCGCTACATGGTGCCCTAATGGACACGACACTGGTCCCACATGAGATGAGCAGGCACAGCGTTGGGACCAAATCCACTTAAATTCCTTAAATTCAGGGGATCAATCAATTGAAACTGCCAATATATGCAATATACCTGTTTATTGTCAATGGACATTTCACAAGCTAGTAAATTGATGGAGTTGACTAAGACCCGGTTTCATACACAAGCACACATGGACATTATTTGGGGTATGCCCTACCTGGCATCTGTACAGGTTTTTTGAAGATACTTCTTTTCTCCTTCTTGGTGGTTTTGTCCTGGCCTGGTAACTTCTTACTGTCAGGTAGAGCCCCCCCGGTGGCATGGCTCTGAGTCTGTCTGGCCACTCCGTTGGTCTGGGACTGAACCACACTCAACCCACTGTTCTCCAGGGCTTGCTGTGTGTGTGTGGGGGGGTACAGGGGTGACAAGGTATAACGAAAACTGTGACTAATACTATGTATAAATCTTTCTATCCATAGTGTGGGGATCTATTTTCTCATAACTGGATGTGATACCTAGCTTAGAAAGAATGCATTAATGATTAAAGCATAAAAGGTTTGTACTGTAATGATATGAATTGTTTCACATAACAAGCTGTGATTCATGTGAGGAACGTTAGGGGGTAGGATGAGATAAGACTTGTATTTCTTACAGATAAGACTTGTATTTCTTACAGATACGAACACTGCCTCTTTGTTGTCTGTGAACCGTTGTCTGTGAACCGTCCTTGAACGTAGGTACTTAGAGTACAGTGGAACGGTGTCTTTTGGGCGCTGACTCTACAGGTTGTTATAACAACTTATGCCTGGAAACAGTGTGCAACAGTGGAGCGCCAAGGGGCTGGGAGCAGCCGGTGCGCCAACGGATAGGATGAGTAAGTCTAAACCACGCTCAGTCTCTACTGTGATTGGCCAGCAGGGAGTGGGAACTATCTCTGTCAGAGTATTTTAAGAAGAACTCATAACAATGGCTTAGTTCTCGGAGTGCCCTGCGTGGTATTTCAGTGGACCCGTATATACGAACATCATATTTACCATTGAAGTGGTTTGCATTAATTAAAATACTAGTCTATTTTAGAAGACGTGTATTGACCTCTTTTGTTCCTAACACCAGATTTGAATTGACGCAACTTAACAATAGTATTGGGCAATATTGTGCTTTATGCCTCGATCACATGATTAGAGCTAGGCTACATGACACTAGGGAATAATACCGGTAACCGGGAAGGTGCAGTCCTGGGACCTCTCTTCACATTTCCCCAAGAATTTCCCCTCCAATGTCGCACTAATGCAATTCCACGAAATACACATGCGCAGCAGCAGATTGGCTACAAATAAAATAGCACATTATCCAATCAGGTTGTTGGAAGCCTTTAGGCTAGCATATTAACTTCACACAAAGTCGCCATGAATTCAAAGCACACGCATAATTGACACTGCCGGACTGCACACGAGACCCGAATGCAGTTTAGAGTTCTCATCAGAAGCAGAACTGAAAATTCGATCCCGGTCCGGCCCAAGCCTGGTGAGCTGAAGCCCGAGCCCAGGCCTGGTCCGACATCACAGAAATGAAATGAGCCTGAAACCGATTCCTATTCAAAACCAAGTTTAAAACCAAGATATGGTCACTATGCCAGGGTTCTCACAAAATAAGATTGTCACTGTGCCACATTGCCGGTTTGGCTGCGCCACTATGTAAAGATTTCACAGCAAGTGAAACTGATATTTAGTAATGATAGAGTAACTTTCGATCGCCAATGACATTGTTGTGAATTGCGAAATCATGTTCCTCAATTAATTCAGCGCATTTCAACAGTAGGCATAGGCTCTCTCGACCCAGAGCACGCACAGAGTGCACCCCGAGTAGGCTATAGCGTTGTCGAATCATACAAACTTTGTAACAGCAGTCAAACAAAAGTCAATTGAGCAAAGTTGCTAAGCTTGCTAGATAACCTCCAACGAATGAATTTGGCTAAATCTTGCTGATCATTATACAGATCGCAGATCAGCTCATGAATAACGGGGAGTTGAAGAGAGGAAATTGTTTAAATATCAAGGTATCCTAACGGGGACCATCTCTGGGACGATGGGAAAATAGCCTAGGCTCTATATAAGGCTACTATGTAAGGCAATAGATAACTAACACACTTGATTTAAGCTACATTAATGCATGCTAAATGTTTTTGATCAGTGAACGAATAAATGAGCTACCACTTCCACTTGTCCAGCCAGAGATCAATTAACCAAATATACAGAGAATCTGTGAAACAAAATCACATTGATTGATTATGAGACAAGTCACAGGCTTTTAGTCGGGAGAAGGACAGGCTACTACGCGAGTGAAGGGCAAAATCCACTTGTATAACATGCTAGCAACATGTTCTGATCAGTTAATATATGAGCAAACTAGAATAAAGATGATCATTAGCACTCACCTCAACTTAGCTAACATTTCCCCCAGCTTAATTGTTACCAAATATCCAAACGGAGATTCAGTGAAAACAAAAATCCCCCACGCTATGATGGTGCTGTCCCAATCAAAACGGGGCTGAAATGATAATCTAGGTGACCACACGACTATTGGTTTAAATTAGTATAACGGTTGGATATGACTTTGGGAGTTTTAGTCTAAGCAAGAATTTGATACATGCCTTCAATTGCATACTTTATTCCAATATGTTCATCATTCAGTTGATCATAACTAAGATGAGTTTTCCTCTCTCTGCGCTTTTTCAAGGCCCAATGGCTGTTTCCCTGTCTCCTCACTCCACTGCCGCCCACCTCTGCTGCGTTGTTCTCAACACCAGTTTAAATCAATAAAGTCTACTGTTTTCTAGAAATCGGTACCAGAAGTCCTCACAAAAATGTAAAAATGCTACTTTACGCTTAGGGGTTAGGTTTAAGGTTAGGGTTAGAATTAGGGTTAGTGGTTAAGGTTAGGGTAAGGGAAAATATAATTTTGAATGGGAATCAATTGTTGGTCCCCAAAAAGTCCTCACAAGTATAGTAAGACAGCTGTGTGTGTGTGCGTGTGTACCTATGTGTATGCGTGCATTCCTGAATGTGTTATGCTTCCCACCTGTAGGATGTCCTGGTTGATGGCCGTCTCCATGGTGATGGTCTGTTCTTGGGGCTGTGACTGGGTCCCCTCCCCTGTCACCTGCTCAGACAGCTCTAGGAGCTGCTGGATCACGTCAGTCACCACCTCACTGCCCTCTGATCCCGCCACGCCCTGACCCGACTCCTCCACCTCCTACGGGACAGCGGGGGAGGGTGTGAAGGTGGAGAGAATGAGAGGAGAAAAGGGAATACAGAGAATGGCAGAGGTGAGCTGACCTGAGCAGCGTAGAGCATTTTCTATCTTATTTTGTGTTTTGGAGGGCATCATAGATTAGCGAAAAATGTTGGGGGAAGCCTAGTGTACCTGAACACCTGATTTCAAGGTTCCATTTAATTACAAAAACACGATGACATAATATGAAAATGAGGCTTTTTTATATTGAGACCCACTCTGAAATAATCACATAAAACCTGCATGCAGTCGTAGAGCTACAGTGTGTGTGTGTGTGTGTGTGTGTGTGTGTGTGTGTGTGTGTGTGTGTGTGTTTGTGTGTGTGTGTGTGTGAGAGATCACTCAGCATCAAGCTAGCTGCAGCTTGAGGCAACAAACTGAATGCAGAGGTCCGAAACCGAATCAGGAGAAACGTATAGAAGTTCACATCATCTGCATGCACTCCCTCACCTGTGTGTTGGCCGATTCCTCTATGAGCAAGATGTGCATCTTGCTGATGTGGGCATTGAGACTGCCTAGCTTTTTGAACACACAGCTACAGTCCATGCACGGGAACAGTGGTACTCCCGTAAGCTGAAGACACACACACACAGGAAACAAAGTCAGTATACAGACAACTGTGATTATCAATTTATATTAATGAGCTGTTAAAGGCCTAAATGCTTTCATTGGATATGATACCTTTGGGAATTAGCAGAAGGCTACATTCTTTGTAGGTTTTTATATTAATAAGAAATGATTTTACATCAGGTAAAAATAATACTAACTACCTAATACCATGTCATTATAATTTAATACCAACTAAGATATACACTGAGTGTACAAAACATTAGGAACACCTTCCTAATATTGAGTTGCACCCCTTTTGCCATCAGAACAGCCTCAATTTGTCGGGGCATGGCCTCTACAAGGTGTCGAAAGCGTTTCACAGGGATGCTGGCCCATGTTGAATCCAATGCTTCTCAAAGTTGTGTCAAGTTAGCTGGATGTCCTTTGGGTGGGTTCTTGATACACACGGGAAACTGTTGCGCGTGAAAAGAACTGCAACGCTGCTGGGTTTGACACTCAAACCGTTGCGCCTGGTACCTACTACCATACCCCATTCAAAGGCACTGAAAACTTTTGCCCTGCCCATTCACCCTCTGAATGGCACACATACATGTCTCAATTGTCTCAAGACTTAAAAATCCTTCTTTAACCTTTCTTCTCCCCTTCATCTACACTAATTTAAGTGGATTTAACAAGCAACAATAAGGGATCATAGCTTTCACCTGGATTCACCTGGTAAGTCTATGCCATGGAAAGAGCTGGTGTTCCTAATGTTTTGTACACTCAGTGTATACATTATACATATTTTACCTTCAGCCAAGACAGATATTACAAATATATGTCTTCTGATTATTTTAAAGGGCAATCTAATAAAAGGCAGCGATTAGGAGAATAGAGAACAATTACCTGAACTTTCCGGAAACTTTGGGGTAATCTAAAAACAGTCCCACTTCCCTGTCCATATTCCAGATGCATCTGCTTATGAAATGTATTCCTAATCACATCCAACTTTAATATATTCATAAAGTCTGTTCATAAAGCCGAGGTCCTTACTGCCAGAGTAGGTTGAATGACACTCGTGAGAATCACATGCATTATTCAAAAACATTGAATAGCTGCGGTTTGGGGCAGATTCAATCAACTCACCGAATCACTGCCAGTTAGCACTGATGGACAAAAACATGCTATGGACGCTCTTTAGTGTCTCTTCCCAATTCGTTAAAACAATTTTTTTATTTGAGGGGCTCTGTAAAAAAATGTTGGTTGATAAAATTATCACATGTATTGTTGTGAGGGGTGGGGAAAAATGAAAGGCTAGCTGATTGAGTTGGCCACTCAATAAAAAGTACGAAGCCTCACATTTGCATGCCCTCATTTGCACAGATGTAAGTAATGGTGACTAGTGGACACAAACCCGATGAAAGTGGCACTCAGGTCCAGAAGAGCGTACAGCCAGTCACTCAAAATGTCTGCCTATAAACACCAACTCCTCGACTGCCATCATCACACTGAATAACCCAGACTGCTTTTCATTTAGGCTCATTCTTTTCCCATTGAACCTCAAATATGTGAAAATATCACATTAGATGTGTGAAATGTTGCTACATCAGTAATAGAAGCTTATGTTTCATAATAATGTTCCATATTATTTCCGTATATCTAACTGATTAAAGACGAAGAGGGGGAGCGGGGGGGGGGGGGGCAAAGGTCAGAAGACACAAGACCCAGCCCATATCAAATCCATTTCCTACCAATGGCTGTGATCAGAATGCATGCAGAGGCTTTTTTTAAATGAACAAGCTCTGTTGCAGACAGTGTTATAGAATGGAAGCCTTCTTTTCTGAGTGGTAAAATGCAGCGGCAGATCATGAACTAGTGCAGCATTAGTCTGGATCCATCCATCCATCCGCTTACCCTGCATCCCTGATGGAGCTCTCTTTATGTACTGTTTCTTATTCATGACCCCACAGAGCTGCCTCTCTTCATCAAGGCTACAGGAGCTGAGAGCTATCCTCGCTCTCTCTCCCTCTCCGTTAGTCGCTTTCATTTTTTTATGGGCCTGCAACCGATGGAGGAGTCATGATCTTGTGACCACAACTCGCTAGAGTGCGATGGGACAAGGACATCCCGGCCGGCCAAACCCTCCCCTAACCCGGATGACACTGTCCCAATTGTGCGCCGCCTCATGGGTCTCCCAGTCACGGCCAGCTACGACACAGCCTGGGATCGACCCCGGGTCTGTAGTGACGCCTCAAGCTCTGTGATGCAGTGCCTTAGACCGCTACGCCATCTGGTTTGTGCTTAGTGGGACTATCATTTGTTTTTCAACAGGACAATGACCCAAAACAGACCTCCAAGCTGTGTAAGGGCTATTTGACCAAGAAGAGTGATAGAGTGCTGCATCAGATGACCTGGCCTCCACAATCACCCGACCTCAACCCAATTGAGATGGTTTGGGATGAGTTGGACCGCAGAGTGAAGGAAAAGCAGCCAACAAGTGCTCAGCATGTGGGAACTCCTTCAAGACTGTTAGAAAAGCATTCCTCATGAAGCTGGTTGAGAGAATGCCAAGAGTGTGCAAAGCTGTCATCAAGGCAAAGGGTGGCTACTTTGAAGAATCTCAAATATCTCAACTTTTTTGGTTACTACATGATTCCATGTGTTATTTAATAGTTTTGATGTCTTCACTATTATCCTGTAATGTAGAAAATAGTAAAAATAAAGAAAAACCCTTGAATGAGCACGTGTGTCCAAACTTTGACTGGTACTGTATACATACACATACACATATACATATACATACACACACACACACACACACACACACACACACACACACACACACACACACACACACACACTTATATATATATACATACATACATACATACATACACACACACACTGCTCAAAAAAATTAAGGGAACACTTTAAGTCAATCACACTTCTGTGAAATCAAACTGTCCACTTAGGAAGCAACACTGATTGACAATAAATTCCACATGCTGTTGTGCAAATGGAATAGACAACAGGTGGAAATTATAGGCAATTAGCAAGACACCCCCAAAAAAGGACTGGTTTTGCAGGTGGTGACCACAGACCACTTCTCAGTTCCTATGCTTCCTGGCTGATGTTTTGGTCACTTTTGAATGCTGGCGGTGCTTTCACTCTAGTGGTAGCATGAGACGGAGTCTACAACCCACACAAGTGGCTCAGGTAGTGCAGCTCATCCAGGATGGCACATCAATGCGAGCTGTGGCAAGAAGGTTTGCTGGGTCTGTCAGCGTAGTGTCCAGAGCATGGCGGCGCTACCAGGAGACAGGCCAGTACATCAGGAGACGTGGAGGAGGCCGTAGGAGGGCAACAACCCAGCAGCAGGACTGCTACCTCCGCCTTTGTGCAAGGAGGAGCAGGAGGAGCACTGCCAGAGCCCTGCAAAATGACCTCCAGCAGGCCACAAATGTGCATGTGTCTGCTCAAACGGTCAGAAACAGACTCCATGAGGGTGGTATGAGGGCCCGACGTCCACAGGTGGGGGTTGTGCTTACAGCCCAACACTGTGCAGGACGTTTGGCATTTGCCAGAGAACACCAAGATTGGCAAACTCACCACTGGTGCCCAGTGCTCTTCACAGATGAAAGCAGGTTCACACTGAGCACATGTGACAGACGTGACAGAGTCTGGAGATGCCGTGGAGAACGTTCTGCTGCCTGCAACATCCTCCAGCATGACCGGTTTGGCGGTGGGTCAGTCATGGTGTGGGGTGGCATTTCTTTGGGGGGCCGCACAGTTGATAAATTTGATTTCCATTGATAATTTTTGTGTGATTTTGTTGTCAGCACATTCAACTATGTAAAGAAAAAAGTATTTAATAAGATAATTTCATTCATTCAGATCTAGGATGTGTTATTTTAGTGTTCCCTTAATTTTTTTGAGCTGTGTATATACACATATAAACTCAGCAAAAAAAAAAAAATGTCATCTCACTGTCAACTGCGTTTATTTTCAGCAAACTTAACATGTGTAAATATTTGTATGAACATAACAAGATTCAACAACTGAGACATAAACTGAACAAGTTCCACAGACATGTGGAAATGGAATAACGTGTCCCTGAACAAAGGGGGGGTCAAAATCATAAGTAACAGTCAGTATGTGGTGTGGCCACCAGCTGCATTAAGTAGTGCATCTCCTCCTCATGGACTGTACCAGATTTGCCAGTTCTTGCTGTGAGATGTTACCCCACTCTTCCACCAAGGCACCTGCAAGTTCCCAGACATTTCTGGGGGGAATGGCCCTAGCTCTCACCCTCCGATCCAACAGGTCCCAGACGTGCTCAATGGGATTGAGATCTGGGCTCTTCGCTGGCCATGGCAGAACACTGACATTCCTGTCTTGCAGGAAATCACGCACAGAACGAACAGTATGGCTGGTGGCATTGTCATGCTGGAGGGTCATGTCAGGATGAGGTAGGAAGGGTACCACATGAGGGAGGAGGATGTCTTCCCTGTAACGCACAGCGTTGAGATTGCCTGCAATGACAACAAGCTCAGTCCGATGATGCTGTGACACACCGCCCCAGACCATGACGGACCCTCCACCTCCAAATCGATCCCGCTCCAGAGTATAGGCCTCGGTGTAACACTCATTCCTTTGACGATAAACGCGAATCTGACCATCACCCCTGGTGAGACAAAACCCCGACTCGTCAGTGAAGAGCACTTTTTGCCAGTCCTGTCTGGTCCAGCGACGGTGGGTTTGTGCCCATTGGCAACGTTGTTGCCGGGGATGTCTGGTGAGGACCTGCCTTCCAACAGGCCTACAAGCCCTCAGTCCAGCCTCTCTCAGCCTATTGTGGACAGTCTGAGCACTGATGGAGGGATTGTGCGTTCCTGGTGTAACTCGGGCAGTTGTTGTTGCCATCCTGTACCTGTCCCGCAGGTGTGATGTTCAGATGTACCGATCCTGTGCAGGTGTTGTTACACGTGGTCTGCCACTGCGAGGACGATCAGCTGTCCGTCCAGTCTCCCTGTAGCGCTGTCTTAGGCGTCTCACAGTACGGACATTGCAATTTATTCCCCTGGCCACATCTGCAGTCCTCATGCCTCCTTGCAGCATGCCTAAGGCACATTCACACATATGAGCAGGGACCCTGGGCATCTTTCCTTTGGTGTTTTTCAGAGTCAGTAGAAAGGCCTCTTTAGTGTCCTAAGTTTTCATAACTGTGACCTTAATTGCCTACCGTCTGTAAGCTGTTAGTGTCTTAACGACCTTTCCACAGGTGCATGTTCATTAATTTTTATGGTTCATTGAACAAACATGGGAAACAGTGTTTAAACCCTTTACAATGAAGATCTGTGAAGTTATTTGGATTTTTACAAATTAGATTTGAAAGACAGGGTCCTGAAAAAGGGACGTTTCTTTTTTTGCTGTGTTTATATATACACATACACACATTACCTTGTAGAAACTTGCGGAGAACTTTGAGGATCGGACAGGTGAAAGTTATAAGCGATAATAATAATAATTCCACCCATCCTATTGATTAAAGACAGTGAGCGCAACAGAGATGTGCCAGGTGATGTGGTTAGTCGGTTGTTTACCTCAGAGTGCACTCTCTGGACGTGCGAGTGCAGGTTGCCCTTCTGCGAGAAGGAGGCGGGGCAGAAGATGCAGAGGTGGGGCTTCTCTCCCGTGTGCCTCACCATATGGGTCTGCAGCACCACTTTCTGGTTGAAGGCCTTGCTACAGTGGCTGCACTTGTACGGCCGCTCGCCTGGATGGGAGAGGAGAGAGGATAGGAGGGAGAGAGAACACAACTCAATACACCTGGGTGGTATAGATCAGTGGTTCCAAACTGTGGGTCGGCAGGTGGGGGGCACAGGGTTAGACATTGCTTACCCATTAGACATTGCAAAATGTATAGAATTGCAAGAAAATGAGCTTTAAAACTGCAAAATGTTCTCTGCACCCCATGACAAAATGTGAGAGGGAGAGAGAGGGAGGCAGAGAGAGAACACGTAAGGGATAATCAATGAGGGGCTATGCGTTCTCTGGAAAATAATGCATGACGTGGAAAGTGTGTTCCACGACACGTTATTGGAGTGGAACTAACCTACCACGGAGTTGCATTATTTTCCAGAGAATGCATAGAGCTGCGCATGGCAGTAAGAAAGCCATCGCCATCTGAGCCCATTCAACATACCCTAGATTTAATTTTTTATTACTTCTAAACAAAATAACTTTTGGGGGTTCTCAATTATGTTTTGGTTCTTGCTCAAACAGTCGCTAAGATTATATTTGGTTGTGATCTTTGCAAAATAACTATTTTGGATGCAGCAGTTGTTAGCTAGAATGCTAACGCTCATTGATATAGCCTGTAGCAAAAGCTAGCCAAAGAGCCATTTTACTGGTTGAAGTTGAATTGTTTAAGTATAATGCAGTTGATTTGCGATGATGACACAAACATTATACCAAGCAGGACATTCATATGAGCCTTAAAATCCAATTTTAATCCAAAAGTACTCTGAAATGCACTAATACAAAACATGTAAATAGAGGCGTTTTTTGCTGGCGTTCTATTAAAACTCCCCATTGTTCTGCCACCAACTTGCGCGCATCGCCCTCATGCAGCAATGTTTACAAACACAGAAAGGGGTCTATACCCCGCAGGAAAGCCACTGCTTACATGTTAGTCCTTTAGCAGATACTCTTATGCAGAGCGATTGACATTTAGTGCATTCATCTTAAGATAGCTAGGTGGGACAACCACATATCACAGGCATAGAAAGTACATTTTTCCTCAATAACGTAACTATCAAAGCTCTCCCTCGCCCTCCATTTGGCAAATCTGACCATAACTCTATCCTCCTGATTCCTGCTTATAAGCAAAAACTGAAGCAGGAAGCACCAGTGATTCGGTTAATAAAAAAGTGGTCAGATGACGCAGATGCTAAGCTACAGGACTGTTTTGCTAGCACAGACTGGAACATGTTCCGGGATTCTTCAGACAGCATTGAGGAGTACACCACATCAGTCACTGGCTTCATCAATAAGTGCATCGATGATGTCGTCCCCACAGTGACCGTACGTACATACCCCAACCAGAAGCCATGGATTACAGGAAACATCCGCACTGAGCTAAAGGGTAGAGCCGCCGCTTTCAAGGAACGGGACTCTAACCCGGACGCTTATAAGAAATCCCGCTATGACCTCCGACGAACCATCAAACAGGCAAAGAGTCAATAAAGGTCTAAGATTGAATCATACTACACTGGCTCTGACGCTCGTCGGATGTGGCAGGGCTTGAAAACTATTACAGACTACAAAGGGAAGCACAGCCGCGAGCTGCCCAGTGACACAAGCCTACCAGACGAGCTAAACCACTTCTATGCTCGCTTCGAGGCAAGCAACACTGAAGCATGCATGAGAGCACCAGCTGTTCCGGACGACTATGTGATCACGCTCTCCGTAGCCGATGTGAGTAAGACTTTTAAGCAGGTCAACATTCACAAGGCCGCAGGGCCAGACGGATTACCAGGACGTGTACTCCGAGCATGTGCTGACCAACTGGCAAGTGTCTTCACTGACATTTTCAACATGTCCCTGACTGAGTCTGTAATACCAACATGTTTCAAGCAGACCACCATAGTCCCCGTGCCCAAGAACTCTAAGATAACCTGCCTAAATGACTACCGACCCGTAGCACTGACGTCTGTAGCCATGAAGTGCTTTGAAAGACTGGTCATGGCTCACATCAACAGCATAATCCCAGAAACCCTAGACCCACTCCAATTTGCATACCGCCCCAACAGATCCACAGATGATGCAATCTCTATCGCACTCCACACTGCCCTTTCCCACCTGGACAAGAGGAACACCTACGTGAGAATGCTATTCATTGACTACAGCTCAGCATTCAACACCATAGTGCCCTCTAAGCTCATCACTAAGCTAAGGATCCTGGGACTAAACACCTCCCTCTGCAACTGGATCCTGGACTTCCTGACGGGCCGCCTCCAGGTGGTAAGGGTAGGTAACAACACATCTGCCACACTGATCCTCAACACGGGGGCCCCTCAGGGGTGCGTGCTCAGTCCCCTCCTGTACTCTCTGTTCACCCATGACTGCATGGCCAGGCACGACTCCAACACCATCATTAAGTTTGCCGACGACCCAACAGTGGTAGGCCTGATCACCGACAACGATGAGACAGCCTATAGGGAGGAGGTCAGAGATCTGGCCGTGTGGTGCCAGGACAACAACCTCTCCCTCAACGTGACCAAGACAAAGGAGATGATTGTGGACTACAGGAAAAAAAAGAGGACTGAGCACGCCCCCATTCTCATCGACGGGGCTGTAGTGGAACAGGTTGAGAGCTTCAAGTTCCTTGGTGTCCACATCACCAACGAACTATCATGGTCCAAACACACCAAGACAGTCGTGAAGAGGGCACGACAAAGCCTATTCCCCCTCAGGAGACTAAAAAGATTTGGCATGGGTCCTCAGATCCTCAAAAAATTCTACAGCTGCACCATCGAGAGCATCCTGACTGGTTGCATCACCGCCTGGTATGGCAACTGCTTGGCCTCTGACCGCAAGGCACTACAGAGGGTAGTGCGTACGGCCCAGTACATCACTGGGGCAAAGCTCCCTGCCATCCAGGACCTCTATACCAGGCGGTGTCAGAGGAAGGCCCTCAAAATTGTCAAAGACTCCAGCCACCCTAGTCATAGACTGTTCTCTCTGCTACCGCACGGCAAGCGGTACCGGAGTGCCAAGTCTAGGTCCAAAAGACTTCTCAACAGCTTCTACCCCCAAGCCATAAGACTCCTGAACAGCTAATCATGGCTACCTGGACTATTTGCACTGCCCCCCCACCCCATCCTTTTTACGCTGCTGCTACTCTGTTAAGTAAGTATTTATGCATAGTCACTTTAACTCTACCCACATGTACATATTACCTCAACTAGCCGGTGCCCCCGCACATTGACTCTGCAACGGTACCCCCCTGTATATATAGCCTCCCTACTGTCACTTTATTTTACTGTATATATAGCCTCCCTACTGTCACTTTATTTTACTTCTGCTCTTTTTTTCTCAACACTTTTTTTGTTGTTGTTTTATTCTTACTTTTTTTGTTTAAAATAAATGCACTGTTGGTTAAGGGCTGTAAGTAAGCATTTCACTGTAATGTCTGCACCTGTTGTATTCGGCACATGTGACAAATAAAATTTGATTTGATTTGATTTATCAGTAGAGCTAGAAGGGGGGGATCAAGTGCTGGTTATTTAAAAAAGGTGAGGAGGAGGATCATTTAAAGATACTGTTTGAAGAGGTAGGGTTTCAGATTTTTTCAGAAGATGGGCAGGGACTCTGCTGTCCTAGCTTCAGGGGGAAGCTGGTTCCACCATTGGGGGGCCAGGACAGAGAAGAGCTGCCCTCCCGTAGGGGTGGGAGGGCCAAGAGACCTGAGGTGGCAGAACAGAGTGCTCGGGTTGAGCTGTAGGGTTTGAGCAGAGCCTGAAGGTAGTGAGGGGCAGTTCCTCTTGCTGCTCCGTACGTAAGAACCATGGTTTGTAGTGGATGCAAGCTTCGACTGGAAGCCAGCGGAGTGTGCAGAGGAGTGGGGTGACATGAGAGAACTTGAGAAGGTTGAAAACCAGGCGGGCTGTAGGATTCTGGATAAGTTGCAGGGGTTTGATGGCACAAGCGGGGAGCCCAGCCAATAGCGAGTTGCAATAGTCCAGACGGGAGAGGACAAGTGCCTGGATTAGGACCTGCGCCGCTTCCTGTGTGAAGAGCAGTTCCGTCTTGTCTAAATTGAGCTTGAAGTGGTGGGCTGACATTCAAGTTGAGATATCTGCCAGGCACGCAGAGATGCGTGTCGCCACCTGGGTGTCAGAAGTGGGGAAGGAGAAAAGTAGTTGAGCGTCATCCGCATAGCAATGATAGGAGAGACCATGTGAGGATATGACGGAGCTGAGTGACTTGGTGTATAGAGAGAAGAGGAGAGGGCCTAGAACCGAGCCCTGGGGGACACCAGTAGTGAGAGTACGTGGTACAGACACGGATACTCTCCACGTCACCTGGTAGGAGCAGCCTGCCAGGTAGGATGCAATCCAAGAGTGTGTAGAGCCTGAGATGCCCAGCCCTGAGAGATTGGAGAGGAGGATCTGATGGTTCACATGTCGAAGGCAGCGGATAGACCTAGTAGGATGAGAACAGAGAGAGAGTCAGCTTTGGCAATGTGAAGCGCCTCCGTGACACAGAGAAGAGCGGTCTCGGTTGAGTAACCCGTCTTGAAGCCTGACTGCTCAGGGAGATCTGAGTTTAGCTAAGCTGAGAAGCCCACAAGGACTAACCTGCCTTACTTTAGACAATGAGGGCAGAGGTGGATACTTAGCTAAGGATACCGGCTTCAGTTTCAGTTAGCTGACTGGAGCCTCCAGGCTGAGCTTGAAGCCCCACAGCTCCCCTTCAGCACATCCCCTTAATGGCTGTTTGAGATTCAGAGCACAGACCAACCATCTCCAGCACAGCATTAGTCATCCATCCAGCCAGCCCACAAATTAACATTAAGATGAGGTGGCACAGAGGGGCTCTGTGAGGAAGGATAGCTGAAGCTCTGAATGAACTCTGAGAGGAGTCTGGGCTGGGAGTCTGCACTTAATGTGCACTTATCTCAGGTGATATTTTATTTTATTTAACCTTTATTTAACTAGGCAAGTCAGTTAAGAACAAATTATTATTTACAATGACGCCTACTTTACAATGACGGCCTTGATATGTCCGAAAGGAAATCAGTAGGTATATTGGCGAGGGAGGGCAACTTTTGAAAATGTTAAGTTTGTGTGTGTGTGTGTGTGTGTGTGTGTAAACACAGCTGTCAGTAGCTGTGTATGACGCTGTGGGTTTAAACAGGGTCACTCCCCACATCACTGGTGGGCTACACTACTGTATATATACAAAGGTATGTGGACACCCCTTCAAATTAGTGGATTTGGCTATTTCAGCCACACCCGTTGCTGACAGGTGTATAAAATCGAGCACACAGCCATGCAATCTCCATAGACAAACATTTGTATCAGAAAGGCCTTACTGAAGAGCTCAGTGACTTTCAACGTGGCACCGTCATAGGATGCCATCTTTCCAACAAGTCAGTGTGTACAATTTCTGCCCTGCTAGAGCTGCCCTGGTCAACTGTAAGTGCTGTTATTGTGAAGTGGAAACGTCTAGGAGCAACAACGGCTCAGCCGCGAAGTGGTAGGCCACACAAGCGCACAGAACTGGACCGCCAAGTGCTGAAGCGCGTAGCGTGTAAAAATCGTCTGTCCTCGGTTGCAACACTCACTACCGAGTTCCAAACTGCCTCTGGAAGCAACGTCAGCACAAGAACTGTTCGTCGGGAGCTTCATGAAATGGGTTTCCATGGCAGCCGCACACAATCCTAAGATCACCATGCGCATTGCCAAGCGTCGGCTAGAGTGGTGTAAAGCTCGCCGCCATTGGACTCTGGAGCAGAGGAAACGCGTTCTCTGGAGTGATGAATCACGTTTCACCATCTGGCAATCCGACTGACAAATCTGGGTTTGGTGGATGCCAGGAGAACGCTACCTGCCCCAATGCATAGTACCAACTGTAAAGTTTGGTGGAGGAGGAATAATGGTCTGGGGCTTTTTTTCATGGTTCAGGCTAGGCCCCTTAGTTCCAGTGAAGGGAAATCTCAACGCTACAGCATACAATGACATTCTAGACGATTCTGTACTTCCAACTTTGTGGCAACAGTTTGGGGAAGGCCCTTTCCTGTTTCAGCATGACAATGCCCCTGTGCATGTAGCGTATGACTATTATATTTTGGTGGATGTTTTGGGGGAATATTTTAAAGGATATATGCCATATCTATTTCAACACATTTTACATGGGGAAAATGTAGAAACATTTACGGGACAACTGTATTGCCTTATTATATATCTCAGAGCAAATGTGGCCACAGGAGCTTGGTGGCACCTTAATAGGTGGAGACCCCTGGTGTCCAACAGTGATACAGCACACCTACTGGGCCTCTAGGGCTCAAGAGGCCATTATTTCATCTCATGCTCTCCATTTAATGCCCTCTCAAAATCAACAACTCCAAATCCGAGTCTTGTATGAAGCAGAACAAGCCTCGGTCATGTTCATTAGGCTTGAAACTGAAGAAAACAAACTGAAACAGGGAGGGACTCATTTTAATTTGCTAAATGTTTTTAAATGTTTTCTGATGCGTGCCGTAATTAACATGACCCAGCTGTCTTTTGCTTACCTGTGTGTATTCGTGTGTGTCGAACGAGCTGGCTGGGCTTTTTAAACGTCTTGCCACAGTGCTGACAGCTGTTGGTGAATCCACTGCGATCGATATTCTTCTTGTAGTTTCTGGAATTCGAGCTGAGTGGCCTGACGGAAAGAAAGTGCAGCGAAACAGAAATCAACCCAATGTGGAAACAGTCTTTGGTCAGGTTGTTCTTTTGAAACACAATTTAACTGCTGGTCCTCCAAATGAAAAATAGGAAACATAAAGACACAGGGAGATAAGTGCACTTAATACACTTAGTAATGTGTTGCTAAACAAGCACTTTGGACAACAGTAACAATCAACGCGAGACCCTCTGTGCTACTGTCTCCTCGCTCTCTAACCTCATCTTGATGTGGGTCTTGGTGTGCTCCTTGAGCTGGCCCGCCATCTTGAACTCCTTGCTGCAGGTCTTGCAGGGGTACACCTTGGCCCCAGATAGCTCTTTGCGGTGCTCCTCCAGATGCAGCACGAGCTGGCTGTGGAGAATGAACTCGTCGCCACACTCTGTACAGATCAGATTCTAGAGGAGAGAGGGAAAGAACAGAGGCGGAGAAAGAAACGAGAAGATGAGGTCACAGACGAGAGGAGGAGGATGGAGAAGGACCACAATTCAGAAGACATGCATGAGTCCATCATACGAGCGTCTTTGCGGTTTAGAAAGCAGTCACCTATATAAATGATATGTATTATCATTATATTATGAGGATGGTTGTGATCTGATGTGAAAAAGTCCACAGATATTTATTGATTAATTGAATTAATAAGATAATTAAAAGTAGTAGGCTACTCCACCAGCTAAACATTACATTTTTACCTTCGATAAACCATATTTCCCAGCAGATTCAAGACAATCGCATTTGTTTAATTATATCACTGATTGACTGACCTCCTCCTTCTCATGCAGCATGATATGGGACTTGAGACTGGCCACGCGGGAGAACTTCTTGTGGCACACTGGGCAGGTGGGGTCCGAGGTGGCGTGTGTGGACTTGTGGAGCGTGAGGTTGAACTCCACGTTAAACGTCTGGGAACACTGATCGCACCGGTGAGGCTGGAAGGGAGATACCGAGAGAAAAGACAGTTAATGACTGAGGTAGTGAGTGAGTGTACGCAAGTGAGTGACTGTGTGGCCTGCAGGTAGCCTAGCGGTTAAGAGCGTTGGGCCAGTAACCGAAAGGTCACTGGTTCGAATCACCGAGCCGACTTGGTGAAAATCTGCCGATGTGCCCTTGCAAGGCACTTAATCCTAATTGATCCTTTAAGTCGCTCTTGATAGGACTGTCTGCTAAATGACTTAAACGTTTTAAAAAGATGTGCATGAGTGAGTAAATGAGTCCTACAATAACAAATAGTCCGGCCAGTCCATTTTCTCTCCTGTTATAATTTTCAGGTTTGCTTGGCTGAAGGTCTTATTTCCTGGGTATATTTCTAATATATTTATTTATTCAATAACTCTGTGTCAGTTGCATTTGCTCTCTGGTGGCACTACATTTCCCTCATACACTGGGCTATTTGTCTTAAGAGGATGTTCCCTCTGTCTGTCTAACTGTTTGCTCACTGGCCTGCAAGAGAGGCTCTCCCACTCTGACAGCTGAATAATAAATCCCCTCATACTGTATCTCTGTGGACAAGCTACAACTGCCATCTGAGGACAACTCATCTGTGTGTCAGGCAGAAACAACAGTACAATTTCACATGGAGGACTAGGCCTATGTGCGGGTACTTTTTTGGGTTCATCACCTTAAATCAACAATGGATGTAATGTGTGGGGGGGAAAAAGTATTTAGTCAGCCACCAATTGTGCAAGTTCTCCCACTTAAAAAGATGAGAGAGGCCTGTAATTTTCACCATAGGTACACGTCAACTATGACAGGCAAATTTAGAAAAAAAAATCCAGAAAACCACATTGTAGGATTTTTTAATGAATTAATTTGCAAATTATGGTGGAAAATAAGTATTTGGTCACCTACAAACAAGCAAGATTTCTGGCTCTCACAGACCTGTAACTTCTTCTTTAAGAGGCTCCTCTGTCCTCCACTCGTTACCTGTATTAATGGCACCTGTTTGAACTTGTTATCAGTATAAAAGACACCTGTCCACAACCTCAAACAGTCACACTCCAAACTCCACTATGGCCAAGACCAAAGAGCTGTCAAAGGACACCAGAAACAAAATTGTAGACCTGCACCAGGCTGGGAAGACTGAATCTGCAATAGGTAAGCAGCTTGGTTTGAAGAAATCAACTGTGGGAGCAATTATTAGGAAATGGAAGACATACAAGACCACTGATAATCTCCCTCGATCTGGGGCTCCACGCAGATCTCACCCCGTGGGGTCAAAATTATCACAAGAACGGTGAGCAAAAATCCCAGAACCACACGGGGGGACCTAGTGAATGACCTGCAGAGAGCTGGGACCAAAGTAACAAAGCCTACCATCAGTAACACACTACGCCGCCAGGGACTCAAATCCTGCAGTGCCAGACGTGTCCCCCTGCTTAAGCCAGTACATGTCCAGGCCCGTCTGAAGTTTGCTAGAGTGCATTTGGATGATCCAGAAGAGGATTGGGAAAATGTCATATGGTCAGATGAAACCAAAATAAAACTTTTTGGTAAAAACTCAACTCGGCGTGTTTGGAGGACAAAGAATGCTGAGTTGCATCCAAAGAACACCATAACTACTGTGAAGCATAGGGGGTGGAAACATCATGCTTTGGGGCTGTTTTTCTGCAAAGGGACCAGGACGACTGATCCGTGTAAAGGAAAGAATGAATGGGGCCATGTATCGTGAGATTTTGAGTGAAAACCTCCTTCCATCAGCAAGGGCATTGAAGATGAAATGTGGCTGGGTCTTTCAGCATGACAATGATCCCAAACACACCGCCCGGGCAACGAAGGAGTGGCTTCGTAAGAAGCATTTCAAGGTCCTGGAGTGGCCTAGCCAGTCTCCAGATCTCAACCCCATAGAAAATCTTTGGAGGGAGTTGAAAGTCTGTGTTGCCCAGCGACAGCCCCAAAACATCACTGCTCTAGAGGAGATCTGCATGGTGGAATGGGCCAAAATACCAGCAACAGTGTGTGAAAACCTTGTGAAGACTTACAGAAACGTTTGACCCTGTGTCATTGCCAACAAAGGGTATATAACAAAGTATTGAGAAACTTTTGTTATTGACCAAATACTTATATTCCACCATAATTTGCAAATAAATTCATTAAAATCCTACAATGTGATTTTCTGGATTTTTTTTCTCATTTTGTCTGTCATAGTTGACGTGTACCTATGATGAAAAATTACAGGCCTCTCATCTTTTTACAGGGGACAACTTGCACAATTGGTGGCTGACTAAATACTTTTTTTTCCCCACTGGTATCTAATGTTTTCACATCCAGCACATCAAATTCAAAACCATTATACCAAAATTCCATTCATGTGAAATGAAAGTACCAGTTCCATCCATATCACAATGAGTATGATTAGGTTGGGTTCTGTACTAGCCTGGTCCCAGATATGTAAGGGCAAAAAGTTTAGTCAGCACCTGGGTTCTCCACTTAAAAAGAGGAGAGGCCTTATTTTATAGGTAACGTCAACTAGCCAATGAAAAAAAAATCCAGAAATCCATGATAATAATGTTTTGCAATTATGTGGAAAATAAGTATTTGGTCAATAACAAAAGTTTTGTCAATACTTTGTTATATACCCTTTGTTGGCAATGACACAGGTCAAACGTTTTCTGTAAGTCTTCACAAGGTTTTCACACACTGTTGCTGGTATTTTGGCCCATTCCTCCATGCAGATCTCCTCTAGAGCAGTGATGTTTTGGGGCTGTCGCTGGGCAACACGGACTTTCAACTCCTTCCAAAGATTTTCTATGGGATTGAGATCTGGAGACTGGCTAAGCCACTCCAGGACCTTGAAATGCTTCTTACGAAGCCACTCCTTCGTTGCCCGGGCGGTGTGTTTGGGATCATTGTCATGCTGAAAGACCCAGCCACGTTTCATCTTCAATGCCCTTGCCGATGGAAGGAGGTTTTCACTCAAAATCTCACGATACATGGCCCCATTCATTCTTTCCTTTACACGGATCAGTCGTCCTGGTCCCTTTGCAGAAAAACAGCCCCAAAGCATGATGTTTCCACCCCCATGCTTCACAGTAGGTATGGTGTTCTCTCAGCATTCTTTGTCCTCCAAACACGACGAGTTGAGTTTTTACCAAAAAGTTATATTTTGGTTTCATCTGACCATATGACATTCTCCCAATCCTCTTCTGGATCATCCAAATGCACTCTAGCAAACTTCAGACGGGCCTGGACATGTACTGGCTTAAGCAGGGGGACACGTCTTGCACTGCAGGATTTGAGTCCCTGGCGGCGTAGTGTGTTACTGATGGTAGGCTTTGTTACTTTGTTCCCAGCTCTCTGCAGGTCATTCACTAGGTCCCCCCGTGTGGTTCTGGGATTTTTGCTCACCGTTCTTGTGATCAATTTGACCCCACGGGGTGAGATCTTGCGTGGAGCCCCAGATCGAGGGAGATTATCAGTGGTCTTGTATGTCTTCCATTTCCTAATAATTGCTCCCACAGTTGATTTCTTCAAACCAAGCTGCTTACCTATTGCAGATTCAGTCTTCCCAGCCTGGTGCAGGTCTACAATTTGTTTTGGTGTCTTGACAGCTCTTGGGTATTGGCCATAGTGGAGTTGGAGTGTGACTGTTTGAGGGTTGTGCGGACAGGTGTCTGTTATACTGATAACAAGTTCCAAACAAGGGCCATAATACAGGTAACGAGTGGAGGACAAGAGGAAGCCTCTTAAAGAAGAAGTTACCAGGTCTGTGAGAGCCAGAAATCGCTTGTTTGTAGGGGGACAAACAATACTTATTTGCCTACCCAGAATTGCAAATAAATCATAAAAATTCATACAAGTGATTTCGGGATATTTTTTCTCAATTTGTTATGTCATAGTGATGTGTACCTATGATGAAAATTACAGGCCCTCTCATTCTTTTTTAAGTGGGAGAACTGCACAATTGGTGGCTGACTAATGACTTTTTTTCCCCATGTATTGTGCTTTGCCTACCAATTGTCATTGTCAAGCTAAACATTGGCATGACAATTCCATAAGGAGTTGGCAAGAGCAGAAACAGACTGGCACCCAGGCTAGGTCTGTGCAGCCTATGTTGTGTCAAACGGCCTCGTCTGGCCCTTTGCTTGCCTTGTCGTTGGCCTCATGGTCACGCTGGTGCCTCTGTAGTTGGCTCTCAGTAGTGAAGCTCTGGGAGCAGACAGTGCACTTGTTGTCCTTGGAATCCCCATGGCTGTAGTCCTGCTTGGCCCCAGATATACCCTCTGATGACAGAAAGAGAGAGGGAGGGAGACGAAGACACTCATATTACCATGGTGTTCATAATTAGGCTACTTAAACAGAGTCTGCAATTTGCCTAATGTTTTGGTCCACCAGCCTATTTCCCAGCAGATTCAAGACAGTGAAATATTAGGTTTAGTGTTAGGTTTGCAGGGTTCTCCCCAGGATTTATTTTACAAGGTGGTGCTGCCGAGTATGGCAACGGGAGGCCCAGAGGGGGGCAGTTTTTGAACACCTGTATGTATTTTTCAGTCTGATTGGTGTGTGGAAAGGAGATATTTAGAACTAAAGTCATCCAAATAACAAACAGCCAAGCAATGTAATAGCCTAATAAATCACATTTATTGTAATTTTCATACTTAAACTAAAAAAAGGGTTAAGACACAGACACAGAGCATTAACCAATGTTTTGGCATATTATGCTAGCCTTTATCTGGTATCCAAATCAGGTAATGGGTAGGTCTACATGGGGTAATTGATATGAGCCTGTCCCAAATCACTACCAACCCCTCCCCTTAGTACCAGCCTAACCTTTCAATGTTTGCAAATCTGAAGGGTCTGGATAGGTAGCCTAAGCAGTGCAGTGGTGATGCTACCACCATATTGATACACCTGACCAGGTCAGGCTGACCTTACAGATGAAAACATTGAAGGATTAGGGCCAAGGGCACGGGCTAGGGAGTAAATAGGGAGTTGAGTTTCAATAGTATGCACAATGCTCAAAAATATTTTTTCTTTAAGTCTATGAAATTAGTGAACAACATGGGCCACATGAAATGTCAGGGGCGGAATTTGAATATCAGGGGGGCTAGGAGTTCTTTCTGGATTGGGCCTACTTTTTATGACAACTGTTACACTCTCATAATTGCACTCCACTTTGTAATTTTGTATATATGTATAGTCATATATTTTTTCTGTAACTACCATATGTGCCCAGCTCATTGATATAAAATTAGAGGTATACAGTGGGGAAAAAAAGTATTTAGTCAGCCACCAATTGTGCAAGTTCTCCCACTTAAAAAGATGAGAGAGGCCTGTAATTTTCATCATAGGTACACGTCAACTATGACAGACAAATTGAGAGAAAAAAATCCAGAAAATCACATTGTAGAATTTTTAATGAATTTATTTGCAAATTATGGTGGAAAAAAAGTATTTGGTCACCTACAAACAAGCAAGATTTCTGGCTCTCACAGACCTGTAACTTCTTCTTTAAGAGGCTCCTCTGTCCTCCACTCGTTACCTGTATCAATGGCACCTGTTTGAACTTGTTATCAGTATAAAAGACACCTGTCCACAACCTCAAACAGTCACACTCCAAACTCCACTATGGCCAAGACCAAAGAGCTGTCAAAGGACACCAGAAACAAAATTGTAGACCTGCACCAGGCTGGGAAGACTGAATCTGCAATAGGTAAGCAGCTTGGTTTGAAGAAATCAACTGTGGGAGCAATTATTAGGAAATGGAAGACATACAAGACCACTGATAATCTCCCTCGATCTGGGGCTCCATGCAAGATCTCACCCTGTGGGGTCAAAATGATCACAAGAACGGTGAGCAAAAATCCCAGAACCACACAGGGGGACCTAGTGAATGACCTGCAGAGAGCTGGGACCAAAGTAACAAAGCCTACCATCAGTAACACACTACGCCGCCAGGGACTCAAATCCTGCAGTGCCAGACGTGTCCCCCTGCTTAAGCCAGTACATGTCCAGGCCCGTCTGAAGTTTGCATTTGGATGATCCAGAAGAGGATTGGGAGAATGTCATATGGTCAGATGAAACTAAAATAGAACTTTTTGGTAAAAACTCAACTCGTCGTGTTTGGAGGACAAAGAATGCTGAGTTGCATCCAAAGAACACCATACCTACTGTGAAGCATGGGGGTGGAAACATCATGCTTTGGGGCTGTTTTTCTGCAAAGGGACCAGGACGACTGATCCGTGTAAAGGAAAGAATGAATGGGGCCATGTATTGTGAGATTTTGAGTGAAAACCTCCTTCCATCAGCAAGGGCATTGAAGATGAAACGTGGCTGGGTCTTTCAGCATGACAATGATCCCAAACGCACCGCCCGGGCAACAAAGGAGTGGCTTCGTAAGAAGCATTTCAAGGTCCTGGAGTGGCCTAGCCAGTCTCCAGATCTCAACCCCATAGAAAATCTTTGGAGGGAGTTGAAAGTCCGTGTTGCCCAGCGACAGCCCCAAAACATCACTGCTCTAGAGGAGATCTGCATGGAGGAATGGGCCAAAATACCAGCAACAGTGTGTGAAAACCTTGTGAAGACTTACAGAAAACATTTGACCTGTGTCATTGCCAACAAAGGGTATATAACAAAGTATTGAGAAACTTTTGTTATTGACCAAATACTTATTTTCCACCATAATTTGCAAATCAATTCATTAAAAAATCCTACAATGTGATTTTCTGGAAAAAATTTTTTCTCATTTTGTCTGTCATAGTTGACGTGTACCTATGATGAAAATTACAGGCCACTCTCATCTTTTTAAGTGGGAGAACTTGCACAATTGGTGGCTGACTAAATACTTTTTTTCCCCCACTGTATATATTGTTTTTGAAATAGGTTAGTGTAATTATTCACTACATGACCAAAAGTATGTGGACACATGCTCATCAAAAATCTCATTCCAAAATCATGAGCATTAATATGGAGTTGGTCCCCCCCTTTCCTGCTATAACAGCCTCCACTCTTATGGGAAGGCTTTCCACTAAATGTTGGAACATTGTTGTGGGGACTTGCTTCCATTCAGCCACAAAAGCATTAGTGAGGTCGGGCACTGATGTTGGGCGATTAGGCCTGGCTCGCAGTCGGTGTTCCAATTCATCCCAAAGGTGTTCGATGGGGTTGAGGTCACGGCTCTGTGCAGGCCAGTCAAGTTCTTCCACACCGATCTCGACAAACCATTTCTGTATGGACCTCGCTTTGTGCAAGGGGCATTGTCATGCTGAAACAGGAAAGGACCTTCCCAAACTGTTGCCACAAAGTTGGAAGCACAGAATCGTCTAGAATGTCATTGCATGCTGTAGCGTTAAGATTTCCATTTCCCTTCATTGGAACTAAGGGGCCTAGCCCGAACCATGAAAAACAGCCCCAGACCATTATTCTTCCTCCACCAAACTTTGCAGTTGGCACTATGCATTGGGGCAGGTAGCGTTCTGCAGGCATCTGCCAAACCCAGATTTGTCTGTTGGACTACCAGATAGTGAAACGTGATTCATCACTCCAGAGAACCCGTTTCCACTGCTCCAGAGTCCAATGGCGGCGGGCTTTACACCACTCCAGCTAACGCTTGGCATTGCATATTAGTGATCTTAGGCTTGCGTGCAGCTGCTCGGCCATGGAAACCCAGTTCATGAAGCCCCCGACTAATAGTTGTTGTGCTGACGTTGCTTCCAGAGGCAGTTTGGAACTTGGTAGTGAGTGTTGCAACAGAGGACAGACGATTTTTAAACGCTCTTCAGCACTTGGCGGTCCCGTTCTGTGAGCTTGTGTGGCCTACCACTTCACGGCCGAGCCGTTGTTGCTCCTAGATGTTTCCACTTCACAATAACAGCACTTACAGTTGATTGGGGCAGCTCTAGCAGGGCAGAAATTGTACACACTGACTTGTTGGAAAGGTGGCATCATATGACGGTGCCACGTTGAAAGTCACTGAGCTATTTGTCTATGGAGATTGCATGGCTGTGTGCTCGATATTATACACCTGTCAGCAACGGGTGTGGCTGAAATAGCCGAATCCAATAATTTGAAGGGGTGTCCACATACTTTTGTATAGTAAATATACGGCCACCGCGCGTGTTGTGCGTAATGGTCATATGGGTGGGTCATATGTCGTGGTGGTAGTAGGCTACAACATCATCACTTGACTCCAAATTTACTGTGACGTGATGGTTTTTCTATCAATATTTGCGCATAAAAGGGTTTCCACCGCAACTGTCGCATAATCTACAGACAAAAAAAAAATCCCACCTTGTCTAGCGTATTTTATGTCATGTCGACATTGGGAAGTTTACCAACAAATTTGCTGTTGCCGTAAGGCCTGTCCTGACTTTTTTATGCATCAAGTCATTCATCCGCATGAAACGGTTGGATGGAAAACCTGGTTAATGCCCCATATTTTTGTCATGATTGCATCTTCCCATGGTTGACATTGCTTAATGTAGGGTTTCCCAAATATTTATTTGTATCCGATTCTAGGCCCGATTCAGCTGCACTGCGCGTCAGGTAGGCGAAGTGTTCTGATTTTGAACCATTTCATGTTTGAAGGTACGAACTCGGTCTTCCTGGCATGCCCGGAGAGAAAATCAAGTGCACTATAAGCCTAACGCTGACCAATCAGATGCCTCTGATTACTGTGTCGGCAGTAACTTAGCAGGCATAAGCTACAGAAAAGTCAATATTGTGAGATTTCAAAACCTTCAAAGCCATGACTAGAGGGAGACTGTCAACAAATACAGCAAAGAGCTGATGTTTTTATGAGTGAGTTTTTCCTCAACACTTTTATAAGCCATAAAATGTGGGTTCTTCCTACTTCCACTCACGCTACAACCAGCACTAAGTTGTAATGAATGAGTAGGATACGCTTGCGTTGTTGTTAGCGGCCTGGGTCTTTAAATTGTTTTTATATTGATGAATATTTCACTTTCTCGGTTCATAGGAGTAACATGAATTTGTGCATGAATCAGAAATAACACGGTGTGGAGTTCCGCCATCTACTGGAAGACTGTGTCCCTTTTTGGTCAGTGTCTAGAGGAGGAAAGGGAGAGTGGAGGAACGTTGAGAGGCGGACCCTCAGTCTTCTGCCCTCGCTCTCCGCTGAGACTGACCATCAGATGCAGGCACCATCAGCCCAGTAAAATAAAAAGCAAATTATTTAAATGTATGCTCCCTCAGCTTTGCCTCACAAATAATACAACTAACTATTACCGGTGTGATCCTATTGCTTACCTCAAAATTTAAATAAATATATTTTTTAATGGTCCGAACAACAATGCATTTGGCAGGGCAATTCAAGCAATGCAGTGATAATGTATTGGGCCTATAGGCTAGTGCACAAACCTCATTGTTACAGTACTGTTTGTAATAGGTTAATGTTGCATAGGCTTACTTTTTTAAAGTAATGTTCAAAACAAATCTGAGCGGTAGATCTCGCCATGCATTTTGACTCAGAAAAGGTTGTGACCACTGCACTAAACAAACCCACTGAATATTCCTGGGGTGTAATCATTACTCCAAACGGTTGCAAAGCGTTCGAAAACTAGCGTTTCTATTGGACCGGTTCAGCAAATAGGGGTGGACCTACCTGAATCTGACAAATAGAAACGCTATTTTTCTAGGAGCAATGACTACACACCTGATGGCCTAGCTGGTTGAACATATTGTCCTTGAACGAGTTAGTAAACTGTCATGTCACATAACTAAACATGGCAAAAATAAGCTGATACTATAGCTAGCTATTGTCTAACTAAAGTTACGACTCTTACGATACTAGCTAGCTACCAATTGACCTACAATATATATATATTTATTTTACACCTAGCCAAGCCAACTTGCAGCTGGAGTGCATTGTTTATCTGTGCTGTTAGCTTGCTAGCTCAGCTGTATCTTCTAGCTGGCAACGGCGCGTTAGCTATAGGATGGCAACAAACTTTAACTTAGCCACATGCAGAAAACCCATTCTCTTCTGATCACTCGACTTGAGTTGGATGCTAACTAGTTAAAGTTATGTTAGTTAACTACAGTTAGTTAGTTAACAGTAGCAGTTATAACTCGCTAATGTGGCTATCGAGCTGCAGCGAACCGAGACTGGATGGCGAAACACTCCACTTTCTTGATGGTTTGGCTAGCCAGCTAGCTGACATCTAGCTAGCCGTCTTCTCGCACACGCAAATAAAAAAACAAAGACTGTTAGCCAACTGCCTAGCACCAACATGCTAACACACGAGTCAGAAAAACCACATATAACTAACGTTACCTAGCCAAATTATCTATATTTGACAGGACTCTACGGGAGCTATTGCCTCCCCGAAGTGTAAATTAGACTGAATCTGGATAAGTAGAGCCACCGAAATGTTATTAATATCATTCCGCCTCAATCACTACTTTACAGCACAAAGCAATGGACACCGCAATACTATATCCGGGGACTATATACACTATATTCAAGTGAGTTTATCTCAGCTACGCAGCAGCTTGCCCATTCATTACGTACTTGTGTAAACAGCATGGTCGCTGCCTTTTTTATTCGTGACATTTTGGAACTGATTACCTGTTCCGTCGTTGGTTTTATCCCTCAGTTTGCGAGGCCGGCCCCGCGGCATAGTTCCAGGTTTCAGAGCGGGTGTACTGTGAACGATTTGGGTTTCAAAATGGCGACTGCCTCACGACGAGCACAGAGAAATCAGCGAACCCATGAACTCTTCAGTGCCGTTGTAGTGCACGTCTAGCTAGGCTACTTGTTGTGAGGCTCCGATGCATGGAGGAGGGAGACATCTAGCGTATATGTATGTGCATTGTCTCAAGGAGGAGCAGGAGTGTCATCAAATTCTTAATAATAATAGGGAATAAAGTATATTTGACTCGTTTTTTTTTCTCCCCATGTCCAATGACAGCATATAATTAGGCCTTTTATAAAGTAGACACAACTCCTATTCAAAATCATGCAAGGATAGGCTACTATAAGATGGGGGGGGAAAGCAACATTGAAGCATTAATACATTTAATAAGATGTATTATCCTCCTATAGGCTAATGTGGTGTAGGCCTAGCTGTTCCTGTGCCATGTTTGTGGCATTAGACATATTATCCTCATAGGATTGTGGGCTACATAGTTTCCATGATGCAGTACATGTAATCTAAATTCAATTATATGTGGAATGTGATGAGCTTTAGAAATAAAATACATAGCCTATAGGCTTAATCCTCTCACTTTAATAAGGTCTCCCTAAACCCTGTTCACTGCATATACTGTATATAAACACTGATATGCATCACTGACTATACCCTAACTTGTGATGCAAAGATTGACCAAATATGATTGTGACCTTTCATGTATATATGGCTATACATTTGATCTGCTTTGATAACAGAGTGACAGATTAGCTTTATCAAGCATGTCTCAGATAAACATATGGTCCTGCACATAGACTATTTGTCTTATCCTGGCATAGGTCTCATAAGTCTACTCTAAAATATGTATGGCAAGTCACTATCACTGCACAGAGGAAGGAAATCATCCCAGCAGGCAGCATCACTACACAGACTTTGGAGATCCTCCCAACAGCCACCGTCCCTGGAAAGAGGGAGGGGATCCGCCCAACAGGCAGCATCACTGTGTAGAGGGAGAGGATCCTCCCAACAGGCATCGTCACTGCACAGAGGGAGGAGATCATCCCAACTGACAGCATCACTGCACAGAGGGAGGCAGGCAACAAGCATCACTGTGCATAGTCCCTGTTAAGGAGGGGACTCTTCCAACAGGCATTGTCCCTGTTCAGAGGGAGAGGATCCTCCCAGCAGCCAGTATTCCTGTGCCGAGGGAGGGGATCCTCCATACAAACAGCATCACTGTGCAGCGGAAGGGGATCCTCCCAACATGCATCAACCCTGCGAAGAGGGAGGGGATCCTCCTAACTGGCAGTATCACTGCGCAGAGGGAGGGGATCCTCCCAGCAGCCAGCGTCCCCTGCGAAGAGGGAGGGGATCCCTTCAACAGGCATCATAAATCCACCACCTCCCATCATCCCCATGGTAGGACCAGCGTGTGATGCTGGAATGAATACTCCACATGGAGATTTCTATTCCAGGAGAAAGGGTAGTTTAATCTTGAGCTGACAGACGTTTTGCACTGTTTTGCTATGGCTATATTCATCCATATAGCAAGAAAGCAATATTTTAAATAGTGTAGTAGTGGGGCGGCAGGTAGCCTAGAGGTTAAGCGTGTTGGGCCAGTAACTGAAAGGTCGCTGTTTGAATCCCCATGCCGACTAGGTCCAAAATGTCACGAATAAGAAAAATATGTCGATGTGCCCTTGAGCAAGGCACTTAACCCTAATTGCTCCTGTAAATCGCTCTGGATAAGAGCGTAGACTAAATGTAAATGCTAAATGTGTCCCCCATCCCCCCCAGAAAGCTAGGTCTTTGACTTTAACCTGGAATTGTTTATTTATGTCTGAGGAAAAAAAATACTTCATTTTATCAGGGAGTCATACTGAGACCAAGGTCTCTTTTACAGATGAGCCCTGAATTACATAAATTACAGAAAATATACACATCAAAATATAAATACAAAATGCAAGCAGAAAGAAAAACATGGTCATAAAAAACAAACACATTCATCAGTAATAAGGTCCTCAAATTTAAGAACATTTTGAAGATTGTTCCACAAATAAGGTGCAAGAAAACTAAAAGCAGATTTTCCTAAAGTCTCAGTAGAGACCAAAATCATTTCCTGAATTAGCCATCCCTGAGACCGGGTGTGGTAACCAACTCTCTGGTAGAGAATACAGTGATGAGTACTAAAATTGTTGCCCGTAACAAAGCGCAGTGTGCTATGATAAACTGCATCTAACGGCTTTAATGAAGTGGCAGCTGTGTTCATATAGATGATGTCGCCATAGTCTAGGACCGATAGGAACATCGACTGAATAATCTGCTTTCTACTATTTAGCGAGAGGCAGGACCTATTTCTATAGAAGAAGCCCATTTTTATTCTCAGCTTCTTAACTAACTCATCAATATGCTTTTTAAAAGACAGCTTTTCATCTATCCAGATGCCCAGATATTTGTAATCTTAGACAGAATCAATATGGACACCATCCAAAGTACATATGCTTAAGTCATCAGACTTATTTTTATGCACACTAGAGAACAACATATACTTAGTTTTACCTGCACTCTGTACTAATTTCAGGTCAATAATGTTTTACTGTAATACAATGATGGCAGACTGTAGTTCAGATAGAGCCTGGTCAACTGTGGGGGCAATAGCATACACAACAGTATCACCGTTAATTTTTTTTTACAGACAAGTCGATACTGTTAATGTAAACTGTAAAAAGTACAGGACCCAGAATCAACCCCTGAGGGACACCTTTCGTAATATCCAGGAAACCTGATTTAATACCATCAGTAGCTATACATTGAGTTCTGTCTGTCAAAAAAAATTTTAACCAGTTACATGCAGCCTAGTCTAGAACAATTGAGGAAAGCCTCTGAATGAGCAGTGAGTGATCAACAGTATCAAACGCCTTTGACAGGTCAGTGAAGAGAGCAGCACAATGTTGCCAGTTAACCACATCATTTATAACTAGGGATGCAGCAGAGATAGTGCTATGACCTGGTCTAAAACCCGACTGATGTACATTTAGAATACATTTCAAAAATAAGAAAGATCTTAGCTGAGAATTAAACAAGGATTCTAATATTTTAGCTAGGCAAGAAAGTTTGGAAATAGGCTGATAATTATTTAGGTCACAAGGGTCACCACCTTTGTGAAGGAGGAGTACATAGGCCGCCTTCCAAACCTTGAGGATAGTACCAGACATAATCGTCAGATTGAAAATATGTGTTAATGATTCAGCAATCGGGGAGGCAAAGAGCTGTATCAAAAATGGATCAAGCATATCAGCTCCAGTGGATTTGTTTTTACATCAATCTTAAGCAAGGCATATAGCACATCACAGATAGTAAATTGTTGAAATGAAAACAAAGATTCACTACAAGTTGATGGGTTAACCGTAGAGTCAGCTAGAGAATAGCAGAGGGAAGAGCAGTCGATTGACTGACCAGGGTCAATTAAACCACATTTTATCTCAAATAAAAAGCCTGTTGAGATGAAATGATGATTAAAAGCATCACTTATCCCATTCTTCTCAGTTATGATGTCAGAGTCAGACAGAACTTGCTTAGGCAGGGAAAAATAGGAATCTGTACGCTTTGGTGCGTTTACTGTTTTTCAAAAATTTGAAGGATTACTAGCAGAGTCAGAGATTAAAAAGTAGCTTGATTTAGCTTTCTTAATCAAGATAGTACATCTGTTTCTCAATTGTCTGAAGTATTGCCAGTCCACTACAGAGTCAGTGTTGTTTGCTTTGGCCCATGCCTCCTCTGAATGAGCTCAGATAATTCTCTTTGACTCTGAATTGTTTAAATGGGGCGTGTTTATCTGGCAGAGAAATAAATATGGAGGATACATTTTCTAGAGTCAACTCAGGGTCAGGAATACAGGAGACGGTGGCTAAATCAGAGTAGAACATGTCATGTAAAAACCATTGAGCAGAAAACGTTTTTAAAATGTCTCTTCTTAATTAAACAAAGATTAGTATTTTTCTGTTTCGTATCTCTAATACATACTATGGGACAATGATCACTGAGATCATATGCAAATACTCCACTAGACAAATATTTATGAGGGTTATTAGTAAGAATGAAATCAATCAATGAAGAGTTAACAGGGTTTTTCACATTTAGTCATGGTAGGTTTTGAGATCGATTGAGTCAGATAGCATCCGCCATTGCAGCAGGGGGGCAGTAAAGCCCAGCAACAAATACATGTGTATTCTGGTGTATGGACACATCTACAACCAGGAGCTCTAATTTATTGGGAACAGAAATATTTAAAAATTGGGATACCATGAAATTAGATTTTACATACAGTGCATTCGGAAAGTATTCAGACCCTTTCCCTTTTTCCACATTTAGTTACGTTACAGCCTTATTCTAAAATGGATTAAATCGTTTTTTCCCCTCATGAATCTACAGACAATACCCCATAATCACAAATCGAAAACAGGTTTTTACACATTTTTGCAAATGTATTAAAAATAAAAAACAGAAATACCTTATTTACAGAAGTATTCAGACCCTTTGCTATGAGACACGAAATTGAGCTTAGGTGCATCCTGTTTCCATTGATCATCCTTGAGATGTTTCTACAACTTGATTGGATTCCACCTGTGGTACATTCAATTGATTGGACATGATTTGTAAAGACACACACCTGTCTATATAAGGTCCCACAGTTGCATGTCAGAGCAAAAACCAAGCCAGGAGGTCGAAGGAATTGTCTGTAGATCTCCGAGACAGGATTGTGTCGAGGCACAGATCTGGGGAAGGGTATCAAAACATTTCTGCAGCATTGAAGGTCCCCAAGAACACAGTGGCCTCCATCATTCTTAAATGGAAGAAGTTTGGAACCACCAAGACTTTTCCTAGAGCTGGCCACCCGGCCAAACTGAGCAATTGGGGGAGAAGGGTCTTGGTCAGGGAGGTGACCAAGAAGCCGATGGTCACTCTGACAGAGCTCCAGAGTCCCTCTGTGGAGATGGGAGAACCTTCCAGAAGGACAACCATCTCTGCAGCACTCCCCCAATCAGGCCTTTATGGTAGAGTGGCCAGATGGAAGCCACTCCTCAGTAAAAGG